CCACCTGTCTATCTTGCACCATGGGCTAGACCAACGTTACTAAAACACTCCGTTGGGAAACTCCCATAAAGACAGCTTCGAAAAAGTGGCCCCAATCTGTCTCCGAGCACCGAGCTAATGACGAACACAACGCCAACATTTCTCCCGCAGCGGCCACTCGAGGAAGTGCACGTGACATCCATTTTGGCTGTAAGAACAGATACAGCGGTAGAGGATGCAGGGGTGCCCCCCCCCCCCCCCCCCCCCCCCCCCCGTCGCCCCGGCGGACGCGCCGCGTTCAACTACCGAAGTCAAAATGCACCTAGGGCGGGACGCGCTACCTGAAAGGCCGGCTGAGGCATGGTTGAATAAAAACAATATTGTGCCGCAAAACCCTGCAAACTAAAGATTTTAAAAACATAACGCGCCCCCCTTTTTGTACTAAAGTCCAATAAATTTCATACAAAAAGAGTCTTTTTTTATTTGTTTTTACGCAAAAACAGGCTTTCAAAAAGCTCGAGGTGACCACAGTACAGGAAAACGAAAAGGAGTGGCGCTGTTGTCGCATTTAGCTCGGTCTCGGTGGACGCCAGCGGCCCAGGTTCCGACGGCGAGTTTCCCAACTGAGTGTTTTAGTAACGTTGGGCTAGACTCTCACCGGCGTCCCTCCTAACCCTAACCGAGTGGACTGTGATTACAACAGGCGCAGCCTGCGTAGGCGCAGTTTCAAACGCTGCTGGCGGCTAAATTCTCGTCTTTGCCCGCTATATTTTGTGTTTCATGGGACATGTATTTTCCCGAGGACATTCAGAAAGCATTGTGCCACATTTGAAAAAACAAAGAAAGCAAAAAAAGAACTGTGAACTATTTTTGTTCGGTACGCGCGCGACTGAACGAATGCGACTGGAATGTATAGTTCTGTTGGTTTTTTTTTTGTTTTTTGTTTTTTCTTCTTACGATAAGTTTTGACGGCACCGCGGGATTCGCCTTATGTGAAACGACAAAGCGTTTTGCTGTCAAAAATAAATTGCAATAGAAGAGGGCCGAAAGGCATGCATTTTTCACGCTCACAAATAGCGTGTTTACCGATGGACAGGACACGGACATACAATTGAGGAAGTGTTAACATTCGAACAATATATCGTACGTACCACACGATGCAGCGTTATCCGATAAGAATTTATTTGATAAAGATCTCAAATAACACAGTCACAGTCGACGACAGTCACATCTTGGCGATCGGACGGAATCCGAGATGACTTCGTTTTGGGGCACGTTTTGGGGAGAGCTTCCTTCTTTTTTTTTTTTTTAACAACCGCACGACGGCAAAGAAACAAACGCGACTGACCCGTTTCTCACCCCAACCCGGACAACTATTTTTGGAGATGACTGAGGATTCTACGCGGATTATCTCTGGGAGGGGGGAGAACAATGTTTGCAAAATTGCGTTGAGGGTCGCTCGACGTCCTTCACCTCCTTCGTTTCCCGTGAACAGTGATGGAAGTGCCATTTTACCTTTTGGAGCAGGCCTTGTAGCGGGCAAAATGTTGTTTTGGAGCAGGTAGTGGCCCTTTTGGAGCAGGGTCCGGCATATGTCGGCATATTACTTGAAAATGAAATAATTCTGCATTGCTATATAAAGCCCATCTCTGTCACACAGCGCCTGTCGCATTTCTAAGACAGGATATACAAAATTCAACAAAGTAAACACACACAAAAAAAAACATTTTTTTTAAAATAAAGTTTATCTGCTCGTCAGATAAAAAGAAAATACAATTAAATATGTCACTGAGTTCTGATGGTACAGGATAGTTAGTTTTCTCAGCCGGCACTTCTTTTAAGGTATCTGGAGCAGCATCTAACGACCCTCACTGTTGTGGAATGTTTTAGTTCAGATTAGAGTTGTCTTTCGGGCAGCAGCTTCAAATATTGCGGTATCTGATATTCGCTTTAAAAATTCCGATTCATTTTCAATGTGCTGGCGAAGTCACGATCGGATCACGGTGAGGTAACCCGTTGAGTGCGCTCCTTGGCATGCACCAACGCGCTGCAGAGAAGCGACACCCGCAGAGCAGACACCGCAGTCGCGCGAGTCGCGCTGTGCTTTGTGCTCCGAAAAGGACGGTGAGGCTTTACCAGCACTAACCAGCACTACATCCAGAGTTCGGTGCACGGTAGTTCGGTGCAACCCAACTATACTTCGCTTCAGCTTCGGTGCGAGCGCAGCCGAAGCTACAAGCGCGCGTGGAGCCCGTAACGGTGCCCACACTGCACGAGCCTACGCGCGAATCAGGAATGCACAGAGCATTGGGCTCGCGCTAGCTTTGACTTTGCTGGTAGCTAGCGCACGGGAACAGGGCGGGCCAACATTAAAAACATCCCCAAACTGGGCCTTTTCTTTTTTTCTTTTTTTTAATAGGCTGCTCAGCGGGATGGTCCTTCGCTTAGCCCGTTACTAAAACACTCAGTTGGGAAACTCGCCGTCAAAACCTGGGCCGCTGGCGTCCACCGAGACCGAGCTAAATGCGACAACAGCGCCACTCTTTATCGTTTGTCTGTACTGTGGTCACCTTGAGCTTTTTGAAAACCTGTTTTTGCGTAAAAACAAACGGAAAAGACTCTTTTTGTATGAAATTTGTTGAAGTTTAGTACAAAAAGAGGGGCGCGTTATTTTTTTAAAATCTTTAGTTTGCAGAGTTTTGCGGCACAATTAATATTGTTTTTATACAACCATGCCTCAGCGGTCCTTTCAGGTAGCGCGTCCCGACCTAGGTGCATTTTAACTTCGGTAGGTCGACGCGGCGCGTCCGCCGGGGAGACAGGGATGGCACCCCTGTAACCTCTTCCGCTGTATCTGTGTAACGTGCAGTTTCGTCGAGTGGCCGCTGCGGGAGAAATGGTGGTGTTGTGTCCGTCATTAGCTCGGTGCTCTGAGACAGATTGGGGCCGATTTTTCAAAGCTGTATTTATGGGAGTTTCCTAACTGAGTGTTTTAGTAACGTTGGCTTAGCCTCTGCGGCTTTGGTCTCAGATGTTGCTAACGTTGTTCCTTTCAATGATGATGATAATGCGCCCTCGCAGTTTCAGTTTGCGTAACAGTTGCGGCGCGGAAAATACCGCGGTAGCGCCACGCGCTCTGATAAGACTTCATTTTTTTTTTTTTTTTAGTTTTTATTGCTACACTTTATCTCGGCGCAGGCATGGCGCAATTCTTCGGTGAAATGACAATTTGGCGCTACATGTAGCAGAATTGCGTCCTTGGCGCAATTTGTCGCAATTGGCGCAGCACTTCCATCACTGCGTGAATGTCGAGCAGAAAAGCTTGAATGGCAGGCACTTACCAGCCTTATTTCTCACTATGGAAGATAACACAAAAAGGGTACGCAGCACGCATAAAAAAAATTAAGTGGAAACTTTCAAAAGGGGCGAGAAAACATCGCATGCAAAACCGCAAAAACGTAGGTAGAGAACCGCGCTGAGCTAGAGTTCCTGTATAGGCTCCCTACGGGATACGCTGAGCGTGTCTTCACAGCCCCAGAGTGGCAGAAAATTTCTAGCTGATAGAGGGCACGAAGTCGCACCAGCCGCATCAGCATCAGTAACATGGCGGCGGCCTAGGAGCGTTTTTTGGAAAGGTGTATACGGCTCTGGTGTGATCTACCCCTCCGCCCCCTCCCCACCCCCACCGTCACCACTGCCACGAAATAACACCACTGTAAACAAACGTGTTCTACAACTTCGGCGTATACTTTGCATAAAAGTGCAGCGAATGGGCGGCACGGGACGGAAGACGTCCTCGTGCAGCTGTTTGAGGCCAAGGCCCTGAGCTTTGCTCCTCAAGGTTCCAGAGGCTTGCCGCACTTACCGTCACGGCTAGGGTTGCTACCTTTTCCCGAAATTCGGGGCAAGGTGGTAACTCTAGCCGTGACGGTAAGTGCGGCAAGCCTGTGGAACCTTGAAGACTCCGTGATTATTGATTTGAATAATGTACTATTCGATTTGTCATTAGGATCAAACTTTGGCAGTACTCAGATTTTGCGATAGTTCTCGTTGTTCAAGGTCTGTTTGGGCTGGTAAGTTAGCTCTGTTGAGGGCGCTTCTCACGAGGGACTCGTGCACTGTGTGGAAGAAGCATCCACAAAATAGACACTGCGATTCGGGGTAGGGTGCCTTTATGTGCGCTTTGCTTAGAGTGGAGACATCTGGCCATTTTGTTCCCACTTTTACACTTATTTTTTGTTCAGAAGCGCGTGAAAGAGCGTGTGCCCTGCACGCGTCTGTGGCGCTGACTGTGCGACGGCGACATTTTCTTTTCGTCGATTTCTTTGTATTTTCCTCGTGAGCGTGATGTCGGCATCGGGTACCACAAAGGGTGGCATCACTCTAAACAGAAGGTCATTGAGGCACCCTAATTCGGGGTATCTCGCTCCGCCATGTTGCAGCCGCGCGCTTAGGGGATATAAATCCCTTCGGAGCAAAGCTCAGGGCCTTGGCCTCAAACAGCTGCACGAGATGCCTTCCGTCCCGTGCCGCCCATTCGCTGCACTTTTATGCAAAGGATACGCCGAAGTTGTAGAACACGTTTTTTTACAGTGGCGTTATACGGTCCGTCAGAGCTCTGCGGTCCGTAGGTAAGACCGGCAACCGGCCGGGCCAGTCAAAAACCGGGCAGGTGGCCATCCTTGTCACGGCCCGGCAGTGTTGCGGAACCCGAGTTATTGGTTGCGGCACAAAGAAAGAGGAATTTACATTTTGGTATAAAGTTGACGTAAACTATATTCAGCTTTTGGCGAATATACACATGGCTTGCTGCTGAGCATGCACCTTCTGCAGCCTGCATTTTGAACCACCAGCACAGGGCGATGACGTCACATGTGTATGGGAATGTAGCAGAGCACAAAAGGTGCAGCAATCACATCATTGCTCTTGTTCACAGTTAGGTAGGGCGGGCGTTCCAGCCCGACTTAACTGCAGCTGCACATGACGTGGACGGCAGTAAGCCAAGGAGAGGACACACCATGAAAGGAAAGCAAAATGCTTTATTAGGTTAACTGACAACTGCGAGACATAAATATACATGCTTCCTGTTTGCACCACCACAACAGAATGAGCAAATAAAGCAAAGTCTTTTCTTCTGTTCATAACTCAGCTTGCTGCTCACGTTCCTGCTCCTCTGCCTCCGTTTCTTTGAGGTATTTCAGGAAATCCTTGAACTTCACTTTTCGTGGGATTATGTCTGCGGTGGAAAGCAACAGGGTGTGGAATTAGCAGATACCCAGACCACTGCAAAGCACGGAAAGAGGCATATAATTAGTGCCCTGGTTGAGAATAACTTTATTCAGTGATTATCCCCAACACAATATGCAAAGGACCTCTTAAAGTGCAACTCCGCTCAATTCCAAAGATTTCGGGATAACGGGAGATTTCACATTAAAAGGCACCAATACAGAACATTACGTCATTAGCTTCGCCATCTTGGGATATATATATATTGTTAAATCTAATTTTAAACACGAGCAGAAATCGAAACCGGAACGACTCCCTCTGGCAACATCGGCCTCGGGCCGCCAAGAATGTGGCTACCACGTGGTCATACCTCGGCAAACCTCACTCATGAGGGCCCTCACTCACCCTCACTCACCCTCATCTTCACAGGTGAGGTGAGGGTGAGTGAGTTTCTGAACCAGGAAAATTCATGTGTGACTGTGAGGGTGAGTGAGTGCGTGAGGGGCGTGAGGGCGGTGAGTGGCGTGAGGGCCATAAGTGCGTGAGTGGTGTGAGGGCGGTGGGTGCGTGAGGGGTGTGAGGGCCATGAGTGCGTGAGGGCAGTGAGTGGCATGAGAGGCGTGAGGGCCGTGAGGGCGGTGAGTGCATGAGGTGTGTAAGGGCCATGAGTGCGTGAGGGCGGTGAGTGCGTGAGGCCCCCTTCAGATCGAGCATCTTTCTCAGCTATTCTGGTGTTAATGGCAGGTTGTACTCTAGCTTTCCCTAGATCGACACGAATTGCTGAGATCGGGTCTGGCTCGAAGTAAGCAAGCAACTCGGAGCAATTCGAATACGTTTGAAGCGGCTGCATCCAATCAGGGACGCAAACATTTCACGTGATACCTCGTGCCGGTGATGATGACACCGAATGACTTGGTTCTGGTTTGAAATCAATCTTTTTTTTTTGGAAATAAACTGTTTCAGAAAGGTGCATTAGTATTCTTAACGAGGTTTAAATGCATAAAAACACGTTTATAATGCGTAATTGTGTCTAAATAGTGCAAGAAAAATAAAATGTTATGATGACGATGGCAAATTGCAGCAATTGGTTGCTGCGTGTGATCGCGGGCGGCCCGTATTGCTGGTGTTGCGACGTAAAGTTTCTGGGCGAAATTACCCCATCTGAAGCTGGCCTGAGTGGCGTGAGGGCCATGAGTGCGTGAGGGGCGTGAGGGCCGCATGGGCGGTGAGGGGCGTGAGGGCGGTGAGTGGCGTGAGGGCGGTGAGTGGCGTGAGGGCGGTGAGTGGCGTGAGGGCCGTGAGGGCGGTGAGTGGCGTGACGGCTGTGAGTGGCGTGAGGGCTGTGAGTGCGTGAGGGCTGTGAGTGCCGTGAGGGCGGTAAGGGCGGTGAGGGCGGTGAGTGGCGTGAGGGCTATGAGTGCGTGAAGGCCGTGAGTGGGGTGAGGGCCGTGAGGGCGGTGAGGGCCGTGAGGGCGGTGAGTGGCGTGGGGGCGGTGAGTGCCGTGAGGGCCATGAGTGAGTGAGGGCCGTGAGGGCGGTGAGGGGCGTGAGGGCCGTGAGGGCGGTGAGTGCGTGAGGTTCAGTGGGGGTGAGTGAAGGGCTGAAGGTGAGTGTGACTGTGAGGGTGAGGGTGAGTGAGGGGCTGAAGGTGAGTGTAGCTGTGAGGGTGAATGAGGGGCTTAGGTGAGTGTGGCTGTGAGGGTGAGGGTGAGTGAGGGCCACCTAAAATGCCGACCTCTGCACGTGGTACAAGATGTCACGTTATCCTCCACACAACGACGGGTGGGATTGTGGACGGCGTGTGCAAGGTGCAAATGTTGTCTGCACTGCAGTCTTCACCACGTTTTGCTGTCTACGACACTCGACAACGTCTGCACAACTTTCTTTGTTTTGTTTTGGGGTTTTTTGTTGAGAAAAGCAAACTTCTAATTAGCCGAGGGAAGATGATCAAAGCTAGACATAATTTTAAAGCATCTGACAAAGTAATGCATGCCAAGTTGTTAGAAATATTATTCCCCTTGGTGCTCATAAAAACTTTGGTTCTAGGGATCAAATCTTGGGATGAAAAGGTTTGGTTCTCGGGATCAAATCTTGTCTTTCTAACAGGACAAAGTACAGGGACCATGAAATGATTTTAAAATCGAGTTTCATCCACCGGACGTCGTAAAAGGTGTGAAAAGAAACACAAAAACACAAAAATAGGGAGCCCAAAAAAATTATTTGCTATAGAACTTTTAAAAGAAAACTGGACTCTTTTGCGCCTTCCTTCCTTCGCCTGTTCACTACGATGCATACGCAGAATCGGTGCACGTCAGCCGAATCCACATCGCCTATTGGGTAAGAGCCTACCTCACCAGCACCGCGATCGTAAACAATAAATAGCCGGCGAATGTTTCCTAAAAGTTTTGTTAAATAATATTCAGATCCACATTTTGTAGCATAATTAGAGATGTGTGGCGAAAATTGCCAAATTTGATAATGCTGAGAGCCAAGCGCCATCTATCGTGTGGTAAACGAAGCAACTACTGCGCAGTAGGGCAGGGCCGCCAGTTACTTGGGTGACGGCGACCGACGAACATTTATTTTCTTTGTTTTCCTTCCTCTCAAAACTCTGACTGACTGAACGTTTATTTTTCTACGTGTTCTTCCCGCGCGTGCCGACTTCAAGCAGCAAGAAAACAGTACTTAAAACAGACCACGACGAACAAGAACGCTGGATTCACCGACTCCGACGAAGCGTATAGGCCTAGCAGGCATTCCGACTCGGCGCTGCGTTGCTTCGTCGCAAGACCGTCTGCCTACGACCGGCTGGCGTGCTAAATGGAATATGCCCGCGCGACCCTTGTGGACCCTTCCCGTATTATAGTTTGATCACTGACCTCAATTCTAGATTAAGAGGTGAGGAGGTCAATCTCTTCCCCTTGTTTTCCGAGGCAGTGTTGACGAACACTCGTCGAAAAGGGACTCTCGTCGATTCTATCTTCTTGTTTTGTGTGATATAGAGCTGAAATAAACGCCGTATGGATTGCCTTCGTAACACGGTATGTACACTTTGTTATTGGTATGCCATTTTTATTCTGACAGACTGCACGTCACTGTCGACCCCGGTCCAACCTTTCTTTGCCGAGTGTCGCGTCAGTATCGAGTTGCAATCGTAAAAGAACGGTCCCGAAGCGCTTACGAACAGCGCGAATACAAGACTTCCATCAAGCGCGCGCGTCCGCTCCGAGTGTAAGCAGGTATTTACGTGGCTCTTGCTGACACTCGTAGTTCAAACGTATCTTTTTTAACGTCGGCTCGCTCCTGCATCTCCGAGGCCGCGAAAAACGCCATCTACGTCGCTTTGCAAACGACTGACACGGGCCGGCCCTTCTGCCAACAATGACGGGGTGGTGACAAGACTCGCTGCACTTCCCAACAGGCATACCGGCGTATGGGACTAGTCCCATGCTGTCGCTGTAGCGCAACATGTCTCATTAGGGACTTTTCGTAGACCGCGCTGCCCCCTCCGCTAAGCGTTCCGCAACGAAGAAGTTGCTACTGCGCCTGCGCGCCGATAGCCTCGACTGTGGAGTTCCCGCTATTGTAGCGGGTTGCGGAGGGCCTTGCGGGACGCCGAAAACGATCTACGAAAACTCCCTATTGAATTTCGCTCAGCTGCGATGCGGCGATGAGAGGCGCCGATTCAGGATTCGTCGGTGACATCAGCGCAGTAAAACCTACCGGCGCACCCCAACTCGTTGCCGCTAACACTCCCATTCTCCTACTGCCGAGAGAACTTCCGGTTCCGGAAACGGTCTACGTCACGGCTTCTTTTGCGGTCAGTTGGAGAGAATGAAAAAGTCGATATTTCAATAATTTTTTGTGTAAAAGTTAATAAACCGAGACGAAAACGGATGCCTGTTCGGCATTCAGTGGACATTGACGGTTTAATGTAAAAGTTATCTGGAAAAAGTAAAAAGGTCATTTCATGGTCCCTTTAAGCTGAAATGGACAGCCTGTGTTACCTTTTTTTTTTTCCTGCCATGTCTCCTACCCTCCAAGATTCTATATTAGGGTCATTGTTTCTTTTGGTATAAGCTAAATGAACACTGAGTTTGTCATCTCGGCTGTCAAAGTGTGTCTGTTTGCCAATGATGGTTTAATTCAGATGACAATAGAAACAGTCTATGATTAGGCCTTAATAAATCCTTCTTATTGGCTATTGTTTGCTGGTCTGAAAAATGGGGTATGCAAATAATTTTTGGCATAAGTAGTGTATTAGGCAAAGCACTGAAAATGTCTCCCATGATGTTTTCATTTCAATGTTCTAACATTTCTAAGCATCTTGGTGCAGGATGGAGAATAAAAACCAAAATGATTTAAACCTTGATTATTATAGTGTTTTACTAAAATTATATCCTTCGCGGCTGCAAAGTCACGTCATACAAGCCTTGAAGGCTTTGATGGGCTCGAATATTTGTATTAAAAATACACACAAAAAAAATTATTATTATAAAACAATACAAAAAAACATGATTTAAATCAAGCCTTTTGCACAAACACAATCTCCATTTTTTTTTTTTATTTACTGTTAGCTTATTGTTTGGTGTATTCTATGTGAATTTTATATAACAAAAATAAACATAAAGCAAGAAAGATTTGTATTAAGCTGAACAGGAACAAAAAGTGGTGCTCTTAGGATAATATTAGAGATTTGAGCTTTGTTTCTACCTTCCAGAATGTTTGACAGATTAGTATATCTTATCTAGCAAATCAGAATGTGAAAAAAAAAGAAAAAAGAAAGTCTGCATGCATGCATGCATACATGCACAGACTGGCAAGGAGAGACAGAGACAGACATTTCACGTTACATTATATCTAAGGATAGTTTCACATCTGCCAATACATCCATTTTGCTGTATACAAGCTTGGTGCTTTTATTTTTTTTTTTAGTGAGACCATATACCACTGCCTTGCGCACTTCAATATCAAAAATACTGCCAATAGGCGATTTGTTAACTGTGCTCGAGTTCACAAATCACAATTTTATGCCGTCAAAATCTGTTGTTGTTGATTTAAATATTTGGCATTGCCCAGAAACTGTTATTATTTCATCTGGAGCCGGCTGCAGAGGTCATGGTAAGAGAGGCACTGTGTGCATGAAGCTGAAGGCAATCAATTGGCTGAAAGATTTCAAGAGAAGGAAAAAATGGCTGCAAGCTGTTTCCACAAGATACTCGTATCTATAAGCTCGAAAGTGGCACCCGTTTTAATTTGCTGAAGTATTACAGCATAAATACTTTTTTTACTAAAAGAAAGAGAAAATCAAGCTGCTTCTGCTGTAGTTTGATGCAGTTTACATCTAGGATAAAAAGTTCTTAACAAAACATTATGTTAGATGATTTCCTCGACAGTCAATTTTTCTTCCCTACCGTTTTCAGTAACCACTATGTTTTGACAGAGTGATATGTATCATATAAATCAGATTTATTTTATCTTCTCCAAACAATCATGAATTTTTTCCACCCTGATTTCAAGTGACCTCAGCTGCCAATTGAAATGTTGGCAATTGTACATGAGCAAACTCCATATGATGAGCTAAACTCAAAGTGAGACACATTCCAATGTCAGAACCAATGTACTACATAAAACTTTTGTGTGTCTAATTTTACAATATGCATCAATAACATGAACCTCCTAACCCCAAACACACAAAATAAAATAGAGCACATTAATTTTTCTTTTTCTCTGTACAGTAAACATGAATCTGTTATGGTTTGATGAGGAAAGCCCAGTTATCCCCAATAAAAAAAAAATAAAAAGACATGTCATTAAAAAAGACACCTCAACGTGGACATGCAAAGTTAAACAAGAGCCCTGGAAGCTGGCCTCGACACTTAAAAGGGCACTGCAAAAATAAATCTAAGGGGTGTTCTGAGGGGAGCGCCTACCAGTGGCAAACACAAGCGTTCAGTGATGCTCAGCTATTGACATTAGTTGAATAAAGAGTGTGGCACTCAAAGGCAGGATTGGTTGTAACCCCTTAACCGTTTTGAACGAGCCTAGCTCGCCCAACGTGGAGCCGTCCTCAAACCGTTCAGGGCGAGTATAGCTCGTCTGCTTTCCCCAGTTCAAGCACATAACCGTTTTAGACAAACCGGGTTGGCTCATGGCTTGCTCCCATTCTGTTTGCGGCTAGGAATCTGATTTTGAAGGCAACAACTTTGATATTGAGACAACAATTAAGCAGTTGTGGGTCAGAAATTTCCAACAACTAAAAACGGTTAAGGAGTTAAAGTACACGCAACTGCTTCTTTATGCTTTGTAGCAGGGGAATCGGTGACCAAGTGGGCTAGCGCACACCAGTTCGGAGCACGTGGACCGAAAGCTCGCACTGCAGAATCCCCACCTGTGCACGTTTCGATCTGGATGAGCATCATGCCGGCGAGCGGTCGTGTATCACTACTGCGTAATGCAGGTTAAAGACCCCAGGCTAGCGGTTGTACTGCACTGGCTGAATTTCTCATCTACAGCTGGGAGACTCGTTGCCCATTGAAGCAGACCAAGTTCTAGGCTATATAAACATACACACAACCCAATTTTGATACGCTTTGTAGCATGTGACTCTCGCTCACATCTTAGCCCGAAGCAACAGTAAATTTGCGGATCGTCCAAGTTCTCATAACTCAATGCAGATTCCAAGCTCCTTGAATAATAATGAACATTGATTGTGGAGGATGCATGCCCATGTCGTTTCGGTTCTCTATTGGTCTGTTCCAACAGTGCCATCAATAAAATAAAAAGGGACTCAAATTCTGAATTCACTCAAACTTTGAAATAACATCTTAATTGTCTTAATCAAGCCTCACACACCAGTTTGTGCTTAGGGCATTCAAGTTCAGAGCTAGTTACAAATGCATTGCAGGGTCACTTTAGGCAAACAATTTTCTGTTGACCCACATATAAGACCTACCAATATTAGTTTTTCATGCAAACCTGTAATAACTTGTCTAATTGTGTTTTCATGGGAGTTTCCTCTGCAGAAGCATTTAAAAAAATGTAACTGAAATTCGCTTCCTCCTGTGTATTTGTGAAAGCACTTACAGACTATACCTTGAATTCTCTGTAGCAATGTAATTGCAATCTTCATTTTATGTGTCACTTTCTTGTGGGATGTGCTTTTGAAAGCATTTCTGCACCCTCACCTGCAAGACTCCTCATGGGCTGGCATTATTTGAAATAAATAAAGGAACAAACAAATAAAAACCAGATGTGTCGTGATTGATAGAAGGCAAAACCAGGTGCCATCAGTTATGGCAAGTGTTTGATCTAGTAACTACCGGCTGAGCCATCAAAGGGCCACTGACAACCGCCCGGATCAATATTTTGTTTTTCCTGTCTCAAATGCTGAAAACGTGTACAGCAAAATAATTTAAAAAAAAATTATTGAAAAAAATTTGTTGGTTTGCAAAAGAGCCAGTCAAAGTTTGTGTCCTCCCCCAATTTGAGCTCCTCCTCGCTTCTTTTTTTTTTTTCGGTGATGCGATTGGCAAAGCCATTTTTGAAAATCTTAAGAGGTATCGGAAGTTGCCTTCTTGTAATAATTATTGTTGTCATTCATAAAATAAATTTTTTCGACGACTGTAAAGGCACTATACTGTCGACTCCGAAAAATAAAACTCGGAGACTGGAAGTGTTAATCATGAAGCGTCAGCCAACTCCTAGCTTTTTCTTCACGCTCTCAACATGCCAGTACCCGACGGCTGTGCTGAGGGCGTTGATAAGGGTGCATACAACGGAGAAGCCAAGGACAGCTCGGACGAGTAGTTTTTTTCGGTGCTGGATAACCTTTTGGATAACCTCTCATGCAGGCCCTTTGCGACATCGCCCCTCACTGAGGTCTGCTACAAATCGTATTGTTCTTTGCACTTTTAAAAATTGTTTTAGACCGAATAAAACTGCTAAAAAAATTGAAACCGAAAAGTGCCACGTCATTTGCATGCGGAGAAAGGTCTCGTGAAATACCTTTGCGGATGGCAAGGTGGCAAGTGCGCGTGCCCATGAACAATGTGAGGGAAAGAGAGAAAGTTCAAAGACACTACCTGTTTGAAGTTATCCAAAAAGGCAGGGAGTACACCATTTTGCTAACTATGTCATATAGTTAGTGAAATTGTTGTCAGTGGCCCTTTAAGAACAATAAGCTTGAACAGTCTCACAACCCTGAAACAGGGATGAGCACCTTAGCTGTTGAATACAAACTGTAAGAGCACCTGTGACAATGTCTACTATGCATAGGTCGTATCAACATATTTGAATTCTAGTCACTGAGGTCTGAAGGGACAACACAGAACGACCCTCCAACACAGAAGAAGCTTACAATGTCGGTATTAAACCAGCTGGACCAATTTAATACCGACACTGTCAAACTGCGCACGAAACATTTTCCGCTTGCCATTTAGAAAGTCCAGCCGGTCCTGAGAGTCCACCACAGCGGCCAGGTCCGAGTACTGGACTGTCTTCTTGTCTTTGCTGTGCTTGAATGCTTCACGTACCAGCAGCGCCACGAATTGTTCCTGCAAGTACAAGGACAGTGCATACTCTCAGGGGAATCGGTGACCGAGTGCGTTAGCATACCACAGCTCGGAGCACTGGAACGAAAGCTCGCGCCGCAGAACCCAGGGATCCCGAGTTCAATCCCTAGTCCTGCCCCTTTCGATCTGGACGAGCAACGTATAGGGTGTTTTCACTGACGTAATTTCGTCCACCATTTTGTTGTTGCGATCTGTCTGGCGTGTGCCAAACTCGAGCATTTCAAGGATTTGCATGCCTTCTCAAATGCGTAAGCACCGCTGACATCATTTCAACCGGTTACGATGTAATCCTTCAATGTAGTAAATTTGTTTGAAAAAACAAACTAACAACAAAATGGCGGATTGACGTCATGTGCAAACAACCTATAGGCGAGCGGTCGTGTACCAAGTGCACGTTAAAGGCGCCAGCCTTAGCCTAGAAGTGATACTGGACTGACTAAATTTCTAATCTACAGCGAAGACACCAGACAACCGCTGGGGTTGATTAACTTCTCGTTACCTAAGCATACACACAGCATTACACAGTTACAGTTTTTTGGGGGGGGATCGGTGGCCGAGTGGGCTAGCGCACACCAGCTCGGAGCACGTGGAGCAAAAGCTCGCGCTGCAGAACCCAGGGATCCTGGGTTTAATCCCCACTCCTGCCCGTTTCGACCTGGATGAGCATCGTACCAGAGAGCGGTCGTGTATCAGTGCTGCGTGATGCACGTTAAAAGACCCCAGGCTAGCGGTTGTACTGCACTGGCTAAATTTCACATCTACAGCTGGGAGACAAGTCGCCCGTTGAAGCAAAATAAGTCTAGGTTGTATAAACATACACACACCCCAATTGTTTTTACTGTTATTTTGAAAAATGGGGATTGGTACTCGGCGTCGATGTTGATTCACCATGGACGCGGCAACTCACAGAAGCTTTGGTGGTTATGTGGACGGAGTCCTGGCCTAAACATGATACTTCGGGGGAACTCTTCATGATCGTTCGTATTCTTGAAACGGGAAAACCGTGTCTCGTCTTCGGCTCCATGTTTTAAACAAAATACGCGTCTCGCTTCGCTCGGGAGAAGGCACAAGACCACGGTGATCATTCGCGAGCGCTCGCGAGTTTAAACGGCGTGTTCAATTGCTGTGATGGTGATCATATTGATATTAGTGCGCTTGTGATCTATGACGTCACAGAAACAATATTTTTCCACTTTTTGACCTTCTCTTAGCCCTTAACTGACTGTTAGCTTTTTTAAATCGAATAAAAACAAGCAAAAACCTAGCTTATTAGGATGTTTGATTAGTTTTAAAATAATTAACGGCGAGAGTCGCTGCACGCAATCATCATCACCTGTAGCGTTGTTAGACACGTGACAGCGCCAACAGCGCTTTTCAGTTTGTGTTTTGTCGTTTTCGGCGCTTCGGTATAAAATGGCGGCAAGTGCACATGCTGAATGAAGCCAGTGAGTGAAGCTGCTAAAACGTTTTGAAGCAGTCCAACCTGTGGAATCGGTTTGTCGTTTGGCCTCGATTCTGGACGAAAGAACAAATTGCCAGGAGGGTAGTTGCTACACCTACCCGTTTGTGGCATCCTTTGTCCCAAGGTAATGCTACTAATTGTGCTATGCTTTGGCTATGCATTCCAACTTGCAACCTTTTTACCCGGAGTGCATTTAAATGAGTCGCTCGCTGCGAGGTCCATGCATTTGTTTTAAATTTCGCCTTAGCCCTGTTTCTGTTCACCACCACTCTACTATGAAGCGACGTGCATTGACGCATTTGTGTTTCCGTGTTTATCCGCACACCGAGCGGCACCGGGAAAAAAAGGCTATGATTAAGATGCAATTAATGCATTGGTGTGGCTAGCGTTCCGTCTAGACGGAACGATAGTCGCTACTAGAGTTCCGTCTGGAACGCGGAGAGCTCGTGCCACCTCCGTACATGCCGCTTCGCGGCGTCCAGCCAGCAACCCAAGTCCGCTATGCCGCTATGCCCCATTGCACCTCCTGAAAGGGAGACTTATACCATTAAGTTCAGCGAAGTTTCGTCGACAACATGCGTTCATTTTATTCAATGATAATTGTAAAAAAAAAAAAAAAAAAAAAAAAAAATGTAAATATCGAAAAAAAAAAAAAAAAGTCTAGAGTCCCACTGCGGTTCGAACCCGGGCCCGCTGCGTATAAAGCAGACACCTTTCTACTACACTACACCTACACTTCAGAAACTAGCTTTCACCATTTGTTTTATATGAGACCCAACATAAACGGAACTTTAATGGTGACTATCGTTCCGTCTGGATGGAGCTCTAGACACTTCCTTAATGCAAAGGTGCAAGCGAGCTGGACAAGAATGGCAATACTAGTCCCTGGAGAAGGAGAGCAAAGGTCAAACACAAGACTCCAAACACAGCTATTCGCGACTCCAACTAACTATAGGTGGCGCCACTCATTTTCCAAGATGGCGGGTTTAGTGAGGGTCAGAGATACGCGCCGCTGTTGAGCCTGTCTAATGTGCTGGCTTCACTGAGTGACATAAATTATTTCTGGTAATACGAGGAAGCTCATGTTTTATGAGCGTAGGTCACCTCTTTAACCCGAAAACAAGAACGGTGTTTAGTCTATTCATTACGGAAGGATGCGCGTCTTAATTTTGGAGCGAAACCGAAACTTCTATTTTGGATTTAATTTCTCGACAGATGTCTTAATTTCGGATTCTTTCCTGACTCAAGATGTGTCTCACATCGTAATTATTTACTTAGAAAAGTTGATCGCGCAAACTTTTTTTTTTTTTTGACATACTGTTCGATCCAGGCTGATATTCGTCGTTGTTGAAAACATCAGTGCTGATATCTGAGCGTTCTCGCTGCCTTTTTCTCGCTCAGATAATTGTCATGGGAAATAATGACAATTGTCCCAGCTCAAGAATAAGAGAATTCCAATTTTTACAATATGTCCACGAAACGCATAAACTAATAAACGCTGCTCTCACTGCAACAACCCAAGACGAAATCCGAGTCAGACAGCTGAAGTGTGTGTGTGTTTTTATAGCACCGCGTAACGCGTAGGACTTCATATTACATCCAGCGTTTAACTGTTTGCCTATCTTGATAACTATGTAAGTGTTTTTCATACGCTAAAAAGAAAACAGCATTATACCTTTCTGGAAAGACTATTATGGTTAAATAGATTATTCTCATGATCTTGGCGTTAATTAGAGGCATACATTGCCGCAATTTGTATTATAATAATATATTAAAATTCGCATATTTGAATAAGTAATTATTCAAGCTTTAATATAATTTGTTGCTTATGATCTAATTTTAAACGCGCGAAGAAATATGACAATGAAAACTGTGCTAATTATCATCACTGGTTCCTATTGCTGCATTTTAATTACAAATAAAATAAGAATAGTCTAAAATCGACGAAAACATTCTTGCTAATGTGAGAAATCCATGTAAAATTACATTAATAGTGGGTAAAGTATATTGTGCTATCGAAGTCGCGACTTTTGAGAATCGGCGAAACGTCCAAAGTCGCAACCAATATACTTCCAGGCCAATTGCCCAAAAGTAAAAAAAAGCCTCTTTTTAATTACTAGTTTTTTCATAACATTTATTTACTTTTGTATTTGCTCGCCGTCGTTTTGTCAATCTCAGCCTTTCCAGTTCGAAGGCTTGCCTACCTGCTTGCACGTCTGCTTCCTGCAGCACGTTTTGTTGGCGTTGGAAGCCGGTGAAACAGTAGTGAGTTTTAATATTGCGTATATAGGAGCGAACTCAAGCCCTGTGTGTTTGCGTCAGCTTTGCGCGTTCCACACATCGCGTGCGCGGAGCCCGAAATTGCGGTCTTGGATGGCGCATGGCAATGAGGCGCACGCACGTCATGGGGCACGCAACTCTAACGCAAACGCACACCGCTTGCGTTTGCTTCTATGCGCAATATTGAAACTCTCCAGTAAGGCACAATCCCATACCGACTGCAGCACTACGTTGGGACAGTGAAGAGTGTTGTTTGCATTCGGAAACGGCATTTCGCTAGCCATGATCGCGAGCAGTTCCGCCATGCCCGCTGAGCAGGAGAATCGGGGGACCCTCACTAGAGCGCTTCCCGTTTCCGCCGCGGGAGGGCGAGCGTCGAGCTGGAGACGCGAATAGGTGACTGGTGCACGACCGAAAAAATCCGCCTGGTCCGGGCATCGAACCCGGCACCTCTCCATTTCCATTGTAGCGCTCTGCCAACTGTGTTCAACAAATGTTTCATTTCTCCAAAAAAGAAATGGAAGCGACGGAAGTGATGATATTGCGTCTGACTGGTTAAAGTATGGTACCTTGAACACGTCATGTATGAAGAATTGGTCCCCCTTTTCTGTCTGATGACGTCATAGAAGTGTCAGGCTGTCACCGGTCGCGATCCTGGTGGCGTCCCAACAGCTGTGTATGTGGAAGATGCCTGTTCCGCTGCAGGTCGCTTTCCAGTTTTGCTGTTCACGGAAGCTTCGGCAACCAGAAGTTGGGACGCCGTGACAACAGCAACACTCGCATTCAGTTGTGCTACTCGCAGCCTTCTCATTAGCATTTCTACGACCAACCACCAGGATCGCAACATGCAACAGCATGACACTTCGGCTTCTGCGACGTCATTTGTTGCCACTTCAGGACAATTTTTTATGTATGGGCAGCATAGGCCGCTAAACACACCAGTCGAAGACACGCTGTAGGCACCATTGTCGTCACAGAAGGGCATCGCGAACCGGTCGAGGTTCGAGTTTGACCAGGTTTGACTTTTTCGAACTTCATGTGAAAAGTTTGACAAAAGTTCGACTCGGGTTCGACTGCTCTGCGCATGCGCGACAGGCTGGCCAGCTGGCTTCGGATTGAATAGTGATGGCTAAGGGATGAATTAAAGGCAACACTGACTCATTATTTATTTTTATTTATTTAGAGGATACTACAAGCCATCGAAGGCCCAAGTAGGTGTGGGATACAACATATACATTCACACATAAAACGAAAGCAAATAACACGACATTAAACGGTTTACAACTAACTAGCAAATATACAGGATATATTATTTAAAAAAAGGGGGAGGGGGAAAAGCAAGCATCAAGCAGTATGTAATTCCATCATGCACTAAAACAAAATGACCTATCCAGATGTAGTATGAAGGTTTATACAATCCTAATGTTCATGCGAAAAAGATGAAGGTGCAGCAATGTACAAAGCAAAACATGTTAGTTATCAAGACGCTCGAGACCTTCTACGAAGTTGGTGTCGATAAATAGTTCGAGAGATAAACCGTTCCAGTCGCTAATAGTGCGAGGGAAAAAGCTAAACTTAAACATATTATTTTAGTTAATACAGTACAAACAATTAAGTTATTAACGTCTTCAGCTATTATAATTAGTTTCTTTTACTTGCAAGTGTTCATGAAATTAAAATAACCCTTTGCGTAAAAAAAAATTTCTCCAAACCTAGACATGCTTGTATCAAGGTCTGGCCACACTGTCCACCAAGTCGGACCGATCGAATCTAGTTCGAAGGAGTCGAACCCCGAAAGTTCGACCTAAAAATCCGGTTTGCCAAAAGTTTGCGACACCCCTAGTTAGAGGCTCAAATGACTAAAGTTCCCTCTTACATCATTTGAACCTCTAACCAATTGAGCGCAATATCATCACTTCCGTTTCCTTTTAGGAGAAACGAAACATCTGTCAAACATAGCCCCCCTGCTTAAAGGCTCACTCTTTGACAAATGTTGACAAATCATTCCTTTCTGCCCCCCCCCCCCCCCCCCCCCCCTCCCCCTTTTTCTCCTCGTGGAGGTATGCGAGTGCATGGGCTTTAACTCATTAAATACTGCCCATCGCTCCGTAACTTGCCGCATGCCTTCTTTTTTTAGAGCAGCAGCTTCTTAGGTGCCTGTAATACTGCTGAACACAAGAACTAAAACAAAACAACCTTATGATTTGTTTGACAAAGACCAACAGTTCCTCATTAGTTGGTTGACGATCATTCTGTCAGTCAATGAGAGACTGGAAAGCCTGCAATACCCAAAGCTCGTCATAGCTTTCTACTCCAGTTGTGACACCCTCCTTATCCACCCTGCATGCAGAAATGAATTTTTGTGAATGGCTTGTTACCCGACTGCCGTCGAGGTTTGTGAATCCTGACTGACATTACCTGGCATAATTTGAAAAAGGAACAAAGCATCGAGGGACAACTATAGTCTATTGTTCCCTGGTGCTGTGATTTTTTATAGTTATGCCAAATACACTTTCTCCAAGTGTGTACTCTGCTTCATTCTCTCGCATAATTGTTCTTTCCCGACAGGGTGCCATGGCGTTGTCGCCGGTGCCCCCAAACAAGATCTCTGACATTGCGTTTCGGCCTGTTGCGTATCCGGAGCAAGTTTGCCACACGGTCCCAGCGTACGTGAGCAGAGGTCAGTCAACCCTTTTGCACTATTGTCGAGCTCTGAAGACTATTCTTTCAGCACAATGCTTGTGTTTGAACGATGCCTGTTTTTGTCTGCCATAATTGTCTTCATTATGGGATCGTCTTCAGAGCAAATATTGTGCATTATGCGGTTCTAAGCAGCAACAAGTTACACAGAGATAAATATGGTATTTCTGGAAAAAAAGTTCACAATGTGCAGCAGGCCGTAAAAATTGCCAATCAGTTCGTGCAAGTTAACTTATCTTTAATATATTTTTCTAGCTAGCATAGTTCTACTAAAATTTAAATTATCTCTTCTCCTCTTTCATGCATGAAAATATTTTGCTTTTTATTTCAGCCATACATACAAAGATGTAGGATGTATTTCGAAACATTGAAAAGAATGAGGCCAGTAAAGCCCATGGCACAAAAATACGAAAGAAGAAAGAAAAAAGAACTTGGGTTACCTCAATTGTTTGGTGTCCAGGTACTCTTTGCATAGGCTTGGACGGAGCACAGGGTCAGTGATCCCGAGAAAAAAGTGGCTCCAGTTTCCCATCAAAGATTGGATGATTGACAAAAAGGCTGAAGATTTGTTCAGGACAACTGGTCGTTGTATTTCTGGCTCATGACAAAAGTCATTCTTTATATGGTTGTGCTGGCCGCTATTTCGTCCTGAGATTAGACCATTTATAAACTGTGAAGCTGTGATCTCGTAAAGGGAAGCTAAAGCTTTTATAACATCCCTGGCAGTCCCGCCACTTTGATGGCATCTGCGACTCTGAGGAGATCCTTAAACTTGGAGATATGGGAAGCAAATTAAAGCTTCCGAAGTAATACAGTTTAGTGGTTGTGAGAAAGTAATGTCTTGTGAAACAACCCTTGTTTGCATGTTTTGTTGTGCGACATTTAGTGTCAGAAATGGCGAGGGTGCCCTGAGGATTTCGGAGCATTTGCAGTCTCAGTGGCACATCAGAAGAAAAACCCCCTCGAGATTTATTTCACAAAAAATAGACGCTTGGTCAGGACAAAGTCGAAGATGTAAAAGAATTTAAACCTTTTTTTTTTTCCTCTTCAAAGTATTAGTAACTTGTCATGTGCTGGCGTTTCGCCAGTTGAACCAATTTGGATGCATTTTGTGTGGTCGAAGTCTGACACTAGCTCATGTTTTTTGTGCACTTCTTTTTTTTTTAGATGGCTCAGTTGCTTGCATCTGCCGGGGGCCACAGTTGGACCTCTACTCCACAAGAACTGGTTTCCTGGAGTGCGAGTTTAGGTTTAACAGTCCGAGCTCTCAGGCGGGCCCCTTCGTCTCGCTGCGCCACGGAAACCGCTCTTACATGGTGGTGGCCATCACGGGTGGTGCCGCCGGGCCCCTGCTGTGCATCTCTTACTGTGGGACGGCTAGAGTGATCCAGGCTATCGCCATGCCTGCTTCTGTAAGTTGGGTGATCGAGGGTAGTGAGAAAAGTGCTTCAGCTTCCTTACTTTTGATTTGGAGTTCCTTAGGGACCCTCTATCCAAACTTGTCGCTCTCGTTGGGGGAAAGCACTTGTAGGTGGCCCAGTTATGCTTGATGCCTAGTGCTTGTCGAGAAATTCTCCTTTATCGTTTGCTGCGTGCCAGACGCGAGTTTGTTTGTCGGCAGTGTTGGTTGACTGTTTGCCTAGTGTGTTTTAGTCCTTAAGAAGACAAAAGATGATCCGAATTTTTATTTTAAAGGATTTTTTCGGTTTTTGTAAGGACCTAGCAATATGCTCAATTTTTTTATACAATTCTATGAAAGTTGTGCGAGTAAAATAAATCGACAAACCCGAAAGTTACTTTCTGCTTCGCCCTTGTAGAAACCTCTCTTGAAAGCATGTCAGCTGCAAACCGTCTGTTCCTGCAAAATTCATTGGTCATAGGCGCGACTAGCGCAGTGAGCTATAGGACTCTTTGTGAAGGCGACTATATTGTTGTTTACATTCAACGTCTTCTATCGTAGCACGCTCTCAAACAAATTCAATTCCTTACACAGTAGGGCCTTGTTGATATATTTTTTGAAGGACTGCAGTAAGACGTGCGATGCGGGAAAATATAAACAACGTTAACTTTTTTGGTGGGGCTTAGGGATGAGACAAGAAGTGATTTTCACACAGCATTTTAATGTTTCAACTGACTGAATCTCTCATGCCTAGTTTGAGGTGTTGCCCACTTGCAACATATGGGTGAAATTATATACATATGTAGGGTGTCTGAAGTCACCAGGCTCGATCTAAAATGGACTGTAAATATTGACGCCTGCACGAAGCAATCTAAACTTTTCGCCAAAGGTGTATTTCACAGGTCCATTTTTTCTTGTCAAATTACAAAGCATAGTTCCCTTTCTGTAAAAAATGATGTCGTCGTTAACACAACTGTTGCTAATTTTGTATCTGCTCTTGAATTCATACTTAATTGAGTTTTTATTTATAAATCTGCATCTTGTATACATGTTTTGTACCCACTCCTACCATGGCTCCTTGACTGGAGCCAGTAGTATTCCTAAATAAATAATAATAAATAAAAAACTTGCCAGAGTCAACGGCTGGCGGCGATGCAGGTGACAGAGTCGAGCGGTGGGACACGTTTGACACACATATTGATAGATGGTGTTGGGAGCAGCATCGGAAGGTGTAGCCAACCAGCGAAAGAAAGCAAACGACACTCGGGCGAAATCCGTCAGCAGCAAGTATACCGTCATTATGCAACCACACTTTTTTTGTGCAAGAGCACTACATGCCCCATTATGTGAAAATCCGGCGGCGGCGTGACCCAGTGATGGTACCAAAAATGGCTGACAGCACAAAGAGTAAAAACACATAATAAAAAAAATGCTCGGATTGACGTCAAATTTCTCGGTGAGGTTCTTGTAAACGAAGTAGATGAATAGCTTTTAAAATAAAATTTGGTGCATTTTGGTCTGGGTGGGAATCGAACCCAGGCCTCCGGGGTGTGAGACGACCACGCTTTCCCAATGCCACGAAGGCTCCACGGTTCTGGCTGACTAAAGGTGTACCTAGTGCGTCCGTCATTGCACACGTTCCCCGCAGCATTTCTATGCACCTCAATGAGCCACTCTGAGGTTACGATGTCATCATTAACGGAGATTTAAGGAAACTGCCTCCGGTCAGAGCGTCCGAGGTCTACAAACAGTCGCCCCGTATGAGCGGAGTCTTCAACACCGCTCGGATGCAATGTTTTCGCATTCCCACACCTACTAAATAGTCTTGCATCTCTGCCAAATTTTTTTTTTTTTTTTTTTTTTTTTTTTTACCTTTAAGTTTTGTTTTTCTTGTCTGCAGTCTCGATAAGGAGGTAGCGCCTACTATCAATATGTGTGCCAAACGCGCCCCGCCGCTCAACTTGATCGTCTGTGTCGCAACCCGCCGTTGACCCTGGGAAGTTTTCTGGCCCAATTTGTTACAGGAAGGTAGCTAAGCTTTGTAATTTTACAAGAAAAAACTGACCTGTAAAATACACCTTTGACAAAGTTTAGATTGCTTCGTGCAGGCGTAGATTTTTACAATCCATTTTAGATCGAGCCTGGTGACTTGAGACACCCTATATATCCCTGTGGAAGTTCAACAGGACCGGTGTTTGGGAATGTAATGGCCGTTACAAAGTGGAGACGAGGTTCTACTGTGCCCAGGTTGAAGAGTTTTTAAGTCCTTCGGGAATAAGGCAGCAGCTCAAAAACACAATGTCTCTATGCTATCCCTTAGACGACTTGAAGACGAAAGCCCAAGCGCCGATGCATTAAAGACAGACACGTGATTTACTTTGTTTCACATTCTCTTTTTTGACACTCCCTTTAATTCCTCTTAATTCACTTGGTCATCCTTCTTAATTTCATTGAGTCTAATTAGCCTGAGTGGTTAGTAAACGTTTTGTTACCTTTCGTGTCGCCGACGTGTTTTCGCTCAACGACTTAGAAGGTCGACTGAACGATGAGGCGCGCAAGGCTTTCGCCTTAATAATCTTTCTGCGCTCTGGTACATTGTGTCAGGTCACAAAACTCGCTGCGGTGAGCGGTGGTCGTGTCGGATCCATGAGCGGCTGCGTAGCCGTGGCGACCTCCGATGGACACGTTGCGCTCATCGACTTGCGTCTCGGCTGCGACGGGTCATCGTCGGAAGAGAAACCTGCCAGCCTGTCTCGACAAGAGGCGGTTGACGTTGGTCCAGCCTCGTCCTACCACAGGGCCTCGCATCATGGATCCGTCTTTGTGTGCAGTAAGTGCCTTGGCTTTGGCTTTTGCTTCTTGTGATTGATTATTTTTTCTTTTTTATCTACAGTTTGGAGGTCTGTTATGATAATAGGTATTTCATCAATTGTCACCAGGACTTTTACGTTATATAAAAGCATGTCACTTTTTCATTGATGGTGGAGAAACAGCTTGAACTTTGAGCAGTTATGCAGAGACAGACAAGGCATGCAAAAAACTGTGTGCATCTTTTCATTGATCTTGAGAAGGGTGACGTCTTGTTAACCTGGCATCTGCATTGTTGTATGCGGAGGGCAAGTCGTCTGCTTCTTGCGCAGGAGTTGCAATGATGTTGGAACGACACCGAGTTCTGATTGGCTTTGATTGGAAGGATAGCGGGTAGACCTCAATGCTAGGTGCCTTGGGGTCTACCCACTATTTTTTTCAATCTGCCAAAAAGGGCTTGGCGTTCTGACGTCACTGCATCCCCTGTGCATAAAGCAAACAATCTTGCGCTCCACATTGATCTTTGTTCAACAACCTGCTGTCTATTGGGGAATCATTATCTTGGTGTACACACTTGTTTGTTTCATGTGTCATCTTTAATTGTGGTGTCCGGTTGCATTCCTAGATTACGATACCCTGCTGAAGCTTGATCCAACAACATCTAATGTGGACAGTGAGCATGTTCTCTTACAGTTTGGCAGAACGAAAGTAGTCTTGCAATCTTCTATTATTTTTTTTAAAACCCTCGACCTATTTAGTGTCAGTGGAGTAGCTGCTGACTTTTGGTGGAACCGTATTTACCATGGGAACTTAGGGCAGCCAACATAAGACTTTCTGTTGTATATGCGTTATTGTTGGTATTAGTGTGTGAAAAGGCTAACGGGTATATTATATGTACATTATTTTTTGTTGGCTCATCATCATGCAGACGTTGAGGTCGACCCCCTTTACCCTCTCCCTATTTTATGCCAGAGAAACAAGAAAGATTATACTTGTAAGCCTATTTCGCAGCATATTTAGAAAACAAATCTCTCGACAGATACCCATAAAAGCTCTTCTTAGGTGTCCGGGGTCATGAATACAGACAGAACGGCAAGGGGCTTTTGGATGGTCTTTGCGTTCGCTTGTGTAGCAGACAAAGTCGCGTATGTACAAGCAAACATAAATATTGAGATGAATAGTTGCATGAAACAAGTACAAAACTGCCCAATGTTTGGGTAGACGGCTTGAGTAAATAGTGATTGTAAACCAACCAAGGTGCTTCTGGCAACAGTGCTTGGAATTGGGCTAGTTGGTTTTGACATGTTGCGATTAAACTGCGCTGCAAATGTAGTTCAGTTTTGGCTTTGTCCAGAATGGCACGGTTTAGCTCCGTTAAGTTCAACCCTCTAGTTTTCGGTTTTGTAGTCCAAAATAGGGGGATTGGCCTACAGTCGTGAAAATATGGGAATGTACTAGGTGCATATCCATATTTGTGGATTGCGGCATTTTGTTGCTCTTGTTTACAGGAGATGTTGAAGTGAGCTTGCTCAAGTACATCCCTCAGCTGGATTGCCTGGCAGTTGGTCTTCAGGAAGGACGCGTCCATCTCTGGAGCCTTGAGGACAATGCTTTCCTGTGAGTTAAGCTTTTGCATCTGTTCTCGCAGCACCATTTTGCAAAATTTAGCTTGCACGAAATGGTCCACCTGGAGGCTCGGGAGGAGTAATGTTGTCTCCAAAAAAGTCAAACTTTTGTCCCCGTTTCTCTTGCACGCCACCAGACGGCAATACTGTCGTTGAGGCCTACGAAGGGCATCTGCTATGCGGGGAGTGAACAGTTCATAGACTTTAGCGAAGCTTTGCACTTGCTAGGCTCAACGTGGCTGTTAAACGTGGCACTTTAAAGCAGCGGGGGATATCCCTGACGTTATGTAAGGCTATTAGCCATTCCAAAAAAGGGCTTCCGTCCAGTGTCATTTTGAGCGTTTTTGCATACTGTGCTTTGTTTGTGAATCGAAACTAGTATGTGCTGGGTTGTTGAAATCCCGTACTGGGCTGTGTGTTGGTAAATGTCCGAGTATGTATGGAGCAGGCCTTCGGATTCAAGCGCACTATTGGCATGTGAAGTGCTCAGAATCTGTTACGAGGGTTGAGATGCTGAAGTCCTGTTTTGGCGACGGTATACCATTTGCTGATTAAGTATTCCTAGATTCCACGGCAGGCAAAACTTCTCCCTCAGTTGCACAAAAAGGTATGCATTAAAATAAAGAACTCAAAAATGGCTTACTATTGGCACAATTTTCATGATATAATAGTATGAATTGTTCATAAATCATGTTTACATCAGTGTTGCGGAGTTGCCACTCTGGAGTTGGAAGGATTCCGGAATCATTCCGCATTTTTGCGACCCCGGAATGGAATGGGGGAATGGAATGGCGGCAACGTTCAGGGGAATGGAATGGGAATGGAATTAGATGCCTTTGGCCTGGAATGGAATGGGAATGGAATGGAACCAAGTTCTTTGTATTTTTTTTTTTTTTTTTGTGTTCCGCTACACCGAGCCAGTCAGGGAGTCGGTTGTTCAGAAATAAAATGAGTGGGAATCTGCGACCCACGTAAGGCCCTAACAGACTTATACGCAAAAAAATGCAATACAGAAAACAAGCGTCGAAGCAAAGAACAGAGGGAAGGGGGGTAGAGGGGCGGTGGCGCCTTTCACCAGTGAAGTTCAGCACATATCCGAATGCGTCTGCGCCTGTAATATTGCACGGATCAAGGGCATGTCATCAGCCGACGTGAACGTGACCCGCTGTTCTGGGACCAGGAAGGAGGCCAGATGTGGCCTCGCTGTGCGCACCCAGACTTCGTACACCTGCAACTTGTCTGGAGTGCGCTGTTTCTCGGAGAGCTCGCACCTGTGCTGGCCATCTCAGGTCGCAATCCACGAGGTCTCTGTTTGAATTATGCTAGGCGAAACTTGAAGACTGCCATTCATGCGTTGGAGGCGGAGAGTCGGCAGGAAGGACCATCACAACAGGGATGCTACCGGATTGATTTTTCAACCTTAACAAAAGATAAGACATGTGCTTCAGTTTTCTTGAAAATTTCAAATGCAACTCTCTGCATGGTCTTCAACGAGGTCACCTACAACGAAAGTACATATTGTCCTTTCATACAGCAGCGTGGGTAAAGTTTCATGTTCAAGGCAACACCTTGAACATGGAAAAAAAAAAAATAAACCTCCACTTCCACTTCAAACTTAAAGCCTCACCTCAGTTGGCGTCTCAAAGAAATTTGAAAAATGTATTGCATTATCAGATTTACATTTCTGCCCTCTTTAAAATGTATTCTTGTATTTGTTTTCCAAAAGCTTTTTGCCTCTTTTTAAAATGTATTTCCGATACGTATTGCGATACATTTTTACAGATATATTTGAGACTTGAGAATCAGTATCTTAGCAACTATTTTCATCTATTCCAGTATTTGTACTACAGTCGAACCTTGATATAACGAACTTCAATGTAACGAAATCCTCGATTTAATGAAGTATTTTATTTTTCGTAATTTCTTGCCCATAGACCCCATGTATTTTTAGTCTCTATATAATGAAGTCTATTTTGCTGCTATTTCAATATAACGAAGCGCCATTGCCGTAGAAGGCAATAAATAAATAGACTCTAAAGAACAACTTGGCAAAAAAATTGTGGTTAAAAAAAAATTATGCTCAAACCCGAGCGCTTGATAGGTTACTTCACGGGGACAGGCCTTCTAACGTTCCTAGGCTGCCTGAGGATGCGGCGCCGGTAGCGCCGGCGAGGCATGCGGCAAAGCGCATTCCGTGGGGCTGGCCAGAAAATGCCGAAACGGCATCACCACTGACATTCACTGATCATCATAGTCCACTGTTCCGCGGTTAGCGCGGGAGCCAACTTCAAGGGGGGAGCGACGTGGTGGCGCGACCGCACGGGCAGTGCCATCTAAAAGAAGACCGATTATCGTCTTGCGAGCAAGCACACTGTGGGCGCAAGGGGGCAAGTAAACTGTGCAGGCAAGAGTGCTGTGTAGGTTGGAAACATTGGCACCGCCCAAAACAGCTTTATTTTTCAACCGGGCAGTTCGCTCACGTGCTTGCTGCCATAGGGAAATGTAAAGTTCTTTCTTTGGATGAGAAAGCAAACGTTTTGGACGCCATCCTGAAGAAACTGCCGAGATCACGAGCACTCGGGAAGTGCTCGACGCAATGGACGTACTGAGGAGGTACACGGTGTCGCATGGGCAGCAAGATGCCGTGCAAGCGCTCCGGGCGCTGCTATGTCGGACAAGGCGCAAGCAAAACTCGCGGACTACTTTGCCCCTAAATAAATATCATTTTCGGTGAGTTTTCAAACCCGTAAAATGTTTCGGAATTTTTTTTTTGCATGCTAAAGCCAAATTTTGATTTAGCGAAATTTCAATGTAACGAAGTGAATTGCGAATTTTACCGACTTCGTTACATCGAGGTTTAACTGTATTTCCAAATACATTTTTGAATAATTCTGCCCAACCCTGCAACAAAATGCAGCTGTCAAGTGACACTTTTAACGTTTAGGAATTAGAGGAATGGAATGGAACGATTCAGCCATTCCAGGAGTGGGAATGAGCCCAGTGTCCCCATTCCTAGGAGTTGAAAGGAATGGAATTATCGAAAACTCTAATTCCCCGGAATGGAATTGGAATGGAATGGGGGTGGCCATTCCGCAACACTGGTTACACATGTATGTGTCTACTTTTTTCTCTTGCATCATTAAAGGGGTACGAAAACAAAAATTGAAATATTCAAATTTCGTTCGGGAATGAGTCAAGTGTGACGGATAATAACCGTAAATGATAATCGTGCGTTCGTATTTTGAACGACTGGCTATATTTTTCGTTCCGAATGGTGCACTCGAGCAAGCGCTCGAAGAGAAGCAATTGCGGGAACCCGCTATGAACTTTTTTCTCGGACGTTCCGGTACCGCAGATCGTGCTGTTGATGCGAGATTCCCATCGATGATAGCTTGACGTCTAACGGGAATGGAGGGGTGAGCGATATTTTGGGATTTTTATGTTACAGATATTTAGCCAGAAAAACGGGATGGCGACCTCTCGGGAGGGGGCGTCCTTATGGGAGTTTATGCTTTTTTTTTTATTTTCTTCTGCATTTGTTTGGTTTTTGCACACTTTCTCTCTCTAAGCGTATGAGGCACTTCTCTATTTTAAACATTGTTTGGTGTTTCCAGGTTTTCTGTGATTCCTCCCTCCAATTCGCCTGCCATAGCAGTGGCCCTGCAGGAGCCAGAAAACGATCCTCGCTGCTTTTGCTACCTGTGGGTGATCAACGGAGCAGACTCTGCAGTTGGGTGGGTCCACGCAATCGCTTTGAAATTTGTCGACATAACATTGTCGGCGCCTCTCCGCTGGCTGCAATTGTGACGACACTCGCTTCTTGCAGGACCAACTGTATTACATCCTGCTTCATGTATGCAGTCAGCTTCACCAAGAAGCAAGCAAATCCAGAGGGACGCTGCATCTACCAGGTTTGTGAATGTGATCTCCTCAGGCAGCACACCAATGTTGGACCTACATTGGGCCAACAATGGCAAATGCTGGCTCCGGAGGTTGGTCCAACATTGGTATTCTGGCCGAGCGCAACTTCTTCCAATGTTGGCCCAGCCATTGGCACCAACGTTGGGCCATCGTTCAACCAATGTTCCAGCCATCATTGGCACCAACGTTGGGCCATCGTTCAACCAACCTTCCAGCCGTCATTGGCGCCAATGTTGGGCCATCGTTCAACCAATGATCCAGCCATCATTGGCACCTTTTTTAGGCCATCGTTAAACCAATATTTCAGCCATCGTTGGCATCCACACTGTGTCATTGGCTATGCCAATTTTGGCTTTCACACTAATTCAATGGCTATGCCATCATTGCTATACAACTTCACTCATTGAATAGGCCGTTATCGGCAGTGAAGCTGATTCATTGGCATGTCCCAGTGTTAATGCCATATCTTTAATGCTGGCTATGCAATGATGGCAATGTGTTTAAATCCTGGTTATTCCAACATTGGGTTTTAAGAACCCCTGGCCTGTTTCTTATTAGCAGCCCACTGCAAGAAAAACATTCTGGGCACAAATGGCAAGGTCCTCCTATGCTTTGTCTGTGCACTATTTTATCTGGCGAGCAAATGACTAATTCAAGATCAATTAATACTTTTTTCGGGACTTTTATTGAAAGGGGCTAGGGAGGAAGCTCAGCGGGGAGCCTATGCCTGGTCCTGGGGAAGGTCCTGGGGCGAGTCCTGGGGCTGGGGAGCCATTACGGCTTCCGAACGCCTCTTCCTGCAACCTCCCCTGTCGCAAGACCCTGGCAGCCACTCCAGCACCATTTTTAAGCTGCCGATTCTTCAATTGTTAGCTTCGCACTGATGGCATCTACGAAAAGATCCAAAGGTCAAAGATCACCGCTTTCAAACCCACATTGGTCTTAGTAAAGCACACTCCCAAGCAGCACTTCAACAAATGTTAAGGTTTGAGTGTCCCCTAAAAAGTCCCTCGCTCACGACTTTTCAGTCCTTGCGGCGTAGCACCCGTGGTAGCCGATGATCAGGGGTCTACGACGTCAGGGCCGAGGTCCGGACGTAGTGACGAGGCAGTTGACCGATGGCCGAAGGCTTGAATCAGGCCCCGTACGCCGGTGGCAGCCTATGACCAGGTGTCCGCCAAGGACTGGGCCGAAGGACGTAGCGACGAGGCAGTTGGGCGTCGGCCGAAGGCTTGAGTCAGGCCCAGAACGTCTGTGGCACGGAGTGGCAGCGGGTGTTCAACTGCGCAACGCATGCAGTCTTGTCTACCTCCGGAAGGTTGGCGCCCGGACTGCGTGAGAAGTGGGTTGTGGGTCGGGCCTCTTGACGTCTGGTCACGCCGACGGAGCTCCGGCCTGGTCGCGTCTGCACCGTCCTTTGTCAACCGCCCGAATCCCCTCTCGCGCTCCTCGCATGCCCCCACCTCGTCTTCTTCTTTCTCGTCCTCTTCGGCTGGTCGCGGGATCGCTCATCACACCAGACTAAAGGCCGGTTCAGACACTTGCGTTTGAGTGCGTTTGACTGCGTTGCGGCGAGAACCGAAAGCGAGTCACCGGCACATCTGTGCTTCGTATGAAGCGTGGAATCTTCTTGGCACTCGATATAAGCAGCAGGGATGTCCTGGTGTCTTGCTGCCGCAACGCAGTCAAACGTAGCTAAAATTATTAGTGCTTTTTATTTATTTTTTAATTTTGTCCGGTTCAGTCTGAATTATAGGCCGCGTTTTGCGGCTCAGCAAAGCGGGTTCCCTTGAGATTTTCAAGATCACATACAGCTGACAATACACCCGTGTCCTAGGTTGGGGAGGCGGGTGGAAATTTCGGGGTTGAACCCTGCCCTCCCCCCTCTTTGGAAAGGTTTCCCGGCTGCGTCGCTAAATGGGCATAAGAGAGGAGGCACTATGCTTTTTGCCGTATAAACATATACACAAATCGAAGGAAGCGTGCATTTTGTATTTCGTGTGGAATTTACTACGCATAACTATCAGTTTTGGGAAGACGCGTGTTAGTTATAGTCGGTGACAGGTGGTAGAAGCTCCTCCCATCTCTTTCCATATTTGTAGATCGAAAGATCAGGAGGAGTCGACCTCCTCCCCAGCGTTTATTTTTAACCTGTCACCGACCACGGTTTTTTTCTGCGTGGACGTTCAAACTTGCTACAGCTCGCAATGCATGCAGCGTTCTAATTCAGTTGCTAACTTGCTCTGCGTGTGAAAACAAGAATCGTTCCCCCCGGAGGCATAGCTAGAGATTGTTCTCAGCGTGCGCGATCAGCACATTAAAAGAACTAAGCCAATTATATATAACATTCGTAAGCCACTGGCTAAGACAGGCCAATGTTGCCCAGCCTAAGTCAATCGATTACCAATGTCGGTAATTGATTGGCTTAAGCTGGCCAACATTGGCCTGTCTTAGCCAATCGATTACCAATGATGGCAACTCATTGGCTAACATAGACCAATGTTGGCCAGCCTAAGCCAATTGATTACCAATGTTCGTAACCAATTGGCTAAGACAGGCCAATGTTGGCCAACCTAAGCCAACCAATAGCCAACGTTGCTAAGCCGTTGGCTGAGGTTGGCCAATGTTGGCCAGTCTAAACCAATCGATTGCCAACGTTGGTAAGCCATTGGCTGAGGTAGGCCAATGTTGGCCAGCCTAAGCCAATCGAATACCAACGTTGGTGAGCCGTTGGTCAAGTTAGGCCAACGTTGGCCAGTATATTCCAGTGTAACACCAATATTGGTTCTACGATGGCCACATTGGCCCAATATTGGACCATTGTTCGCCAATTAAATACCAATGTTGGCCCGACGTCGTGTTCTGTCTGGGGGACGTTCAAACTTGCTACAGCTCGCAATGCATACAGCGTTCTAATTCAGTTGCTAACTTGCTCTGCGTGTGAAAACAGACGAATCTTTCCCCCCGGAGGCATAGCTAGAGATTGTTCTCAGCGTGCGCGATCAGCACATTAAAAGAACTAAGCCAATTATATATAACATTCGTAAGCCACTGGCTAAGACAGGCCAATGTTGCCCAGCCTAAGTCAATCGATTACCAATGTCGGTAATTGATTGGCTTAAGCTGGCCAACATTGGCCTGTCTTAGCCAATCGATTACCAATGATGGCAACTCATTGGCTAACATAGACCAATGTTGGCCAGCCTAAGCCAATTGATTACCAATGTTCGTAACCAATTGGCTAAGACAGGCCAATGTTGGCCAACCTAAGCCAACCAATAGCCAACGTTGCTAAGCCGTTGGCTGAGGTTGGCCAATGTTGGCCAGTCTAAACCAATCGATCGCCAACGTTGGTGAGCCATTGGTTGAGGTAGGCCAATGTTGGCCAGCCTAAGCCAATCGATTACCAACGTTGGTGAGCCGTTGGTCAAGTCAGGCCAACGTTGGCCAGTATATTCCAGTGTACCACCAATATTGGTTCCATGATGGCCACATTGGCCCAATATTGGACCATTGTTTTCCAATTAAATACCAATGTTGGCCCGACGTCGTGTGCTGTCTGGGTCCCTTCTTGACCACATTTCTTGTCGTGCAAAAAGTGAACTGTTTCGTGGATAGGTTTCTTGACTACTTAGAACGATCAGATGAAACTGGTCCAAATAAACTGTTTCTAGTTATATATTGCCGCGAGCGCAGCTGACCAAGTAGGCGGTGGGCCCGTGGCCTAACGGTTATTGCGCTTGCCTTCTACGCAGAAGGCCAGAGTTCGATTCCTGGTCGCGACACGTCTTTTATTTATTGTTGCAATTTACTGTTCTCGGAAATTCGAGAACTCTGTTGCATGTTCGAGGTCAGAATGTTCTATGCACGAACCTTCTGCAGTCGATTGTTCGAGAAGCCCACGCATGTACAAAAAGGGCTCTGCGTGGCAAGCTGCACTCAGTTTCGCCCCAGCGTTTGACTCTGCTGTCACGCCGACTTCGACACTTGCGGCGCTCTACTTTCTTCTGTTCTCTTTTTATTTTTAGGCACAAGTTCGCCCCATTAAACGTTTAGTTTCTTCGGTTATTATCGCCTCTTCAATTGTCATTCGTGACAGTATAACCTTACCCTCCCTTTGGAGCAATTTCTTCGTCTTCAGCCTAAGGTAGCCCTGCATAAGCCAAAGATCTCTGATGCAAACTTCTTTCTTGCATCAGTAAGAAGTGTTTAGCTGACAATCACCCTTTAGTTATAGTTTTCTTTCACTCTGCACGTGCGCCCCTCCTAAGGCCTGCCAGCTGTTGGGGGGAACAATATACATGAATTTATTGGAGGAAATTTTATTTGTAATTTAAAACTTTCTAGGGCTTCCAGTCGTGCCGCCAGGTCTTCGAGTACACGCTGAATGCGGAGGTTGTCGGGCTTGACGAAGAGGCCTCCAGCTCTCTCCTCGTGTCCTGCCGCACGCTCCCCTCCACCAGAGTCACCGGTGACGTGCTAAAGCAGCAGGGTGAGCCACTGGTGAAACATAGAACTGCGCCGTACCTTAGCTGGATGAATTGTTTTCGGGCTGTTTGGCAACGGGCCTCGTTTCTTGCAGCAGACCTTCCTCACTTAAATTAATTTCGGTTTACCCGAGGAGTTGGTAAAACTGCCTCGGTGAAGTTTCACATTAATTGTAATATTCTGGCTCGGATGTTTGAAAACACAATTCTTTGGAAATGTCTACTGAAGCAGAATTCATTGAAGTGAGGTTTGATGGAGATCATCTTTCAAACTGTCTTCATGGATGCAAAAAGCTGTTCTGAATGAAGCAGTCCGTTTTTATCGGTCTCCATAATAAATACCTTGCAGTAACACAGAAGACATTCCCTGGGCCTAGTTTGTTTGCGGACTTAAAGGGGTAATGACATGCCAGAAATAAAATAAGATAACTATACTGCTAGGACCCATTGTATGTTCCTCTAATCCTGCGAAATTTGTTTTGAAAAAGGCGCGATAGTTTCGTGGATAAATCGATTTATAGCGGGTTCCTTGGATCAGCCCCATTCAAAAAGGACGCCGTGGCTGGGAGGCTGGGGATGTCACCAGCCTCCCGTGCGGCATCCCCTTGCACGCACTCACAGACTTGGCTTCGTCTCGAGCTTCAGCTTCCTCGTTTACCTTACGCATTTTGAGCATGCGGTCCGTGACGATTACGTCTACGGCATCGCTCGCCTTGTCAAAGTGTTGAACATTGATCGCAGCAGCGATAAGAGTGATTGCTATCAAGAGATGTTGGAAGCTGTTCACTTTGACTGTGACCCGCTCGCGACCAGCTCCAGCGACGGCGATTACGGATGAACTCGCCGTGGTCACGGTCGTCCGGGAATATCTCGCAGGCGCATGCAGGGGGGAAGGTCAAGGGGCGGGGGGCAAGAGCAAGAATTGTCTTCGGGTTACCAAGTTGTGTGAGTGGTTTTCATCGTACCGCGGCGAGGAGAGCTCGGGCGATCATGGAGGCCTCTAGAATGAGAAAGCGATCATGATCACGTGGTTTATGGACACCATGGTGTGACTAACTTGTACAGTGTTGCCTGGTCGCCAGATGAAAATGATAAAAATTCGTAAATTGATTATTGCAATTATCAGAGCTCTAAAAGTGTTGTAACTTCCTGTATATACAGTGTAGACCCCATATGACGTATGGCACGGCATATGACATGTGACGTATATCTCATGACATATGACGTATGACGTATCCGCACTATAAGCGGTACCGCGCTATAACCAAAACATCAATTTTTCAGGCCAAAATACATGCCATGAGACAACTTACCTTTGTAAAGCAATTTATTTTATATTAGATGAAAAATAAAGCTTAGTTTGAGGAAAGTCTTTATTTCACCAGACTAGTACACTTCTCTCTCAAGTATGTCACACATTTTGAAAGAAATGAGTGACTTTTGCCTGGCGCAGCCTTTTAACGGCGTCGCGGGTTGTGGACGAACGTTGCGAGCGTTCAGGATTGCTAACCCTAATCGCTTTTCTCCGGTGATGAAAACGCGTGAAATTTCGCATCCTTTATACGGTACGCGCCAGTAATACCTTCAACTTGAGCACAGGCAAGAAATGCTCCAAATAAGAAATCCTGCCGATGTTCGAAAACACAAATGCTTAGAAATCACCACTGTAGTCGAAGTAAACAAACACAACGACACGGGCGTTTCTGCTGTCTTGAGAGTGCCGCTGGTGCCGCCACGACATCGCCGCACGAGTAGGTGAATCTTCCCTTCTAGTACGTGCTCGGTTATCATAGCGACACACAACGAAAATTCACAGTCAAGGATAGCGCTTTTACGCGAACGATGAGCTTCCACCACGCCGTCTACGTCGACGATCACCACCGACACTATGTTAGTGGATAGAAGAAGCCGGCCCACGACCGGCATGCAACGCGTGCAAACACTTTTCCTCGACCTGGAATTGGTCTGTCGTTGCGGTTGTTTCCAGCGCAGCGGGAAAGAGTTGGGCTGGTTGGACTCGCTCCAACGCCTTGCACCGTGAACGACACGTGCGTGCGTCCCTCCGTCGCTATGGCAACTGAAGCCTCTCTCTTCGCTTCTCCCCGCTTCTTCGAGCAACCTCCTTGCCCCGCGAGTGCCGCTTGCGGCTAGCGCCGTTATCTAGTGTCGCACAGGGAAGTGTGCTCGCCGCTCCGGTCGGTCGGCGCGGTCGGCGGGCTGTTCCAGAAACCGCACTATAACCGGTATTTCTCTTCGCACGGCTGCATTTTAAGCAGTATGTAATTACATGGAGTTCTATGGGAGGCGAACCGGTGGTTTTAAAAAAGCCGCGCTATACCCGGTCCTGCACTATGAGCGGTTACGTTGTAAGTGGTCTATGCTGTACTAAGTAGCCTATGAACATTCTATTTCAAGAATAATCTATCCATTTAATTTTTGTGTCATAACCCCTTTAAAGGGACCATGAAATGACCTTTTTACTTTTTCCAGATAACTTTTACATTAAACCGTCAATGTTCACTGAATGCCGAACAGGCATCCGTTTTCGTCTCGGTTTATTAACTTCTACACAAAAAATTATTGAAATATCGACTTTTTCATTCTCTCCAACTGACCGCAAAAGAAGCCGTGACGTAGACCGCTTCCGGAACCGGAAGTTCTCTCAGCAGTAGGAGAACGGGAGTGTTAGCGGCAACGAGTTGGGGTGCGCCGGTAGGTTTTACTGCGCTGATGTCACCGACGTATTTACTAAATCGGCGCCTCTCATCGCCGCATCGCAGCTGAGCGAAATTCAATGAGATATGTTGCGCTACAGCGACAGCATGGGACTAGTCCCATACGCCGGTATGCCTGTTGGGAAGTGCAGCGAGTCTTCCGGTGAAGACTCCAGAAGTCAACCACCCCGTCATTGTTGGCAGAAGGGCCGGCCCGTGTCAGTCGTTTGCAAAGCGACGTAGATGGCGTTTTTCGCGGCCTCGGAGATGCAGGAGCGAGCCGACGTTAAAAAAGAAACGTTTGAACTACGAGTGTCAGCAAGAGCCACGTAAATACCTGTTTACACGCGGAGCGGACGCGCGCGCTTGATGGAAGTCTTGTATTCGCGCTGTTTGTAAGCGCTTCGGGACCGTTCTTTTACGATTGCAACTCGATACTGACGCGACACTCGGCAAAGAAAGGTTGGACCGGGGTTGTACGTATACCTCCCACGAACTGTTATAGCTCGACAGTGACGTGCAGTCTGCCAGAATAAAAATGGCATACCAATAACAAAGTGTACATACCGTGTTACGAAGGTAATCCATACGGCATTTATTTCAGCTCTATATCACACAAAACAAGAAGATAGAATCGACGAGAGTCCCTTTTCGACGAGTGTTCGTCAACACTGCCTCGGAAAACAAGGGGAAGAGATTGACCTCACCTCTTAATCTAGAATTGAGGTCAGTGATCAAACTATAATACGGGAAGGGTCCACAAGGGTCGCGTGGGCATATTCCATTTAGCACGCCAGCCGATCGTAGGCAGACGGTCTTGCGACGAAGCAACGCAGCGCCGAGTCGGAATGCCTGCTAGGCCTATACGCTTCGTCGGAGTCGGTGGATCCAGCGTTCTTGTTCGTCGTGGTCTGTTTTAAGTACTGTTTTCTTGCTGCTTGAAGTCGGCACGCGCGGGAAGAACACGTAGAAAAATAAACGTTCAGTCAGTCAGAGTTTTGAGAGGAAGGAAAACAAAGAAAATAAATGTTCGTCGGTCGCCATCAATGGTCGCCGTCACCCAAGTAACTGTCGGCCCTGCCCTACTGCGCACGCGCAGTAGTTGCTTTGTTTACCACACGATAGATGGCGCTTGGCTCTCAGCATTATCAAATTTGGCAATTTTCGCCACACATCTCTAATTATGCTACAAAATGTGGATCTGAATATTATTTAACAAAACTTTTAGGAAACATTCGCCGGCTATTTATTGTTTACGATCGCGGTGCTGGTGAGGTAGGCTCTTACCCAATAGGCGACCTGGATTTGGCTGACGTGCTCCATTTCCGCGGATGCATCGTAGTGAACAGGCGAAGGAAGGAAGGTGCAAAAGAGTCCAGTTTTCTTTTAAAAGTTATATAGCAAATAATTTCTTTTGCCTCCCTATTTTTGTGTTTTTGTGTTTCTTTTCACACCTTTTACGACGTGCGGTGGATGAAACTCGATTTTAAAATCATTTCATGGTCCCTTTAAGTATATTATTTCGAGCACTTGAAGATCATTTGCAGTATGGTTTCGAGCACAAGCGTTTGGTATAGAAGATCCACAGGTTCGGACCAAATAATCTTTTATTAAAGTTATAGTCGCGCACAACTTGCAAAACTTGGGGCATGATTTATTATGCTCACACTTGACTCGTTCTCGGCGTTCTTTTTGGCTAATGCTGCAATCTCATTGGCTGCATTGCGATGGGATGCACAGGGCTTGCCACGTCATTGGGGACAAATCGCTTCCTTTTTTCTTTGCACGTGCAGAGTACATCGAAGACCTCAGGCTCTTGCTGTTGACCTGGCAGTTGTTTCGCGGTCACAGACTGCTGGGTACTTATGTGTCTGTTTTTGACCTCAACCAGTGGTACCGAGCACTCATGCCTGGAGCGTACCGGTGAGGCACCACCTTTCGAAGTTCCTTTACTTGTTTGGAAGCTTCGGAACCTGTCCCTGAATGTGCAACAATGTTGACTACAGGTGCAATGCTCTCAAGCTGTGTCCCTACGTTGGTCTCCTCTCCCTGGATGAAGCCGTGGCTGAGTGTGGCAGCAGACAATTCCTGGTGAGGCCTTCCTTTGCCCCAACTTCTTGTAAACTTGGGAATTCTGTCTCCCGTACAGGATCAGTACACAAGTTGATATTTTTTTAAGTTCCCACTTTGGTTATACGTAGGACTCGCATGTTTTTGGATAAATGCTATAAACTCGAAAGACAAGCTCACCAGTAAAATTTTCGACAATTCGGATTTGGGCGAAAAGCTGAAGATTTCGATATCACGATGGCAAAACGAAAGGCCTACAAAAGACGGTATTCCGACGAATACAGTTTGTTAGAACACAGGGTATGTGGTCCTAAAAAAAAGTACAAGAGGGAGTTTCTCGTTTATCTCGTCAAGGTTTGTTCAGTACAATGAGCCAATGCACTTCTAGACCACGGCAAAAGCCACTGTTCTGGTTTCCAGTTTGAACCATACCATTTGTGCTTCTTGCGTTTTCATAAAAGTGAAAGATGTGAACCTGTAGATATCGTAGGATGGGAAGGGCAACTGAAAAGCTTTATGCGTCCAGGAGTTTGACTATTTCAAACTACCAACATTTATTGCATTAACATTCTTGTCAAGATTTGTCATGGGACAGTTGATACTGCCAACTGCAGGGCGCCAATGCCAAATACAGATGCAGAAATTTGGGTGATTTTTTTCATGCATTTAATGTATGTTTTTGTCCAGGCATTATTTATTTTCATTAAAAATAAGAACGGAGTAAAATTAAACTGAGTTTTGGGAGAATTGTGAATCTAAGATAAATAAACTCCGAGAGACCCCGAATTTCCAGCATAAAATAAGCTCCAAGGAACCACCTCCAAATGTTACAAACTCCGGAAACACCGAATCCTAGTTATAATACGGCAGACTTCAAAAGGCATTAGCCAATGCCGGTTTGCTGCCGCCGACCATAATTATGCCCAATGGAATGGAGAGGGGGTTACACAGCTGGGGGGTGTCATTAAATTTGTGTATTAGTAATTTGCAAATATGAGTTAATATTCACGCGTTCAAACTAAACGGAATACCGAGGGACAGGCCAACGGAAACAGAGCTGACTCTTTTCACCAAACCGGGCATGAGCCAAAGCAACAGGCGGAATGCTGCGTTCCCGTCGATATTCCTCAACGGTTGGGCCACGGCATGGTGCCTAAAACACATCGTCAACTGGTGTGTTAACCGTGTCTTTATTCTTCATTCATTATTTTCTACCCCGTGACTCTCTTAGTGGCTTGTGCTGTTGCCGGCAGCGATCCTGGCTGCAGCACAGCAGCGAAGTTTGGTGCACAAATCAATACCATCTAGAAGACTGGGGCTGTGCCCCTCCTCCTAAAACATCATCACTAGGGGATTCACGCAGTGCCGCCTAGCTTGTGTCAGCATCACTGCCAGCACGTCTCTCAGTATTGCACGACGCTTGCACGCGACGACAACAAGACTAATGTGTCCTCGTGCAGTGACGCTCGCGTCCGTGCGCCTTTTTCGTCCTATTTCGACGGAACTTCTTCAACGAGTGGCCGGGACTGTGACAATGGACAGCGGAAATTGCCACCTTCCACAACGCATTTCATTCCCCCTTTGGTACCACTCCGGCTGCGTGGGTGGTGTACCGTACTATTCCAAGATATGGCCAAGATGGCCCGTCCTCTATTTTGGCACAATTTGATATTTTTGTTCTGAAACACCGCGAAAACAAGCTTGCTTCTTGTAATTGTGGGGTTCCGGCCAATGGTCACCTTGGCAAAAACGGCGTTGCTGAACCACGGTGGGATACGGGGGAGCATTGCCGACTGAAAGGACGGTCGCCTTTGATTCATCGCTCCTTCCTGCAGTCACAAGTTTTGAGGGTAACAAAATCTAAATCTAGCCTTTCTTAAACTTTTTTTTTGCAGCGAAGCTGTCATGCGCTAGGATCTGGGAAAAAATGTGTTCGCGGATGTTGACAGAAATTTCTCCATTGGTCGTGGCAAGCATGAATAAATAAAAATAAAAAAGGTGCAACCAGCATGTGTCAGCTTTCCTTGGCATTGTTAGATAGTAAGGTCATGATCCCTTGTTGTCATCCCTAGGCATCGTCTTCGAGGTCGTCCTTGAGGTCGTCCTTGAGGTTGTCCTCTAGGCGTCGTCCTTGAGGTCGTCTTAGAAGTCGTCCTCGAGGTCGCCCTAGACGTTTTCCTCGAGGTCGTCCTAGACGTCTTCCTCGAGGTCGTTGTAGACGTCGTCCTCTAGGCATCGTTCTAGATGTCATAAAAATAACAGCTTTGCTGGTCTTCCATCTTCACGCGAAGTGGAAGGGCTCTACAATTTTTTTCTTATGGCACGCCTTAGGTTAGTTTGCCCTTTATTTTCATTTGATTGGCTATCGATTGATAGCCAATCAAACGAAAATTTTCGTTTGATTGGCCACCTCTTGGGATATTCCGGTAGAACACTAGACACACCAGCTGGAGACGTGTTCCAGGCAACATAGTCACGGTTTCTTCATGTTGGAATGTGCCTGGATTATTGTGACCCTATTTCTAGCCGTAAGGTGCCAGTTTCTCAAACATAATTCTTCCTCGAATAGTCGCTCAATTTGTTTGGATGTTACCGTAAATATTTCACAGTAAATGCTGTTGTCATTGGCTTTCGCCCTCACAATGTCTATATACTTCTTTCTTTGTGAACTCTCATCAGGACATCCGAGTCATTCCATCGTCGGTGAAGAAGTTCCGCTCCCCAAACCCGCTGGTGGAACAGACTCACTTTCCAGCTTCGCTGGCCTTCGGTGAGTGGGGACAGAATGTTGTCACATTGGATGTGCATTTTACTGTCATGTCGGGAGGTCCTGGGGCCCATTAAATTTCTGTGGTTTTTCAGACTGCATTTGCATCACTCGAGAAGGTTCCATTCTCGTGTCCTTCCTGGGAATGCAGCGGCAGGTAATTACGTTCACTTGTACGATACAACTCTGTTATACGTATGTGCACGATAAGAGAGTTTTCAGCCACTGTATCTTGTGAGCCATGTTGCTGGGACCGCTGTAATGAATACTGTCGAGACCGGTTATAACAAAGTTGTTTATAACGAAATAGCGGCTAGAGCAAAGCGATCACGATTTCCCATCCCCTTTTGCACTTCGTTATAACCGAAGTCGGTTATAACAAAATAGCGGATATAGCGACGTAATTTCCGATTCCTGTTCACTTCATTATAACCGGTCTCGACATCCACATTTTCTAGTCGCAAGCCTCGTCTCTGCTGCCCCAATGGGAACTTTAGTGCCCCTCCCCCCCTTGCTTCACACCTGCTTTAAATATTCCTAAATTTGACCGATTTAGGGGTTTTCCAGGATGCCTGGCAAGTTTCTAATGAAACTGTAATTCCTTTTCACTGTTTAGAAAGTTAATTAGTATACGTCTTTGTCAATTATTTAGCTAATTAGTAGGTTTTTTGCACTTGAGACGTTGGATGTGACTGGCAGTTTGTTCCCAAAAAGAGTTCATTATTTTTTTTTTCTCGACCAACCTATGCGGAGAGCAAGTCGTCTGCTTGTTGTGCAGGAGTTGCGATGACGTCGGAATGACGCTGAGCTCCGATTGGCTTAAGGTCTTCGCTGAATTGCCTTGTACGTCAAGGGTGCACTAAACATATGCTGCAACTCGACTGTGCTGTACCGACTGTGATACCCTTTTGTGTCCCTGTGCCTCCCCGCCCCTGTCTTCCAGCTGCTGTATGCCATTCAGGAGCTGGGTCCCAGCTGTCTCTCCACCGCCAGAGATCTCCTGGTGCGCTGCACTGCCGTCGGCCTCGTCAGCGAGGCAGCCCGCCGCTCTTCGCACCGCAGGAGCAACCCGGTTCGTTTTGTAGTGCGTCTTGGGATAGGGAAAACATCTTCTATACCTTAGGTGCAAGCTTCCTACCTCCGACAAAACTTGGGCGTCCCGCGCAGCTCGAGTGTGCGTGCGGCGCAACCAAAGCACGGTTGGAGGCATGGAGCACTTTCCGGAGGCCGGGTGCTCAAAAGACATTCCTTACCGTTTTCACTCTGTTGGTCACTATGAAAGATCAAGCTTTATTCAACTTAAATAGGGTTTATTTGATCTTAATTGCTTCATCTCGGATGTTAATTTTTTTTTTTTTTTCACCGCTGCTTTTTTTAGGTGCAGCATGCTAATGTGCAGAAACTGTTTTAGAATGAGTACCCCACTGTAAATGAAATTGTGCCATAAAGTATAGTTTAATTAGGAACTTCTTACCTTTTGTTAGACAGAGTGCTGCTGGATATTTTTATCTAGCAAGCGCATGCAAGAAATCAAGACGATGATCACTATGTGAGCGATTAAGTATTGATAGTATTGAACTGTCTGCCACACCGGAAATGCAAAGCAGCAAAGTCGAAACACTATGCGATTTGCGGCAGTGACTTTCGAACTCGAGCGCCGTTTACAAATTACTTTTTCTTATTTCAAAATGCCCGAGGTGGTGGAAGGGTTTTGCAAAGGAGGCAGCTAGCTCAGGCAAAACAAAGCAGATACATATACTAGCCGATGCAAGATCAACCTTGAGCATATGTAGTTTGCTACATCTGTCAGCTTCTCTTGCTCTCTCTCTCTCTATTTCTCTATCTCTCCCTTTCTGTTGGTTTGTATATATGTCTGTGTGGGCATATGCACAAGCAACTTTTTTTATTTTTTAATTTACATTTTATTTAGTTTGCAATTGGACGCTGCGTGGCTAACAAACGGAGTGAAAGGTCGATAATATGTGCCTCGAAGTGCTCGCCAGTTGTCTCGGAGACCGGGTGAAAAGTGGACTCAATGCTACGTTTGTTTTTGCCTCGGGAGCATGTTTTCTGCTCATCACTCTCATGCAAATCTTCCTTGCCCAATGATTGTTTGCTCCAAGTAAAAGTGTATGGTTATGTAGTAGTTGATTTATCAACATTGAAGTGGCAAACAGGAAGTTTCCAGAATTTCTTTTTAATATTGGCATTTTTAAACTCGCAATTGAAATCGGGATTTTAATTCGTAAATAAACAAAGCAGGATGAAGGGTATCTTCATCCTGCTTTGTCTAGTATGTTAATTTGGTGTTGCTGTCTGTTTGGGAGTTGTGACGCCTCGGCGCATTGCTTGGTCGTCGACTCGTTGGCTTGACAGCCGTTGCGCCTGTTGTCTGTGCATTGTCTGTGGATGCTGGAGTTGTGACGGGTGGCCAAGGTCTTTGTTGTTTTCTTTGTAGGTGGCCCAAAATGCCCTACTGTCCCTTGCACTGGAATACAGGATGGTCGGATTCCTGCAAGCTTGCCTTCGCCACCGGACAGCCACGCCAGGTGGGGCGGCACAGCTTTGTGCTGTACTTGGAGGAAATGCTGAAAATTGAGTCTTTGGTTTGTCGAAATGCGAGGTGGGACACTTCAATCTAAGGGTGACATGGAGAATGCTCAGGGAACCTGCAATGACAAGGAAGCGTAGCACGCACAGGGGGAAGGGGGGAAAAGCACGTCGGTGCATTTCGCCGGTGTACAAACACACGAGGTGTGCAAAGAGTGGACAAACTTGCATGCTGTGTAGTCACTGGCGGGATGAGACCAGCAAAGTGTCCCTTTTGGATGTTTGACCTCCGGCACGCGCTCGTTGCCTTTTTTCGTGCTTCGTCTGTGCATCCATGCTTGAGGATTATGAGACAGCAAGACGTTATTCAAGGTTAGTAGCTTGCTCTGAAGTAAGGACAACTGAAAGAGCTCTCTGTTGTTCTTGTATCTTATTGGTGCCTATACATGATCTCAGTTAGCGACACAACTTCGCTCCTAATGTTTCACACTGCCCAACGAGTCTTCAGTTATTTAAAAGTATTAGTGGTAGACGTATATTTTACTCAGAAGGTGCTCCTCGCCTCACGGTGACGAGCATTCAGTGTCTCTTGCAGTCCACGGTAAATTCGACGCCACCTAGTTTCAGCGTCCCTCGTTTGACTTCAGTTTGCTAATGGTAGTTGGTTTCCATTGTTGTAGGAGACCAGAGCGGAGAGCCACTGCTACCGTTCATGCTCAACTGGGTCTGGAACAGCGTCAAGGAGATCAAGGAGTCCCTCGACACACTCTGTGAGTCAACTACTCTACTTCGTTTGAGAGGAGGCCTCTCGTTGCGCTGGCTGCATTTTATCCGGCCGTATATGGCGCCTGAATCGACTGGCTGTCGAGTCAGGCGCCATCTGGCATACATACGTGCAGAACAATTTATTCGAGACATTGTCTCATCCAACGTAGTTACAGGCACTAAATACCTGCAAGGCCGTGCCACCCCTTCGACAGTTGTGTGCACAGTTTTCAAGAGTGCAGACGTAAAACTTGAGAAAGTGAACTGCTTGCAGAAGTATTCGTGCAAGGAAATCGCTTCCTAAAATAATGTGGCCATACCTTTGGTAACGGTGCTTTGTACTCTTAATGTGGATCGTCATGGCTGTTACATCTATAGCCACAAATGTGAATGCCACGTTTCCTCCGTCGTGCCTTTTCTTGCTTTGACCATGCATATTGAGTTATTAACTATGTTTTTGGGAATGTTTTTTAAGTTGCAATAGTATCTTGTGAATTGATAATATTTTTTTTAATGCCATCCCCTTGGATATTGACTGTTGGGGCCCACAAAGAAAACAAACGATGATGAGGAACCGTTTGCAGACGTACCACTTTTCGACTGCTCGGGTCGTGACATGGAGGAAGGCAGCTTCCTCATGGCATCTCACCTGGGAGAGCTGTCGGTGCTGGCACCGCTCCTCGACCTTGGCCGATGCCTGGCCAGCGGGGATGTCGACGTCGGTGAGTGGGGTCTTCACTCGCAAACTCGCCCCTTCCCCCCCCCCTGACAAACAGCATTATATACGCATTTGACCGCAGCGCCCTCTCCTGTATAGACGTTCAGCGGCTACATGCAACGTTTCATCTATGGCATCCCCAGCTCTTGAGTTACTACCACATCTCAGATACTCCTACTCGTCCCGCAGTCGTGGCCGAGTGGTTAAGGCGATGGACTAGAAATTGATTGGGGTCTCCCCGCACAGGTTTGAATCCTGTCGACTGCGCAAACATTTTTTCTTTTTTTTAAGAAGACAGATGGGATGGCAATCGATGTGAGCACGGACGCCGGACAAAGCTAGACCCTAAGGAGCTTCGCCCCTAATAATATTCGGGTAGAGGCGTACCGTTAGATCAAAAAAGAAAAATCGCTTGTATCAATTAGTATTTCTTCAGCTGGATCTAGCATTGATGCCATTGCCATTGGCAATACTAATTTGTTCCAAGACAAAAGATGCACACAAGTGTTGCTATGGTGGGAGTCAATACCTTAAAATCAATAAGCTTCTGGAGGTAGTCGCTAGGAAGCTCATACTCTTCCCATTGTATTTCATCAGCCTACCCTCGGCAGAGCGAGGTGGAGTGGTAAAGGAAGTAAGAGAAGTTTCAACTGCACCTTTTTCCACATTTTATGCAATCCCTATGGTCCATAGCTGTCACTGTTACAAAAACACGTCTCCTTCCTGTAAAGCCCGAATAGTATGGCCCAAACTGGAAACTAAAACAGTGGCTTATGTCGCGATATGAAAGTGGATTGACCTGTTTTACTAACGTAATCTTGATAAGATAAGGCCCCTTTGGACAGTGGTCAGAGACAGGCACGTAGCCAGGATTTTGTTTTGGGGGGGGGGGGGGGGGTCCTGCCCATGACAAAATGCTGTATGAGGGGGAGGGGGGAGAGGAGGTCCCAGCAAAATGAAAGATTTCGGGGAGGGGAAGCCGGGCCCTATGGGCCCTCCCCTCCCCGGCTACGTGCCTGGTCAGAGATTTGAAGAGTAACTGTTGTGGCATTTTCCTAGGACCATTGACCCTGTGCGCAGATCAAACTTAATTGTAAAATACCGTCATTTCTTTTTTTGTCTTTTTTTTTTTTTTTTTGTGTGTGTGTGCTTGTTTGTTTGTTTGGGAGGGGGGAGGCGTTGGCACATCAAAATTCGGAGTTTATCGAATAAATCCGAATTGACCAAAATTTTACCGGCGAGTGTTTTTTGGAGTTTTTCGGATTTATTCGAAAGCACGGAGCCCTATTCATAAATCTGGTGTCCTTTAAACATTATTTGGTACACATACCGCTCGAGGGTTTTGCCATTTTGCGGCACCTTGGATGCAACGGTTGCATTGTTTATTGCAGAGTTAGTAGACTTGCGCCGAGAGGTGCTGTCGATGGTGAAAAACCACGTGGAGGTCGTCCTTTTCCTCGTGGACTGCGAGCTTCTGCCTGAGCAGCGATCGTCTGGTGCTCCAGCCTACCCCTGGCCAGTTTTGCGCGACTGGTACCAGCGGAGAAGGTGGGCTGCCTCCCCGTCCCTCTTGCGCTTGGCTGTTCAGACAGCTTACCTTGCAGCTTCTGGAGACTTCACGAAATGGTACAATCGGTACTCTAGTGCTGCTGATTTGCAAGCCAAGTTTAGAAGTTTCGTTCAGCATCCCTTAAGGGGGGACACTGGCTAGAGGTCAAACTTTTGAACTACTCAAGTGATTGGAATGAAATTTGCAGGGCAGGTTTAGCTTCAGATGTAGGTGTACTGTGCAAACTTTCAGCTCTCTAGGACAAATTTACATACCTGCATAAGATGATGTGTCACTTTTCATTAAGAAATCTATGATATGCAAATGAAGCTATTAAGCATCCTTTTGACTGCTTGAATATAAAGTGGGGAATATGGGACTTTGGGCTATCTAGTTTTAATAACTTAAATGTAAATATTTCAGGAAGAGTTATTACCTCAAACTATGAGATGCATATCTGTCCTCTGTCAATTTTTGAAAACTTGGTTTTTTATCACTGAGGACTTCAACCTATAACAAAATAAAGTAGATAGCCCGATTCCTGAGTAAATTTCAGTTCAGAAACATCTTGATTGTGGTATCAGAATACTTTCACCTTCGAACAAAAGATTCCTTCGTATGAAATTTGCAGCAAAAAGTGGAACTGAGAAAAATGCATTCAAACATTGAACTCCTTTACTTTGTTACTGCCTCACAATGTGTTGAAAATATTTGATATCAATGTAACTATTGGGCATATGGTTATCAAATTTGGTGTAAGGGTGTATAATTAGTTTCTAAAACTGAAAACCTCAAAATTAAAAAATGAATTTTTTCAAAAAAATTTAAAATTTAGGCCCATGTCCCCCCTTAAACAAGCTCTCGGTCTCTTTGTCAGTTGTTGAAGTAATTGTGTTGCAGGTATGTTTAGACAGCGGCAAGTTGGTCAGCCCCAATAAGCACCTGGTGTATCTGCTGTAGATGAGAAATTTAGCCAGTCCAGAACGATCATCTAGCCTGGGGTCTCTAACGTGCACCATACAATAGTGATTCATGGCCACATGCCGGTACGACGCTCGGCCAGATCCAAGAAGGCAAGGGGGGGGATTGAGCTTAGCATCCATTGGCTCTGCAGCACGAGATTGAGCTCCACGTGCTCAGATGCGGTGCGTTAACGGGCTCATCAGCAAAAACCCCCTGTCAAGAAGTTGAAAGAGCAGTTCACGTGTGTGGATGCAGGGAGGACTTTGGCTTGCCACTCCTGGTTGATGTGCTCGTGGAAAAGGCGGGGAACTCTCTGCCCTGGGATTCTGGAGACTACCCTCCACCGTCGGTGCAGCAAGCCCTCGAGGTGTACCTCTTGCGTGGGCTTGCGCCCTGGGCAGCAGATGCCCTCTGCCTCTACTTTCTGCTGGATGTGGCTTCGTTCCTCAAGGAGGAGCATTCTCAGGTCTGTGTACCAGTCTCGGCTACCTCGGATCTATCCCGTACTTGCTTTATTAGAGTCCACACCCGGTGCGTAGCACACACCCGGTGCATACCGTATTTATTCAAATATAAGTCAACCTTTTTTTTTCCAGAAATGTTGTCAAAAATTAAGGGTCGACCTATAATCGTGACTAAAGAATTTCGACCTACATTCGCGACCAAATTTTGCGACCCTACCGACGGCATGGAGCTATCGAATCACCGAGCCGGCGTTGCCGTAGAGCTGCGCCGCTGCTCGTTTCAAAAAGCTTTGGTGCACAAAACCAACTGCAACAGCAGCAACCAACAGCCCCCCCCCCCCCCCCCGCCGTTGCCATAACTGCCGCTCGTGCACATCCCTCAGGTGTCGGGTTTTGTCATCGCGCCTGTAGCGTTCCCCTCGATGGGCAAGGGGAGGGAGAGGAACGCGATGCGCCATGCAACTTGCGCTCCATTCCTCTTCCTCGCAAATGCGCACAAAAAAAAAAAAAAGTGAGACAATGGAGGTTACTTTATTTTGTTCCACCTTCTTTCGTTTCTTCTCATCATCATTTTACAACGGACGGTGTCAGTGAGGTATTGTTGCAAATTTGCGAGAATGTTGTCTACCAAGCTGACGAATTCGGACGACGATTACATGTCCAGAAGTTCTGACAATGATTAAGTTTTTGGTCATTGCCCTGTGATTTAGCCGAGAGTGTTGTGAATAAAGGTTTGTTCCTTCCTTTTGCCCCAACTTTCCCCAATTCCTAAAAAAAAAAAAACTGTCGACCTATGTTTGAATTATTTTTTTTTATTCTTGGTGGGTCCAATAAATAGGGTTCGACCTATTTTCGGGTAAATACGGTAGTCTTAATGTAGCGAGGTGAGTTGGTTCATGATTGCAAATTGGTAGTAGCATGGAAAAAATAGACGAAGGGAGAAATGAACAAGACGAACGCCGTCCTGCGCTCGTCCTGTCCATTCCTCCCTTTGCCTCTTATTGCACGCTGCTACCAGTTTCTGTTGTGTTGTCTGCACCTGGAGTGTAGTCTGGACGTTAAAAATAGTTATGTGCAGTGTGCATGGACACATGCTTGTTTTATTAGCTCACAGAGGAGCTTGTCATTGTTCGTACCTGTGGATAATCTAGCACGTACTAAAGTTTATACTTGAACGTGTATTGTTTGTGGACCACAGTCCAGAAAACTATGCTGCAACTGACAGTTTTTCCTGTAACGACAGTTTTGGTGCTTCTTTCGTCCCTGCCGCAGGTTGAGAAGAAGCTGGGACGATTCCCATTGGCCGTCGGAATGAGTGCAGATCTTCAGAGCTTTGTTGAGGCCATTTGGAAGTTGGACCATGGCTTCTATAAGGTTGGTTCAATGTTTTGTATTGGTTGGCCTTCTGAAATGTGACCTTGTGTCTCTAGATCTCTAAGCTTTCCCTTTAAGAATGATGTAGGGCTTGCATTTGTACGACAGAATACTGAGTCGGCAGACTTTGCACTGGCAAGTCAACTAAAAGGTGGCCATTGGCTCCTGGACCGTAAGAGGACTACATAGTCAGTTCAGCTGCAATTTTAGTGCGAAAGCATTACCTGTCCCATGGAGTGAGCCGACGTCATCGGTTTGAAGTGCAAAAACGGCACCTAGTTTTCCAGATCCCAAAGGTCCCATTGGCTGGCACGCGGTGACGAGGCTTCCATTGGCCGCTATGCGTGTCAGTTTCAACGACCGCTGCCAGATGGCACTACGTGTCCATGCCGCCAGCGCGCCAATAAAACTAACCGCCACAACCCCATGCCACTACGGGACCCGCGTTGGTTAAAACGGACACGTTGGCGCGCGCTCGGAGGCTTCTGCTCGTCACGCCGCCGACCAACATGCCGTCGCCTACATCGCCCACGTCATTGGCAGTGCTTCTGCTCGTCTCGCCGCCAACAAACACGGCGCCACATCATTGCTGGTGTTTCTGCCACAACTCGAAAACTTTATTTGCGCCACAAAATTCCGCAGATCACTCCGCAGCGTTCCATTGGACATTCATGCTTTCGCATTCATAACTCATAAGAAGTGCGTAGGTGCCTTCCGACTTTTTGGGCAATGATGCCCCTTTGTGCCATCCTTAGAGGTCCACTCCAACCTAAATGGGGGGTCATTAGTTTTATAATATGAAATATTTCTGGCAGGTAGCAGGACCTCCTCATGGACGTGTTCGTGAAATTTCAGCTCGCGAATTGAATAGTAAAGCATGTAAAACTCCTCTGGAAGTTCCTGTTTTGTTAACTCTCGATAAACAAACTGCGACGTAGCAGGATCAGGACGCTGTCTCCTTTGGGCTTTCCTTCCTCCGCCCTCTGCGGTCCCCCCTGTTGTCATCGTGTCGGTTGCATCGCGTTGCTCAGCGCATCTCGATTTCATATTATCAGCAACAGCGTGTTACAATCGAGTACAAAAAGAAAGGACTTATGGGACAAACACAGAACTGACTTGCAGCTCACGTTTATGCTTCTACTTCTAAGAAGCAGGATGATGATACAAAGAAAACTTGAAAGAGTGAAAAAAACTTTCTGGAAATCTGCACTCATCACATTGACTACTTTGCCAAGTACTTAAATTCTCTGGCACATAAAGAAACGGAAGGGGCGCCGATACACTTGTCATCGAGTGGCGCAATCTTATCTGCCTCAATAAATTTTCTAAGTAGAGGGTTGCCACTCATTGTCAATACAGTGTTTTGTGAACTGAGGATCACGACCACAGTCTCGGCAGTGAATCTTTAGGTGGCCAAAGACACTCTTGAATGTGTCTTTTTGATGCTCTCGTAGCCAATCTTGGAGACATCTGCCAGCTTGTTCGACATAAATCTCGGGTTTCTCGGAAAAGCAGAACAGACGTGTAGCCAATCATCGCATTCCGCATAAAAAATGTAATCAATCATGAGGTCAAGAAAGCTATTCTCTAAAAAATGTGATCCGAGCAGATAGCATTTTTGTGTGAAGATGTCATCTCTGTCCCATATATCGCTGCCATTTTTCTGCCAATCGTGATGATCAGCGCGGCTATTAGTTGAGCAAATGCGGTATCTTGTTACGTCGCAGGTTTCATCAAGTGATGAAACGAAAATGTGTATCAAAATTTAAACTCCTCAGATTAATTTTCTGATTTTTTTTTTTTTTTTTTTTTAATTTCATATTTTAGCGCCGTAAGTGAAGGTACCATACATAATTTTGCACGAACTGTGAAAGAACTATGATCGGTACTTTCAGGCTGGAGAGGCCCTTTAACCCTCTGGTAAAATGGCAGATGCAGTGTAAGGAACAGAAGAGAAGGTGCTGCTAAGATTTCCACACTTGTCTTTACATGTTTTGGGTCATGGCCACCCTGCAAATTCACATTTCGATTTTGTCTCGAGTTATTTTAGAGTTGCTGTGTTTTTTTTTTCTTAGTTTTCATTTACCGTCTTCTTGCTGAACTTTTCCAGGACGGCGTGGAGTCCCTTCTGGAAGCCACCAGGCTGGCTGAGTCCCCGGTGTCCGCCTTCCTAAGCAAAATTTGGCCCACGGTCCTGAGGCACCTGATGGCTGCTGAAGAATATGCGCTGGCAATGCGCTACATGGGACGCCGCAACTTTTCCATCGAGACCGTGGATCACGTAGAGCTGCACCTGGATGTCTGGTTGGCTAACGAGTGGGTGTTGACTTCTTTGCAGTACTATATCGTAGCTCGCATCGAGTTGACTGTAGTACAGTCAAACCCGTTTATAACGAACAGCAGGAAACGCCACGATCAGTTCGATATAGCAAGTAATTCGATATAGCAAAAAACTATTTATAATGACCTTCCACGATGCGTTCATTGTAAGGCGAGGACTTCTTTTTCTTTCTCATCTCTTCGCTTCCGCCTTGTGACGCCTTGGAAAGTTTTTTTTTTTTTTTAACTTTTTGCCTACATGAAGAGTTTGTCTTTAGCTTATCTTCCCTTCTGAATCGCTTCTTTTCATGGGCAACAATTTTAAAATAAAAAGTTTTTTTTTTTTTTTGCTGTGCGTCTGTACAGAGAGTATTTTCTTGCTTTCTCCACCTTCTGATTCGCTTCTCTTTACTCAATTTTGTTCGCCACTTGAGCCTTTGGAATTTTCTTTCTTTCCTACTTTTATTTTTGTGAAAGGAACAGGCTATAGAAGAATATTTGGGCGTTTTTGGAAGCCTTCCCGGAGGGGAAAAGTTTGCTATAGGCAATAGGTTGTTTGTTATATTAAGTACTCTTTACATGCATTTTTATTTAATTTTGTTGTGAGTTCGATATCGACAATAATTCGCTGTGCGTGGATTCGTTCTAAACGGGTTTCACTGTAGTCACCGGCAGGACGAGAACTGGAGGGAGCTTCTTTAGAACACCCAGCCTCCAGCATGCGTTGCCGATTGTTCTTTCCTGGCTGTGCATGATCCTGGACCGTGGCATTAAACTAGGCTTGAAGGGAGTGCAGGCTTTCGCAATAGCCGCTTGTTTATCTTTCCATCTCTTTCCCTGATGTGCTGGGTTTTGCACTTCTTTTGTTCTTGGTTTCCTTGGTTCTACTAGTTTCATTTTATGTGGAATTCGTAATTTGTAATTGTGCACCGCATGTTTCTCAAGGCACACGCACATCGTTGCTCTTGGCAAACATACATCAGGTTTCACCACTTTGTACTGGCGTGCTAGTAGCAGTGAGTGACATGTGAGTGTTTGTTTGTTTGGTGTTGTCCAGAGAAAAGGGGGATAGCTGGGGAGAGGTACGGGTCTTCTTTACAGAGCAAGTCGTTTACAGAGCATATAAGTCGATGGGTTCTGTCATCATTCTCTGATCATGACTGTAGATGGGCCCCTATTTCTAAAATCAGATTCTCAAAAGGAAACGTCGACCTATATTTGAGTAATGATAGTTCTCCACAGCCATTAGACTCCATTGAAGTGAATTGCTGCATGGTAGTTGCATCCTGATCTTTCTATTTATAGGCCCTCAAAAGCCTTGTCAATGGTTAAGTTTTCTCGGATTGTACATGTTTTAATGCAAAAGCATTAACTATCCCATGGAGCGCAGCCGGCGGTGGCTGTAACCGCAAAAAAACGCAAAAGAAATGGCCATTCACCCATAGGCTACACCAACTCATGTTTACAAACAAACCGGAGCGCCCCTAGCGGACGCCACCGGCGCCGCGCATGCGCGTTGGATGGTGGGCAAGAAGCCCGCCGTCGCCCATAAACAAACCATTGAATTGCGTTGTTGTCGGCGTCGGTGGGAGTCCCCGTGCTCTTTTTCGCGTTGGAATTGTTGATTCTACGTCCTTCTAACGATGTCCGATTACTTGTGCGGCTTCAGCAAAACTAACGAGGCAAAACTTTGCGTGAATAATGTGACGTGCGGTGATTCATTTCACGTGGACGCCGCAGAATGGGCGCTAAACCTGACTCCCACGATGAGATTCTGCTCGCTATTTTTAGTCGCGACGTCGCTCGGACTGCAAAAGCGTGGACCGTAGCTGAGATGGTGGACGTCGATACTGAAAACCGCAAGTAGAATCGGGCATTACAAGTCGGTGATGGCCACCGGTAACAATAATGATAAACATCTTCTTGTATCTGTTTACACTTAGCCTACTTACCACAACCAACCTTCAAAAGTGTTTTGAAGCCTGCACTTAGTTCTTATCGCAATTACCGGGTCAAGATTTGGTTTACGAGCCGCTGTCGTTTGAACGAGCTGACGACAAAAGGCAGCCAAGTTTGAAAGAGCAGACGACAGTTCGAACGCATGCGCAATGGAGTACGGGCAAGAAGCACCGCGTCCCACGTCAACAAACCATTCGAATGTCACCTTGTCGGCGTTTGTGTGAGTCTGCATACTCTTTTTCGAGTTGGAATTGTCGATTCTACGTCGTCATCGCAATGTCTTTCTTACCACTTTAATCGCCTGAGCGAAATTATCAATTCTTGTTATGCCGCTAAACTTTCCGTAAATAATTTGCGATTCATTCGCGTGAACGCCGCAGAATGGACGCCAAAATCATGATGAGATTCTTCTAGCTATTTTCGGACGCGACGTCGCTCGTGCTGCAAAAGTGTAGAAGGCAGCGGCGATGATCGACGTCGATATTGAAAATCGGAAGCGGGAACAAACCAAGCGTAACAAGTCGGTGATGGCCACCGGTACCAATGATCAACATCTTGTATCTACTGTTTACATAGAGCCTACTTAAGTCTTTTGAGGCCTGCTATTACTTCTTATTGCAATTACCAGGTCAACGTTTGGTCCACGGGCCGCTTTTGTATGAACGAGCAGACAACAAAAAGCAGACAAGTTTGAAAAAGCAGACGAAAGTTCGAACGATCAGGCGGCCGTGTGAATTTGAAGACGCACTGAACCCGTGGGTGGTCCGGACAACTTGGCGGTTTTATCTCGTTCATGTGGAACGAAGCAAATACATCTGGCGACCACGAAGTGTTGCCCGCACACGCAATTGTAGAGCGACAGCGTCTGGTTTTCCCTTTTCACGGCTACTATTCACGTTCTCGGACGAACGGAGGGGGCAGAAACACATGAAAACTGATCTTCAAGCCTTTCCAGGCTCTCTTGGTACAGCCCTCGTCGCAGCATTTGACGAGAAGGCAGGTTTTTTGTCTCGTTTCTTCCAAAGGAACACAGGAATGCATGTCTGGCACGGCGACTTCTGCCCACCGCCCCAGACCGGAAGTGCGTCCGGCCCGCCACCACCGCGGCGTGACGTAGGAGAGTTGAGTTGGTGTATAGGCTGAGCAAAATTGCTCCTAGATAGCCATTTGCACTCGCTTCATGAGAGTGTGCGCTCGGCAGCTGCTCTCTTGGCAGGCGTTGCTGGAAAAGGGGGGGAAGGGGGCTGTGGCCACTTGACAAGAGTACGGGCTTGGCAACCTCGGCAGTAGCAAAACATGGCCATCCACGCTGGTACACCGCAGACAAACTAAGGGAGTGGAAGAACGACATTCATGCTTTCACATTCACAAATGTTTGAGTGTCCATAGAATTTTTGTATTGCAGACCCCTAAAAAAAATCTTAGGTGGGCAGTGCAGCAATCTTACCATAGAATGAATGTAAAACCACTTTTGATTGAGTGTGCTAGATTTCATTAAAAAGTGTTTTTTTATTTATTTATTTATCCTAAAGGGCCCTGATGGGCATTACATGGAGGGGGGGAACGATGGTACAAAGTTTAATACAATTGGGTCAGGTGGGAAAAAAAATGATTACATAGTTGGCATAAACAATGTTAAGCAAGCAATACACAATAGAAATAGGAAGAACACTGGATGAAAACATAACGCAAAACAGCGCTGTATAAGTTGATACATATTACTTAAAGAACTAATGAACATATCAGGTGAAGTGATTAACGCAATTTCTCTGGGCAGGCTGTTTCATTCAAAGATGGCAAGAACCAGAGGGGAATTTTTGAACAAGTTTGTGCGGGCAAAGATGGGCGATAGTTTAAAGTGATGATCTACGCGAGACGAAATATGATGAATGGGCTGAATGAATCAGTAGCCCGCTCATAACAGTCATTTGTTTGATGGCGGCTGTACAGTGATAACGTCCCTGCCGTTGTCCCGCGCCGGGACACGACAGAGGTCCTAAAGGGAGATGATCCATGATATTAGCGGCCAGGTGTTTTGGTGGCGCCCTCCTACGGTTCCCCCTTGTGACGTCATTACCTTTCAAACAATAAGTTCGATGGTGTTTGTTATTAGCATGGTGGAAGCTTGAAATCATTGCGCTCTCAAAGGAACACTGCCAACACCGTCAAAATTAAAGTTCTTTCATTCCTCTTATTTCCGTTGATGATAAATCCCCTTTCCGACGTCATAGTCAGCGTTCGGCCAATCGTGGAAGGCCAACCACAGCGATGCTTTCGGTCGCGCACGTCGCCAATAGAGCTTGTGGAAAAATGACATGCGAGCAATACATCTTCTGTACTGCAGTTGGGTTAGGTTGAGGTTACATTTTATGTTAGACACACTGGAAGTATAGGAGAAGTTGCGGGTTATAAATCTTTCGGCTTTATTTTGAAGTGCCTCAATATGGTTGGTTAAGTAAAGCTGATGAGGGTGCCATATGATGGATGCATATTCCAACTGCGACCTGACAAGGGTAGTATAGGCTAGAAGTTTGGTTTCTCGTTTAGCTTGAAATAAAGAGTGTTTAAGAAAACCAAGAGTTCTGGATGCTTTGTGGGTTGCATGTTCAATATGAAGGTTCCATAATAAGTTAGCTGTTAGGTGGATTCCGAGGTATTTATTTGACGTAACGTTATCACTGTGGTCCTCTCCAGTCATGTACACGTGATGAATGATTTGTAATTTCGTTTTAAAAGTGACAACTTTAATTTTGTTAGTGTTTATTTGCATTACCGTATTTACTTGTCATATTAGGGGCCAATATGACACGGCAAGGTACTGTGGCACGTCTCCAGTGATGGAGGCACACCCACGGCTGGTTGGCTCTTTGGGGGGTGCGCCACAATAACCATGCTTTATAAATTGCAAACCTTTTTAGGGCGCTTTCGCGCTGCCTTTTGCCGAAGGAAAAGCGCCCTTCGAAGCTCACTCAGCACGAAAAGCAACATGACCGTTCTTAGGCGATATATATTGCTAGTATCCGGCAGACACGCTCGGGTATAATCTGCGACTACTCGTATAAGAACACGTACGAAGTCGAAGCCCGGACCGCCGAAGCCCGCTCGCATGGATCAAGTTTCGTTTACGGGGACAAGAACTCGTACGAACCGCCGACCCCCGAAGCCCACTCGCAGGGATCAAGTTTTGTTCACGGAGAGGCTACTAGACACTCCCAGCCTACAGCTCAGCATGCACGTCGCTGTGCCACTAAGTGTGCACAATGCTCGGTTTCACGGTTGATCACTCCCGCAACTACCGCAACTACGCACTTGCGGTCATTACGAGAGCAGCTTGGCTTTAACTTGGCTTGACTTGGCCTGACTGCTTGACAGCAAAAGAAAACTGGCTTGGTGGCTTGCTAAATTGGACGCAATTCGAGACTCGCGGATCCGAAAATTGGAGGTGCATCGATTACGGGAGGGAAAACAAAAGTCAAAATATTGATGCCCATGGGGGGGGGGGGGGGGGGGGGGGGCGTTTATTATGCGAGTAAATATGGTAACCATGTGGTGCACCCTTACTGGACTATGTCTAGGTCCTGCTGGAGTATGTGAAAATCAAAGGGGTTAGAAATGACCTGATAAATGACGCTCGTCCGCAAAGAGACGTGTGGTTGACTGAATGTTGGAGTGAAGGTCATTTATATATAAAAGAAACAATACCGGGCCGAAAACAGAGCCCTGAGAGACGCAGGACTTCACCGACATAGGGGAGGAGACACACTTGTTAATTACAATAGATTGAGAGCGTTTTGTTAGAAAAGCAGTTATCCGCTGAATAACGGAAGCGTTTATATTCATAGTTTCTAATTTGTATATTAGTCTGTTATGGGGAACCTGATAAAAAGCTTTAGCGAAATTAATATTACAATAGCATCAATAGGACAAGAGGAGTGAACGGAAAGGTGACGGTCAGTAATCAATTCAAATAGTTGTTTTGCAGGAATGACTGCATTGAAACCCGTCCTGGTTAGAGGAAATGAGGCTGTTTGAAGATAAGTAGGTCATAATCTAGGATGAAAGTATATGTTCTAAGATTTTACATGAGATGGAAGTGAGTTTTATGCGTCTGTAGTTATTAAAATTATTTTTATCTCCGGCTTTGAAAATTGGAATACAGTCTAAGCTCATTACAACAGTCCTGGTTACAACAGAAATTTGGATATAACATACCGATTAGTGAAGTTCGGTTGGTTTTCCTCTACACACCATTGACTCAACTTCATGTCTGCATACAACGCACATACTCCTTTTGCAACAGACCAAAATCTTGGTCAAAACCGAGGCCTGTTATAGCAACCTTAGACTTTAACATGAGCAAGTTTCTAGTCATCAGGTAGTTGACCACTGGAGAGGGAATGTTGGAACAGCCTACACAGTAGAACTTCATATATGTGTTTGGTTAATTTTAGAAGCTTAGTAGATATTCCGTTGGGACCTGGGCTAGTTAGTTTCCAAACAATCAATGGCACACTCAACTCCGTAACTAGAAATGACAATATCGTTCATTATATTTTCGGTAAGTGAGGAAATAGCAGTAGGATGTGGAAACATGTTCTCCTCAGTAAAAACGCTGCTAAAAAAAAAAAGTGTTAAAACCAACAGCTAATTGATGTGAAGTTTGTATTGATTCGTCGTAGCAAATAATACAAGGTAATACTGCAGTTGGTTTTGAATTTATCTCTTTCAAACATTTTTTTGTGTCGGATCAAAACTTGTTTGAGACATCGTCATAAAAAAAAAAGACGGCTTGGCATTTTTTATTTTGTTTTTGCAGAACACTAAGTGAGCATGATAAAAGATCCAATCGTGCTGACTGTGTGAAAGCACTTCACGACTGTACAGACGTTTCTTTTTTTGTAGGTAGCACTTGATTCTCGTCATAAACAACGCTTTGTGCAGGCTAGGGGAGATTTTTATACAGAAACTCAACTCTGTGACGTCACGGCGCGGTAGTGGCGCATCGGTTGCACTTCCGGTCTGGGGCTGTGGGCAGAAGTCCCCATGCCAAACGTGTATTCCTGCGTTGTTTTGAAAGGAACCAGACAAAAACCTGCCTTCTCGGCAAAACGCCTCGACTGGGGCCGTACCAAAAGTGTCGAGAAAGTTTTGGAGGTCAGTTTTCACGTGCTCGGTTCGTCCGAGAATCTGGATATGTGCCGTCAAAAGGGAAAAGCAGACGCCGTTGGACTACGATTGCCTGAGCATGAAGCACTTTGGGTTGAATACACGGATACTTGTGGTCATCAGATTTATTTGTTTTGTTCCAACATAAACGCCAGAAAACCGTCAAGTTGTGCGGACCACCTGCGGACTACGTTCAGTGCGTCTTCAAGTTCAAACGGCCGACTGATCGTTCGAACTGTCGTCCGCTCTTTCAAACGTTTCTGCTTGCCGTCTGCTCTCTTAGACAACGCCGGCCCGTGGACCAAATGTTGGCCCGGTACTTGCGATAAGAAGCAAGTGCAGGCCTCAAAAGACTTAAATTGAAGGTTCGTAAGCAGGCTCGATGTAAACAGTTGATACAAAAAGATGTTGATCATTGTTACCAGTGACCATCACCGACTTGTTATGTTACACTTGGTCCGATTCTACTTGCGATTTTCAGTATCGACGTCGACTATCTTAGCTATGGTTCACACCTTTGCAGCCCGAGGGGCGTCGCGACTGAAAATTGCGCGCGAAATCGCATCATGCGAATCAGGCTTTAGCGTGCATACTGTGACGTCCATGCAAAATGAATCGCCGCATGTCACATTATTCACGCAAAATTTTGCGGTGTAACGAGCCTTGGTAATTTCGCTGACGCCGCTCAAGTAGTCAGACGTTGCCAGGAAGACGTAGAATCAACAATTCAAACATGAAAAAGGGCAGGGGGACTCGCACCGACGTCGACAACATTGCATTCCAATGGTTTGTTTATGGGCGACAGCGAGCTACTTGCCCACACTTCCATCACGCATGCGCGGCGCCGGTGGCATCCGCTAGGGGCGCTCCGGTTTGTTTGTTAACATGAGTTGGTGTATAGTGGGTACACATACAGCCCGAGCCTCCAGTAACTTATCCCGAAAGAGAATCCAGCTGTCGTTTAGAGACCCTTCATCAAACCCACTCAGGAATGTGCTAGAAAATTCACTTATAATACAGAATACAAAGTTTCCGTATCAACTCTTATAATCAAATGTCTTTGCTATTTTGGTCCAGTCTGTTTAAAGTGGTGGCAAAATCGCCGTGAATAATGCAATGATTACTAATTTTGTCGATGACACCTACAGACGCATGCTTTGGATGGGTGGTGAAAATTATTTTGTTGACTTATTTTGCCACGAAAGCTCGCATACTCCCAATGATGTGACCTGTGGTTCTAACGACCGCCACACGTGGCTGCAGACCGGAAAAGAATTTGGTCTTTTTTTTTTCCGATTACGCGGCAGTTTTTGAAGTTTTCGGGAGAAGCTGGCGGGATTTTTCTCGCTTGTTCCTAGGCAAACAGTATCGAAAATACAACTTGCAAATTCATTCAATGTTAAAATCGTTGCTTTAAGAGGCCCAAGTGACTATTCTTTTGTCTCTGGGCATCTGTGTTCTAGCCGGGTCGTGGATGCTTTGGAGCTGGTCCGCGACCACGAGAAACTCTGCGGCATGGATCACCTGCTCAGGCGAATCGTTGCCCTGGAGCACACAAGTGAGTCTTTCCATCGTTATGCATTACTGAACGCATGATGAGTGTTAATCTCAGAGTTCCAACTGTAGAGCTCACTAATTGATTGACCCTGTCTTAGACAAGTACAAAAATGATTTTTTTTTTTCTTTTAGTGCAGTTTTTTTATTTAATCCAAAATCGTAATAGGCTATATTTTGCTTCTTTTTTTTTACTTGGCACAGAAATCCTGCTGGAAAAAAACAAATTTAAACCTTAGAAGAATATTTTTTTAACCCTCCAGCGTAAAACAGGGAGATCCCAAAGATAGCAGACAACCAGATAAGGAAGCACGTCGCAGTCACGTCAGCCGTACCATTCAGCCGAATGGTACGCCCATCAGCCGTATAATTCAGAGTTCGGTTAGAGCCGAATTCTGAAAAATGAATTCGGCGTACAATTATCGGTTCAAACCAAGGCACCAAAGCCTACTGGTAGGTTTCGTCTCTCTGCGCAGTGGGTGACCAAGTGGCCAAATCGCGGCTGGAGCTGATGCTGCGGCTGCCCCTGTCGAGGAGCGAGGAGGATGCCTTGAGCTCGTTCTTCCACGACCTTGGGCAGACCACCTGGCTGTGCCACCTCATCGTCCACTTCGTCCAGGGCGGAAGGGTTGAGGCAGCAGTGCCCCTGGCCGACCGCCTCCGCGACGTCTTCCGTGGCTTCAAGGGGCACCAGGTCTGTGCCACATTTTTAACGCAGAATCTGGTAGTATGGGGCTGGTTTTACAAAAAGAAGATTGCACGTTCTGTTCGACTGACGTGCAGGTCAAGGTCAAAAGCAATGCAGAGTGCAAGTTAGTCTGCCTCATTTGCAGGGGTTGGGGTGATGTCAGAATGCAGAGCTCAGATTGACTGATTGAGGGGTATAGTGGGTAGACCTTAAAGCAAACTGCATTGAGGTCTACCCACTATCCTTCAATCAGAGCCAATCGTAGCTCAGCATTCTTACGTTGCCGCAACCCCACCAAAAGAAGCAAACAAACTTGCGCTTCGCACATATTGCTTGTGTGACATTAACATCAGTGTGTTATGTGACATGAGATCACATGACTTGACATCCAAGTTCTGATGTGTGTGTGTGCACACAATGCATGCAAGCATGTGCAGGATGTTCCCGGCTCATTTGCATCACATTTGTGCAAATCCAAATAGGTCAGATGCAATCGAGACATGCGGGCATTTTTCAGTCTGTGTTGTGTGCGAGTTGGATCGCCTTGCCTAGACCCAATGCGGTTGAAGAATTCTCTCCATCGATAAGCTAGTTTACTCTCTGGCGCCGGTGAAGATCTATTTCTTTTGGATTCAAAGTTGGGAGAAAGGCTGCAGTTCGAAGGCCTGGTCAGATTGTGAATCTTGTGGCTGTGAATGTGTTTACCATGACTATGTAAAACAAAAATGTATTTTCAGAAAAGAGCTTTCTCGTGGCCTGGTTATTTCTGCCCTGTCCCTGTGTCCTAACCTTTCTTCTTTTTTTTTTTTTTTTTGTTTGGTCCACAGTTTGCGGACTCTGAGGCTTACCAACAGGCTGAAGCTGTCCTGGAACTGGTGCAAGCCTTCCTGCGTGTTCGGCCGCTTTCCAAAACAAGTTACCATCGGGCAGCGCCATGTCCTACTGTCTCTGCAGGTAAAGTAACCCAGTTATCGGCACGGCTTATTGAGGCATTTGCCACATTTACCGTGCAATGAATTGTAATCTAGCCGCCGACCAGTTTTTCGGATATTCGAGCTAGCCAGCACGTTTGCCATTTTCAAAGTGCACCTGCTCGCTCCACTTTGGTTAGGCGTAGTAGGGAGCCCCTTTTTGGAAAGTGTTTCTTTTTTCGTTTACAATATGAATGATTATTCAATGCGGTGCATATCGTCAAGAGCACACTGTTATTGGCCAAGTTGGCAAAACGACAGCTTTGATGAGCTCTGGCTTACCATGTGACTGAATAATTTACCGTAATATCCCGAGTCATCGCCCACCCCCCCTTTTGGGCGGAATATCGATTTCGTAAAAGCACCCAGTCAACGCCCACCCCTGTTTCAGCAATGATCTCGTAAAAAAAGCACCGAGTCATCGCCCAGACCTGAAAAAACGTCAATTCCGAGCCCCACAAATGGCAAACAGAAAAAAAAAGAAAAGAAAGGGCGCCCTCCTGCATTTTCAGGGCTCCAAAATCGGAGGATGCGTGTGCAGAAGAAACACAATAAAGATAAGAAAGCAAACCTATATTTATCTGGCAGACAAAAGCAGACACGTTTCCGATCCTTTCTCTCCTGCCCGCGCCCCCCTCCCCCCCTCCCGAAAAAGAAATACATATAAAATGCCAGAAGGTCCGTTTGCAATATAGTGCCTGGACGCGTGGATCATAGGGTTAAAAAAGATCGTAGGAGGAAGAGAAAGAGATAACAGAATGCCGTTTTATGTTCTTTTTTCTGTTCATAACTGAAAGTCCGTTTTCACCGAAAAGATAAGTCAGGCCGCGAAACCGCAACTTAAATAGGACGCGGATCGCATGACTAACTCAATACTGCGAATACAAGTGGTTCAGAACAAAAAGCCTCGTTTGGATTCGATTTTCTTTGTCGAAAACCTACTCCGGCCGACTTGGCATTCTTTGAGAACGTCGCGACCGACAGACGTCCGACAGTGATGTGTCATTTGACGGTTTCGACGAGTAAATAAAGATTTGCTCGTACACCCAGCGCAAACGTTTTCTTCCTATTTTTTCACGCTTCGTTTATCTCGGGCGGCATGCCAGCCGCACTGTCCACAACGCAGCCAGCCGCTCTACGAGTCACCTTACGCAAGCCGCGCTATCTGTAAAAGAAAACACCATTGTCAGAGCTGTAGGCAATGGAAGCCTCTTTCGAGCTGTTTTCTCCCACTCCCCTTCCCCCAACATGGCGCTGACCTACCGGCAGTATAAGCCTGGAAACAAAGTGTCATTTTCCTTTCCCAAAGCATCACCCGCCCCAGAAGCCAACCGGGCGCCGGCGCAGAGCGTAACCGGTGGCTGCGTTCTGAAAACAACCAATGGCTGCGCTCCGCGTCGGTGCCCGATTGGCCTTGGCTGCCCGCAGCTCCGGTTGTACTGCCACAGAAAGTTGTCCCGGAGCCGCGCGCGCGCCCGCACAAACTCGAAGGTCATTGAGTTTGTGCATGCTCGCACTTTCCGCGGCAACGGTCGCACCCGCGGAGAGAGCCTTTTTATGGTTTTCGCTTTTGTCATCCTATTTTTGCTTTTGTACTGGATTCGTTTTAGGCGTCGGTTAAAGGCTGCCGGTTTGCTTGGTTCCGAAGTCGAAAAAGAAGCGGAGACTCGCTTTCCTTTCGGCTTTCGTCACATTTGCTCGGTCACTGTGGCTTCTTGCGATTTTTCTTTTCTTTTTCTTTTTTTTTTTCAATGATTCTCTTCTTTTTTTTTTTTTTTTTTTTTCGTTCACGTTGGACCGAAGGCTGCAGCGGTCGTGGCTTTGAATTGCTCTTGCTCGGAGGAGGCGGAAACGAGCTACCCGCGAAGCAGTGGATTTTGCTCGACAGTAAAATGAGTCGCAAGTAAGATACCAACCCGAGATTTGAGTTCAGTTAATCTCCTGTCTAGCTTCGCTACACACGGACAAAAAAAAATCACATTTTTAAACTTTTTCGAAACTCCCGAGTCATGGCCCACCCCACAATTTTTGAGAATTGTAGGCGGTGGGGGGGGGGGTGGGCGTTGACTCGGGATATTACGGTACCCGTTTTTATGCACTGTTGTGCTAAAGGTTGTGAAAATGCAGAAAGTATCAGGTGTTGCTCTGCTGTGATGTGGCCGCCTTGGTGGCTCCGAGGCGAGAGCGCCGGCCTACAGATCCCCAGGTGGCGGGTTCGAATCCCGACCGAGGTGCCCGCAATATGACGGAGGCTTATTGCGGAGAAGGCGCCGTGTAACCGAGCTTTCGGTTGCACGTCAAAAGATCCCCAGGTGGTCCAAATTAATCCTCAGTCCTCCGCTGGGGCGTGCCAGATGCCCGTCGTAAGTTTGGCACGTAAAACCCCCAAATTTTTTTTTTTTTCTGCTGTGATGTTGCACAGAGGGGGCATGGTACACATGCGGTAGTTCGACCGTGCAAAAAAAGCTTTTTGTTAAAATTTATAAAGATTTTGGTATGCACCTTACTTGTTCCCCATTTATCCAAAATGGCATTTATGTAAGAAAAGTGATTTCCTTCTTTAAATCATGACTAATTTTTTTCTGACAGAATAAACTGTAGCTTTGTACAGCGATTATTTTTAGGTTGAAATTATCCTAGCCTCCTGTGGTATTAGAATTGACACACATTCGGAGTTTCATTGAAATCGGTGCATTACTCAACGAGTCAACCTCAACAAATGCCAACTTTTCTTCGGTGTGGCTAGTTAGTTAACTCATTTATATTGGTAACATGTGCAGTGCCTACTTTGTCGCTTTCACTTCCTCCATTTCAAAAGAGAGCCATTGCCCTTTTTTGCTGCAGGGGCACCACTGCAGGGCCCGATCCCTACCAAGGTGGTCCACAAGGGCACCACACCAAGCCTGGCGTCCCGAACCATGGCGCAGGTGGGGAAGGAGGCGGCCGGCGCAGACAAGCATCCGCCGCCCAGGTAAGTGTTGGTGGTTGGCCGCATTGCTCGTTAGCTTGGAAGGTGATCTTCTCACTAATACTGTTCTTTATGTAGTGAGTGACAATTGGTATTAGCTAATTACTTTGAATTCCCTTCGGCTCAAGGCACAAATTCTGGAAGGCATTTATTTTTGTTAGATTGGTATAGATATGTTTATTTCTATGCCTGAAAACAGCAGAGGTCTGGACAGCAATACACTGTATTATAAACACGAAAACAGGTAAAAGCGGATAATGGAGAACAATAGAATAAAGCGAAAATATTCGTGTCTGCAAACATGGGATTGTACGTGTGTTGCACCCCGGTCTTAGCATTGAACCTTTGGACAGATAACTCGCACATCGGGACCAAATATGTCCCGTCATAGGACTTACGTCGAGTGGCATCTAAAACCTCGCGCCATCAGTAACTTTCACAATCAACCGAACTACGCGCAACTTGGCGCAGGAAATGCACAGCCCTTTCAAATCTATTATGAACAACAAACCGAGGTCAATCTATGCGCCACATGGCAAATGCTGCAAGGTTTCTAAGCTGAGGAATTGCACGATGTGCTCATCAGTCGATGCAAAATGTGTCTTTCAGCGAGCGGTACAACTTGGCATTGGACACTTGCCACCGCTCACCATGCTCAGAGAACAGTGTGGGCTAAACTCTATTTTCCAAAAGCGGTTCTGAAAAGTTCTCAGTTTTGGAGTTTTTTTTATTACCGTATTTACTCGATTCTAAGCCGGCATCGATTCTAGGCCGACCCCCCAAAAGAACGGCAGGGCCGAAAAATAAAAAGAAAATTCTCGATTCTAGGCCGACCAAAAAGTATAGGAAAAACACCATAAATTAAACACAGAACGGAATTTATCTGCAATGTACAGCACTATTTCGGTCACGAATCCGACGGTATGCTCACGGTTAATGTCCGCATTTTTCCTGATCATTCGTCGTCCTCACTGGTATCTTTGTCACTGTCCACTTCCCACAACGCGTGGTCATCCGTACCGTCCAGGGCATTCGAGATGCAACACTTTCGGAACGACTTTACTACCAGTTCCGCCGGGATGCCGTCCCATGCGGCCGCGATCCAGCTCGTGGTGCCTTCCCTTCCGCGGTCCTGAGAACGCCATTCTTGTTGCCGCACATGCAAAGAGCTGACCACGCTGCTTTCTCCAGCGACGTACATTTTTTTCGTCCACGCCGAAGTCACGCTGGGCTTGCAGGTTGGACGATTGTTCAGCAGCCAAGACAGCTTTCCTCTTAAAAGCCGCGGAGTAGTGGCATCAACTGGTCGATGCCACAGCATTGAGTAGAGACGAACGTTCCGTGCTTTCCGTGGTACACAGCGTATCTTCCCGAAGCGATGTAGACAAGATGGCGTCCCGCGGTCATGGCGGAGCCGGATCCTCGTATCTAGGCCGACCCCCGAGTTTCGGATTTAATTTTTTTGGAAAAACTATCGGCCTAGATTCGAGTAAATACGGTACGTTCTGGCTAGTTTGTCCCACAGACACAGTTGTGCAGTTGTAAGGGTAATTGCATCCTTCTTGCCACAGGGGAAGGCAGGAGGTTGTGTTTCCTCGCTTCGTGCCTGCAACAATTTCCACATCCGGCCCAAGCACTCCTGTGTCCGCGTTGCACCTGACTAAGAGGCTCAGTCTGCAAAGTGGGTGAGTTTCTGTCACACAACCAGCCGTGCCGTTTCTTGCATTTGCATACTTGTGGGATGCTTTCGACTGGATTTGTGTGGTGCCTTTTGCAATAGCCCTATACACCTTTCCAAAAAACGCTCCTAGGCCGCCGCCATGTTGCTGATGCTGATGCGGCTGGTGTGACTCTCGCGCCCTCTATCAGCTAGAAGTTTTCTGCCACTCCCTGGGACTGTGAAGACCCGCTCAGTGCAGTTCTCTAGCTATGTTTTTGCGGTTTTGCATTCGACGTTTTCTCGCCCCTCGAAAGTTTCCAATTAATTTTTTTTTATGCATGCTGCGTAGCCTTTTTGTGTTATCTTCCATTGCGAGAAATAATGCTGGTAAGTGCCTGCCATTCAAGCATTTCTGCTCGGCATTCACGGGAAACGAAGGAGGTGAAGGACGTCGAACGACCCTCGACGCTATTTTGCGAACATTGTTCTCCCCCTCCCAGAGGTAATCCGCGTAGAATCCTCAGTCATCTCCAAAAATTGTTGTCCGGGTTGGGGTGAGAAACGGGTCAGTCGTGTTTGTTTCTTTGCCTTGGTGCGGTTGTGAAAAAAGGAAGCTCTCCCTAAAACGAAGTCATCTCGGATTCCGTCCGATCGTCAAGATGTGACTGTTCTCGACTGTGACTGTGTTATTTGAGATCTTTCTCAAATAAATTCTTTTCGGATAACACTGCATCGTGTGTTACATACGATATATTCTTCGAATGTCAGTACTTCCTCAATTGTATGTCCGTGTTCTGTCAATCGGTAAACACGTCATTTGTGAGCGTGAAAAATGCATGCCTTTCGGCCCTCTTCTGTTGCAATTTATTTTTGACAGCAAAGAGCTTTGTCGTTTCACATGCGGCGAATCCCGCTGCGCCGTCAAAACTTATCGTAAGAAAAAAACAAACAACTAGAACTATACGTTCCAGTCACATTCGTTCTGTCGTGCATACCCCCAAAAAAAATAGATTACAATATTTTCTTCTTGCTTTTTTTTTTTTTTTTTAATGTAGTACAATGCTTTTTCAATGTCCTCGGGAAAATGCACGTACCATGAAACACAAAATATAGCGGAAAAAGACGAGAATTTAGCTGCCAGCAGAGTTTGAAACTGCGCCTACGCAGGCTGCGCCTATTGAGATCACAGTCCACTCGGTTAGGGTTAGGAGGGACGCCGTTGAGAGTCTAGCCTCAAACTCAGTGACTGGGCTCGAAAACGGTTTGTTGCCCCTGGGGTCGAGTGTTTTTTTGGAAAGGTGTAATGGCGAGGAGATGTTTCGGTGGCTCCCTCTTGTGATTCCTATCTGACATCACAACGAGGAATATCAATTCTTAGCAACAATTTCAATGATGCATATAAAAGCATAGTGTAAGCTTATAGTCAATGCATCCTAAACAAACACTGTCAAGGTTGAGTCTGACTTGGTTTTTATTTTCATTAATAAAAATAAAGTTTGTCCTTCTTTGGACGTTGCTGTTAATCTGTGACCAATCGTGGGCGACCCACCACAGCGACACTTTTGGTCGCGCTGTCGCCAATACAGTCGACTTTCCTTAATTCAGGCACTTTATTCAAATTTTCGGTTAGTTCAGAGCAGGGGTGCAGTCTTGCCAATTGCATACAAGTCTATGGGAACAAATGCACAATAATTTGAAGTTTACCATAGTAATTTGAAGTTTTCCATATTCATTCAAAATGGGGTTTACCATTTCATAAGCAATGCCTGCGTGTGTATTTCTCTGCAATACTCAAGAGCTTATCATTGCGATTTACGGAAGAGTCCCGGCGAATGGCAAAGGCGGCGATACGTAAAAACTCAAAAATAAAATTTGCATGTCACTTTTTTTTAATGTGTCGTCTCTATTTTGTTTATTGCCGGCTTCTTTTGTAAGTCTTAGCAATTGGTCTTCGTGGGTTCTGCAGGAAAGTAGACACACGGGTCTGTTCATAAAAAAGTCAACCTATTTTCGAATAGATACCGTAACTTCTGGAACTGGTTAATTCTAAGGATTTTTTTATGTGGCTGAGAAGTGTGGCTACTCTAGGAGCATGCAAAAGGCTCGCGATTAGGCCGACCAACTATCCATACCTTATCGCTTTTATCTGCCGTGTACTTGATCAAGAAAAGAGGGGATTAAGTGAGGCGCACAAACTAGCCACCAGGCGGCCAAGTCAACTAAGCAGCCAAGCTGCGGGCTCATGAGTCGTGGCATCATACCCGCGAAAATTGTGGAAGCGAGCGCAGCCGCGAAGCCCGTACGACTAATAAAGCTTGGCTCGAGGGATTGCCCAGTCGTACGAGTTGTTTTGTCCAATTTATACAGTGAAATACACTTATAACGATACCACATATAACGATATACCGCTTATAACGATCAGTTTATAGAGTTTCTGGACTAGAAAAGATCAGCTTCTAGTCCAGATACAGCTATAATCGGTAATAACGATTTTATTTTCGGGTTTTCTCTTTATAGTTATAAGTGGATTGCATTGTATTTATGTCAACAAACATGCTGTTGTCTGTAGTCTGCTTTCAGACGGTGACATTGTGCAGGTGGTTAGGCCTAGGAACGGGTGGTTAGGCCTAGGAACGATCGGGTCGCTTTCAGCGTCAAGTGGCTGTGTGCCGCCGACGCGGAAGCTGCTTGTGGCACAATGGAGTACAATTTTGAGTTTTCTTAGACAATGATAGTGCTCAAGGCACCCTAAGGAAGGTTTCATATTTACAGAGCAGAGTTAAGCACCCTTTCCAATGTGGGGTGCCTGTCTGTGCTAGGCCTAATGAACGCATAGCGAGTGCGCTTTGAAAATAACAAATTTGTGCGACCGCGAGCGTTTTTAAGAAGCGCGCTCGGCCACCTGTACATAAAAAATAATTTATTTCAGAGTAAATACTTTATCTACAGGAAGGAAACTTTTTGACAGCATTCTTCAGGAGTTAAACAAGCTGATAAAACTAGTTTACAAAAACATAACTTTTTAAAAAAAAATTGTGATTTTAAGGCCATGCAGATTTGTACCGCGAGTCTTCGTTGGCAAAACAGGTTAGCAGGGGAAAGCGAAAATCAACTTCTCCAGGTAAGTACCGCATGAAAACTCGATGGCTTCAGTGCCTTTTTCTTCTAATCGAAGTGTTCAATTCTAAGCATTTTGCAGTCCCCGTGAGCTTCGACTCGTTGAGGGTCAACCATAAGGCATCGAATTGTACAGGTTGGAGGCCGACGCCCTGTCGCTGCTTCACACACCGCCCGTGAAGCCCTGGTCCCCTCCGGCCATGGTGAAGGGGTCTTCCCTTGGGGGGGCTCGGACCAGCACTCCGGCCTCGATCCTCAAGCCCCGCGTCTCCCTCGCCCGCCCCATCGCCATTCACGCGGAGACTCCTCCGACACCGCCGGCATTGCCAACCGAGCCCTGCCCTACCCCAGGTGCAGCCCGTAACATTTCATCAAAGTATCGTCTCGCCTCCCTCGCAAAACCCGTCCACTGGGAACAATGTGTGGCATGTACTATCGCAGGCAATATGAGCTGAATCAGTCTTTCGCATACCTGCCAGTTTTTAGGAGAGCTGTGGTCCGAACTAAGAATGGATTGCGAAGTTAAGGACCCATATTTTCGGCTATTTTACAAATTAATAGTTACTGGAGCTTGCAGGAACCACAGATGTGGGAAATGCCGGATCAAGGGTTTCAGGTAGTAATGTCCGCAAGGTTACATCTCCTTTGCGACTTGTGAAAGTCTTTTAAAGCTTCCATGTTCAACTTTGTTTTCTCTAAAGCTGAGAAGGTTCCAACCTTTGCTTTATTGTCTGGTTTTACCAGGCACTGATGCTTTAGGATAAGATTAATGGAGTTTGACTGATCTTCCCATACGACGTTCCCAGATGCCGCAACGCGCAGACTTCGGTTTGCCATGTCCGACTCGTCGGCTTCGGACAACGGGTACGTCGGACATCTGCGCTGTTTTTCTCGTATTTACGAAACCTGGTGGGCAAGCCAGTTCAGCATACACTCGCTCTATGCTTCGGGTTAATACTATTCTTGGATAGATGCCTTGTCCTTGCAGTATTTCCAATTGCACTGTATAAATCTACAGATTTGAGACTGATTTGAGTTTTCTCTTTTCATGCAACTTCAGGCTCGACCTGGAGGAAACTCCGATTGGTGAGGAGCTTTGACAAATTGTTTAGTTTTTCAGCTGCAGCCTAGCATGCTTAGGCTTCAGCTTAGCATGCTAAGAGACCCGAAATTCACAGAGACTTCTATATTCCAGATTCGTCAGCACCAGAGCAGCAGAGTGATGCCATCCGGAGTCGTGAGGAGTCTGTAAGTTGATTGCACATTGGTTTGCCCACTCCGATAAATAGCAGTAAGTGGCATTCAATGTCTGTTATAGCCACTGTAAAATGTTACTTGCTCAAAAGTGGAGTTTCTGGGGGAAGGAAAGTACTGTATGTTCTTAATTTAGTATGACACTGCAAGGGTGGTCCACGCATAAAATGGCAATCGAGGAAAAAGAAGAGGAAAAACGTGCAACGAGAACAAACTTGTGGAAAACAAAGATAATGAATGGAGCATTGATGCCGGATCTATTCTAACTGTATTAATTTTGCTGCGAATATGTGCATAAATATATTGGGCCTTAACTAGATCCCTACATAATGTAATCCAGACACTATTCGAACACGCAAGCTTTGTTAGGTACCTTCAACACTCGTTCCGACAACAGGTGGAACAAACGGTGACCAGTGACGAGTCGGCCAACTGCTCCTTTTTGACTGCCGCCGGTTCCGCCAGTGACGCCGAGTCCGGCACGGAACTCGAAGACGAAAGCCCAAGGCAAGTCTCTGCTTTCCACCCTCAAGCTCCGGAGCAAGGAGCACCCACAAGGCCGGGCCACAACATTGGGGACAACACCCGCACGCCGTCTCCATTACCGCACTTGTTTCCGGAGGGCACCCCCTTGGCAGAGGAAGTTGTCAAGGAGGACATCGAAGAGGGTACAGAGCTTGCGGAGGAAGAGGGATGTGCCGGCGGCAGCCCCGCCCCCGTCGGGCAACCTGAACCTTCGTCGATTGGTCTTTCTGTGGAGGAGGCGGACGGCAGTGCGTGGGATGCTGCCGTAGCGGAGACCTTCGAGCCAGAAGAGAGCGGTAAGCGGGGCTGTTGTTGCGTTCAGTGGGATTCGTTGCAACGACTCCCGTCTGTCACTTGCTTGTCTGGTGCAAGCAGTTCTTCCGTAACCAAGAGATCGACGGGTTTCATTGTTTTTTTTTCCTGTGTGCCTTTGGAGGTATTTGAGTTTGGGACTTTTGTATTCTCAGGGGAGTTGCAGTGGAGGGATGAACCTGGGGACTGTACTGCACCCAGAACTCTGCAGATCTCCAGCTTCAAAGTTGTGAGTTTTTTTGGTTTTTTTTTCCCACTACACTGCCACAAAACTGTCTTGCGAATACAGAAACGGATTTTCATAAATTGAGCCCACATGAATTGCAGTGCGTTGTGAAATTCTCGTTCTTTGAACCCAGTATCCTCCTTTGAAAAAAGAATGTTTGTAATGACCCCCCCCTCTTCCAAAATAGTGCATCCGAAAATACAATGCAAAGCCTGTGATTAGGCAGTAATTCACAGTATTAAGTTTGCACACGTATATAAATTACACTAATGGACAAGTAAAAGGGGTGTGTTCTAGAATGTTTTGTTAGCCACTGAGCTGCAGGCCGATTCAGGGTCAACGGTTGAAAAGCAAAAGCAGCGAACAAAACAAAAATCCTAAATAGATTTTTTCTCGTCTTTTTTGCATTTCAGGGAGTTTCCATAGAGCCCACTGCTGTAGCAGACAGTGAACCGACGGCCGACATAATTTGCGTGGGGGTCTATCCCGAGGGCACCGATGCAAGCCTGGATGGGTCTTGTTCTATTCCCATGCCCGAGGAGAGGGACGAAGAGGAGGACATCGTGCTGATACTCTCAGATGACGAATCGGAGCAAGCAAACGCGGACTTGGCATCGACAGAGGAAAGTTGCGAGGACTCGGACGAAGAAGACGAACACGTTGAGCAGGAGAGCGATCGGCAGGTGCCGCGTCTCGATTCGGACGCGACCGGAACGACTTTGGAAGACAAGCGGAGTCTGGATGCGAGCTCGGTCGCCACAGAAGAGAAACTATCATCTGCATCCCAGCCAGAGACCCACGATCAGGCGGCACAGACGGGTCAAAGTCTGGTCGGAGCTTCTTTCGGCACGGACCAAGGAGAGAGTGAAAGACACTGCGATCGAGGACCCGGCTCAAAGAACGACGCGGAGGGAGTAAAAGGCGGAAGTCCCACTTCACTGACGAGCGCGGAGGAAGCCCACGTTCTTTCCGACGCGTCTGCCTGGACGGGACATGCCCTACAGCCCGAGGAAAGGTCCGGCAACATTCCAGAGCTCGGTGCTCACACGGATGTTCATTCAGCAGCAGAAATGCCGACCGAGGATTCAAGCTCCTCGGCCTCTTCATCAATGTCCGATCCTCTCCTCAGGCGGGTATTTCCGCAACAGGCAACTTCAGAGCATCCCTCTCCCGTGGTGTCCTCGTACCTCCTTCGACGTTCCGTCAGAGAAGAGCAGGAGCACCCCAACGTTGCAGTCAGGACAAGGCGAAGCAGCGGACCGACTACGCCGGCAAGAAAGCCGATCCAAGCCTCTCCGAAGTCGGCGCGGAGTACACGCCGCAGTGGAAGCGTCGACCCATCGAGTATGACCTCGATGCGAAAGTTGAAAACTCCAAGCCCGGAGAAGGAGCAGTCTACTGCTTTCTCCATCGCGAGGACAGACTCCGCACTTGGGAGGACGCAAACTCGAGGCGCCCGGCGGAGTTCAGAATCGTCAACGCGCAAAGACCGAACCCCGAGCCCCCAGAAGGTCCCCGGTACCCCTAAGGGGAAAGCAGCGAGTCGAGCCAGTTCAAAAAACGAAGGAGCCACGGCCAGGGGAAGGGTCTCGCCAGCAAGGACTCGGAGGGGCGAGAGCTCCAGCCCTAAGGGCCGTGGCACATTGAGGGCACTCGAAACACCCAGCCCATTACCGCGACTGGCAAGGCTCAGTGTCTCTCCGCTGGAAATCGATTCCGAAGGCTCCACTGTTGCCGAGACCACGCGTCGGGTGGCTCAAACGCCCTCTCCATCAAAATTGAGACGTGGACAAACTTCTCCGAGGAAGGCCAGGACTCCAAGTCCGGCGGAAGGACCTCGGAGTCCTAAGCGTAAGCAAAGGAGGTCGTCTACGCCGAGCCTAGCGAAAGAGCCTCCAAGTCCCAACAATAAGAGAGTGAGCTTGTCCGTTCTAAAAGACAACCAACCAACTGCAGCAGAGCCGAACTCGCCAGAGCGGTCGCCCACCCGCTTGCCAAAGCCACCGGTGAGAAGAAGCACTCGCTTGACACCAAGGAAACAGGCTCCCGAAGACTCAGCCGGCAGCCTAGAAGAAATGCAAGTCAGGCTTCAGTCGGCCAGAAAATCTGCAGGAGGGTCAAGCCGCAAGCTGCCGGTAATCCTCGAAGACGATGTTGTGGTGGATAACGTGGCCGGGCAGCCATCCACAAAAAGATTGAGCTCTCCACACAAGAGCCTGCCTCGCATTGCGACAGTCGAAGTTCCAATGACGAGACTCCGAAGTCGACAGCTCTCTGGTGATGCTGACATGGAAGGTGCAGTGGCAGGCACTGCAAAGCGGAAGATTGAGAGGGACGCAGAGCTGGGTGAGTGTGTGGTGACCTTTGTACCCATTGTTGCGAGGTACCCTGTGTCTAAAGTACAGTAGTTGCTATTTACCCGAGGAGTACTAGATTTGTTTGGTTCAAGCATTCACCATTCATGAACAAGATCCTTGTTTGTATTCTTGCAGAATGTGCTGGTAGGCAGTCGTTGCACCCTCCAGAAGGAGCGTTGCGAATAGCAAAACTTTGAAAATGTTTGCTTCCAAAGCTGTGATCTGTTCTGGACATGTGGAACGTCATGCTCACTTTTACAGCACGGATAGCAGTTTGCGCTGAACAGTTATCGCTGGCGTATCATCAACTGAACTCGTTGCATATCTCCCGGCAATTGGCTGTTGGCATCCTCTTCGTACTGCAATTTATTTTAATTGCAAGGTCGCTGCAGTTCTTGTTGTGCACCTTGTTGAACTCACACCCTTGACAATTTGGATGTGTTGCAACATAGCAGACGTTGGATGAGGAGCAAAGTAATAATTTGTTAATTAATTGTACCTGAAATTTTCTAATTATCTTTGCTTCAGCTAGCACTTTTCAATGACAAATTTGTTAGCTGTCGTCAAAATATATAATACCAGTTGTTAAAGTTCAGAAAAGGAAATTCTGCTACGAGTCCTTCTCTGTCGGATTTAAGCTACAAACAGACGAGATACCAGAACAAGACTCAAAAACGGCGGCGGAAGCCCCACCTGGAAGCAAGGTCGCTCACCACAGTGGACGCAGATAGCGAGTTGCCGCAAGCCGTTATGCGTCACGTGACCGTAGAAAAGGCACGCCCTATTCTGCTGTCTCCTCAGGCGCTCGACTTTCTTCACCCTATGTTAGTTTTGGTATGGTGGAAACTTGACAGCATAACTTTGCCAGAGGATAGCACAAAGCAAAATAGTTGTCCTAATTTTAACAACCACCATGGCAGATTTTGACGAAGAGCAAATTTCTAATTGGAATGTGCTAGCTGAATCAAATATTTTAAAACTTAATTGGTGAATCTTACTTAATTAGTTCGTTAATTATCACTTTCCACTCTGCCTGACGTCTGCCGCTGTGGTTAACATCATATCAGTTCTCTATTTTATACAGCGTAGACCGCATATAACGTATGTCGCGGGAGTCGCGAAAATCCGCACTATAAGCGGTACCGCACTATAAGCAAAACATCAATTTTTCAGGCCAAAATACATGCCATGAGACAACTTACACTTGTGAAAAGAATTTATTTTATGTTAGATGAAAAATAAAGCTTAGTTTGAGGAAAGTCGTTATTTCACCTGACTAGTACAGTTCCGTCTCAAGTGTGTTACACATTTTGAAAGAAATGAGCAGCTTTTGCCTGGCGCAGCCTTTTAACGGCGTCGCGGGTTGCGGACGGACGTTGAGAGCGTTCAGGATTGCTAACCCTAATCACTTTTCTCCAGAGATGAAAACGCGTGAAAATTCGCATCCTTCACACGGAACGCGCCAGTAATACCTTGAACTTGAGCGCACGCATGAAATGCGCCAAATAAGAAATCCGGGCGATGTTCGAGGACACAAATGCTTAGAAATCACCACTGTAGTCGAAGTAAACAAACACGACGACACGGGCGTTTCTGCCGTCTTGAGAGCGCCGCCACGACATCGCCGCACGAGTAGGTGGATCTTCCCTTCTAGTACGTGCTGGGTTATCATAGCGACACACAACGAAAATTCACAGTCAAGGATAGCGCTTTTACGCGGAACGATGAGATGAACGCCGTCTACGACGACGATCACAACCGACGCCGTGTTTGCGGATAGAAGCAGCCGACCCGCGACTGGCATGTAACGCGCACAACACTTCTCCTCGACCTGCGATTGGTCTGTCGCTGCGGTTGTTTGTTGACGCACGCACGTGAACGACACGTGCGTGCGTCCCTCTGTCGCTATGGCAACTGAAGCCTTTCGCTTCTTCCCGCTTCTTCGAGCAACTCTGCTCTGGAGCAACTGCCATGCGAGTGCCGCTTGCTGCTCGCGCCGTCAGCGCCGTTCTCTAGTGTCGCACAGGGAAGCGCGCTCGCTGCTCCGGTCGTTGACGCGGCCGGCGGGCTGTGCCAGAAACCGCACTATAACCGGTATTTCCCTTCGCGCGCCTGCATTTTAAGCGGTATGTAATTACATGGAGTTCTATGGGAGACGAACCGGTGGTTTAAAAAAACCGCGTTATACCCGGTCCTGCACTATAAGCGGTTACGTTGTAAGTGGTCTACACTGTATGTCCTTTTTTTAAAGAGTTATTTGCAGTCTTAGAACCACTGTATGTCCTATGCTAAGAAGTGGTGTGAAGAACTATAAAGGTGGTGTTGCTTTGTTCATTTCAGCCACTCCAGCAGCCAAACTGCACAAGCCAGATGCCCTTGCCAAGAAAGGTAGTACTGATCCAACTTTTGTGTTTATATGTTGGTATTATGCATAAATAGTTTAGCAGCATAAGATGTCCAAAACGCAGCATACATTTCACTCTTTTTGATCAGTTCTCAAATTTCTTTCTGTAAGAAACACATGGGCTTTTTTTTGTATATGGTAGAATTTTGTTAATGTGTTCTTCAGTGAGTCATGTGGTAAAGTCGACTCTCGTTTATTCAAAATCGAGGGGTACCGAAAATTTTTTTTAATTAAACAGAGTTTGAATTGAAGAAGGCTCAGTAAATGGAATACTTCCGTGCAGCGCTGCATTGGGTGGCGCATGTGCACTGAACTAACACATATGTGGCGAGTTCTGGGACATTTATTTACACCGATCACAAATGGAAGTAATCCCTGATGCATGCCTGTACGTGGTTCCTCAGTCGTGAATCAAGAACCATCGCTTGGAGCTTGGAGACTAGATCTAATCCGGCATCAGCATTTTCCTGGCAAGAGAGGTAGCGCACAGTAGTGTCCAGCGCCGACGCTACGTCAGTTGCACTAGGGGAGGGGGCATTTCTTTGCTGGCATCAGAATCTTTTCCACTGAGGGCTGAACGGTCTTCAGGTGTAACCTGTTGAGCGCATGTAGCCTGAATGATCTTGGCATCTGTTATTCATGACGCTTGGAATGATAACGTCAGTCGCGCGGTTACTGAGAACACGCCGAACCGCAGCAATGCGCGAGTGCAAGGCAAGAAATGTAACCGTCGCACTCCCGCCGAAAACATGCTGAAGTGCAGCAACGCAACACCGTCGCTGCCCAAGAGAGAATCACAACAGCTGCTGCCAGCACCGCACCGCTTATCACAGCATTCAAGGTCGCCACGTGATCGGTTCTCATGGTTACTTGGAACTGGAGACGAAAGTAGCAGCTGGCGCACGGAGTAGCGCGGCTACACAGCCGGATCAGAGGCGCCGCCGTGTGAGTTAGCCCGCTCCTGAGAACATGGTCGGCGGCGCGGAATGTTCAAGTTAACTGGCGCAAACACTTGAGCGTTCAATTTACCGGTCATTTTCGCACATTGAAATACATATAGTGTAGACGGGACCACAGCGTCAATTCGAATAAACCAAAAGTTTGAATTAAGCATGTTCAAATTAACGATTCGACTGTATATGAGCAACCGTAACAGCCGATACTCTTGAAGGCTGCATCGGGTACCACTTCTTGAAAGGCTGTAGATGCGATAGGGAGCAACCTGCATAACTTTAACAGCTTTGGAGAACTGCCCTTTTTCTTAAAATATGGGTGAAATTTTATTTTTCACTGTTTTATAGCGATTGATAGAAAAAGAGCAACTCCGCTTCATTTCGTTTTTTAAAAGACAATACACTCCTCTTCAGTATCACCTAGGAAGACCACAAGTTAGATATTACAACCTAGTTCTGTCTAAATGTTCCTTAAACGGTCCGGCAAACTTGGCAACGTGCCAAGTTGCCGAAATCGGCTGTGTCTAGTTTGCAAATTGAGGTGCAGCCAACAGCGCGGTCAAGGCTACGGTGTTGGCGTGGCCAACATTGAGCCAGACGTCACCACCTTTTCCCCTTTTTGTTTGTTTTTTACACCTCCCTGCGAGCGCAACGGTCGACGTCAGCAACGTTTCCTCTCAACGCTCAGCGGTCTCCACGTGATTGGCGTAATGCGCTTGCGCAGCGCGCTTCTCGGGAACCGTCCGGCTGTTTTGCTGTTACTGCAGTCTCCCACGTCTTAACAACCGTCGTCGTCTCACCGTTTGTGATTGTCTCTCGGAGTTTCATTTGTGCTACGTGCGCAGACCAATGCCGCAGTTGTGCAGATGTCGTTGAATGTCATAGACACCAAAACTTGGTGAAGAGTGCAGTGCAGGCAATTCCGACTTGCCCATGCCCGCCTCAACAGTGGCCCCCTGCCCTTCCGCCCCCCCAATCCCGCCCGTCGTTGCGTAGAGGATCACGTAACATCTCGTACCATGTGATAGCCATGTTTTTGGCGGCCCGGGGCCACTGTTGCCAGACGGAGCCAAAGTTACGGTTTCAATTTTCGCTCACATTTAAAGCAAGATTTAACGATATACTATATCTCATTTTTTGCGTAGCAAATGACTTGATGCCTTGTAGTAGTGCTTTTTAATGTGAAATTTCTCGGTCGTTTGAAACTTTTGGAATTGAGCGGAGTTTCCCTTTTAAGGGGGGACACTACCCAAAAACATTCATGTTTACACCACTTGTTTGATTTAGGTGACATTTACAGGGCTTGTTTCTGTTGATACACTTGTTAGTGAGCGCATTGGTAATGATGTAGGTTTAGAAAGAGTTATATACGTAAAGACAGGGGACAGGACAACACATATTTCATGATCATGAAATGTTCTCAACATCTTTTGATGTTGAGAACATTTCTGTCAAATTTTGTTAACCTGGATGAAAAGCAGAAAAAATTTCAAATGTTCAAAGACGAAAGTGGGCTTGTCTGCGTGGGAAAACTATCGTTTCGAAATTACTTATAAATTTCTTATTTTCATGTGTTATATTGCTTTAGGACAGTTCAAAGAAGATAGCTATGGAAAAATTTCCATAGCTGTCTATAAAAATTTCGAGATAAGCGAAGTTTCGAGATAAGCGGAGTACCGAAATTTCCGAAGTACCGACCGCGGATTTCGAAAATCTAGCGCTTCCGAAAATCGTACCAATCACAGCTTCGTTTTAAGCAAGAAATAACTTTCTAAAACGAGAAAAAATGACTTAGAAACAAGCGTCCAGCGGTCCAGCGCACGCACATATTCCTCAAAGAGCGCCGCCGTCATCCATGTGGACGGGGTTGAACGAAGGCGACGCGACAACGGCTTGGCGGCGTGGCGACTCCGTAGTGGCCACGCCGCCAAGCCGTTGTCGCGGCTCCACGAGATCGGGAGAGCCGATAGAACGCCACAAGCCAGCGCAAGCGTAGAGAAAAAGGGAGAAAGAAAAGTCCCCGGAGATGGGGAGAAAGCAAAAAGCAAGAAAACAAATGTCCTTGAACGCTCGTCGCGTTCCGTGCGCCCGGAACGCGTTCGCGGCGCTTCCCTCTTTTGTTTATTTTTCTGGGCGCTTCCTTGTTTTGTTTATTTTTCTCAGTGCTTCCCTTCTTTTGTTTATTTTCTCCGAAGACCCTCTCTCTCTCACTCTCTCTCTCTCTCTCTCTCTCTCTTTCTTTGTTAGCGTTATTTTTAGGTCGCGGTCGCTTCGTCCGCGATGGAGATAAACTTTCTCCTTCGGGCCTCAGTGTCCTTTCAGGAATATTTTTTTTATATATATATTTTTGCAGGCGAAGTTTCGAGATATCCGATGCCGGTCCCGGAAACTTTTCGAGATAAGCGATGTCAAAATACATGGTGCTAATGGGATTCATTTCGCAACGCACAAAAGTTTCAACTTAACCGATCTTTCGAGATATGAGATATCCGTGTTCGAGTTAACGGGGGTTTACTGTATCTGAGGCAGACTCCGAGCTACTTTTTCAAGGTTGCATGTTTGTTTACTAACACTCCAAAAAGGAGAGTTAACTGTAAAGTTAACTGTACAGTTTACCGTAAAGTCACCGATATGGTCGTAGCACTGCTCATAGTACTTTCTTTGGATGCTTCCAGCTGCATTGCAAGAGCTTTATTTTTAGACGTCTGTTGAAACTTGAAATGAGAATATATTGTGTTATTAATGTTGAACTTGTCCAGATGCCCAAGCAGTAGGGCCCAGCTCTGGCCCTTTGTTCTCGCCGCCCCTAACACGGCGACGCTCCGCCCAGCGGTCGACAGCGGACGGGGCAACTCCCCTCGAACCGGCAACCTCTCGCAACTCAGCAGCCCAGCGGTAAGGTTGCTGATACACTGAAATGTCGTAAAACTTGTCCCAAGTTGGCAGAAATATTATATTAAGTAAGAAAAGAAAAAAAAATGCTAGCCACCTTCATTTTTCTATTTATAAGTAACATCCACAAATGTACACTGGGTGGTTTCGTTTGCGTTTCAAGCGCAAGTCTCCGAGCTGGTACTTTTAATTTACATGTTCTAAAGCAAGGCACTTGTTCCACTATAGCGTGAATTCTAAAAATTGGTTCCTAGGAGCCCATTGATTCCCCAAGTACCCTCACGGGTTCTCCAAACTCCCAAATTTTCCCCAACTGTTTCCCGAATTCCTTTTCCTCAATTGTACATAATGGGACAGAATGCTTGTATTTACCCAGTTCAATCCTTGAAATTGTCTCTAACAGCTGGGTGTCCTTATTGACGACGTCCATATAAGTGAGACACGACCACAGAACTTCTGCAGAGTGCAAGTTCGTCTGACAGAAGTTGCGATGATGTCAGAACGCCGAGCTCTTATTGGCTGATTGAAAAAAATAATGGGTGCACCTCAAGGCATCTAGCATTGAGGTCTACTTACTATCCTTCGAATCAAAGCCAATCGGAACTCAGTGTCGTTGTGACGTCACCGCAACTCCTGCGCAAGAAGACGACGATTTGCTCTCCGCATTGGCCTCGTGTGCGGTATTCGGTAGTGTGTACAGGTTTTGTTTATGCATCGTTTTTTACGGGTCATGCAGCACTCTTCATGTTCATGCCGAAGACTAGGGATCCACACTACAGGGATAAATTGGAAAAGGCAAGGAGTGCTAGCTTTTAGTCGCGGAAGCTGCTTGTACTGCACCAGTTGGGATGCCGGGGCACCTTCCTAGGCTGTGATCTCTTGCCTGTAGCCTCGGCTGTGCTTGAATCTAGAGTAAAATGGAGCAACTCTCTACTGCAGCACGTGTTGCAATCTTTTGGGCAATGTGACAAACTGCCACCACTCTGCAAAATGCTAGAACCTGTGCCAATGGCATTCTTTTGTTCTCGCGTGCAGGGACGCCGCATCTGCAAGTTCGACTCTTTCAACATCGGGTCGGAGCAGGGCCAGTCCTTCGGTACAAGCGGCAAGGAAGAGGGTGAAGAAGCTCGTTTGGAAGAAGCGGTCTCTCCGCGTACCATTGTTGCCTCGCTCGAAACAGTCGTCGGCCAAGGGAGGTTCAGCGAAGCCTTAGTGTGCTAAGCTTCTTGTTTTGTATAAATTCATTATCTCATTTAAAGCTTTTACAAATTCTTGAATGTAGAAAGGATGAATTTTTATTTTTAAAAACTATGTGTCAGTTCCACTAGCTTGCATATTTTGAAGATTTTCTTAGGGACTTGGAAAGAATGATAACCAAATGGAATGTTTTTCGGTGCTGCAACTTTCAAGTGCATTAGAATTTGAATTCCTCTTGTCAAATGATGTTGCAGACAGAGATGAAACAATTTCTTTTGTTCCAACACATGTTTCCCAAATCTTGCATTAAATGTCACTTTAGATGATTTTGTAGTTTCTGACCTCTCAGTCTGACAACCTTCTTCTGACAAAATAGCCATTCACCAAAGCCCCATTCAACAAACTCAGTTTGTTGAATGTCGATTTCATTGCTTCGGTAAATGTCAATTTCGTCTGAAGAGGTTTTTTTCCCCTGCCTTCTATAACCGGTTATGGCATTGATAAGTTCCTTTTTAGTTTTTAGGTACAATTTTTTTTTAGATATTTCCCCACAGCTTTTTACTGTGTTTTCCTACTTTTTAATGCAGTACAGTAGCTGTAAAAAGTAGCGATGGTATGCAATTGTATCTTTGTCCAGCAACTGTGCCCTGCATGCACAATAAAAAAAAATACTAGTGGCATTCCGTTTGACAAAAACTGTGGTGTTATCTTTTTTTTTTATCTTGGGCAACAAGTACAGTTGAGGCCGGTTATGTCATACCCGGGTATTTCGAATTATTGTTTATATCGAACAGTCCAAACATCCCCTTGAAAATCACATGTAATAGTATAGGAGCCTTGTTTTTCTGTATCGAACTCCCATGGCCATGGCGGGGACACTCGATATAGCGAACAAGGCACGACCACCCGTCGCTTCTCCCGCAGTCTGATTGCTCTGGCGGCGAGCTCATAGCTCGCGTTACAAGGCTGGCAGACCGCCAAGCCAGCATACGCGCATGGAAGTACGCAACAAAAAAGTAGTTAAAAGAAAAATAAAAAGCTCGAGGTACACCTAAGCGTTTGTTATGAGTTCTGAATGCGAAAGCATACAAGCCACTCGTCCGCTCCCTTTGTCGTCTGCTGCGTACCAGCGCATGCGCGCTTCGGGATCTCGGAGGCCATGACGCAGCGGCCAAGGGGAGCCCCGTCGACGTGCGCCAGCCAATGGAACCAAAGGCGCGCGGAAACTATGCCATTTTCGCGCTTCCAACTGATGACGTCAGCTCGCTCCATGAGACAGTTGAAGGGGCCCTGCAATCATATTTAAGCGTCTACCTTTTTTGCGGTTTCCAAGTCTCTTGAAGTTCGGGCAAGCCAGCGGGCACGAAGAGAGTAACTACATATCAGTGCGTCATATTTTAACCGGACGACGCGGAAACCTCCTCCACCGACGAGGGCGACCCGCGGTACCGAAAGCGTGCAAAATGTGACGTCTTTGGTCCTGGGCTTACTACTGGTCAGAGCCGCTAAAAGCTTCTTTTTAGTCGAAATACAAAATATAAGTGTCGCGAACCGTTTCAATTACTTATAAAAGTAGTTTTTGTTCACTATTTCAGATGAGAAATGAAACAAATGCAGTTTATAAAGTACGGAAACAAGAAACAACCCGTCGACATACCCGCCACCAAGCGGTGGAAAAGGCGGTGCATACTAGAAAAAAGTAGTGGGATCAGGCGCCGACACGGAAAGGTCCCGGATGTACGCGGCAGCGCTGCGGTCGTATGGGCAGGAGGATCCGACCGGCTCCGAGCCTTCCGAAGGCCATCGGCGAGATGCTTTGTCTTGCGGTTTGGCCGTTTCGCGGTATGGCAGCGCGAAGTGGCTCCCACTCTGAACTGATCTTTACCCCGTGTTTGCTGTTGTTTGTGGCCAATGAAGTGTCATGCCGAATTAGTGTTTAATCACGCAGCAAACGCAGTGAGAGCCGCTCTGGGTGCCCGCTGCATACAGCCTGTACAGAACATGCTTTAGTGGCGCCCTCTCGCGCCGTCGACACGGAATGCGGCAGCTGTGAGCGCTCGCGATGAGCTCACTACCCCTCCTCTAGTTCACGGCCGCTCAAGCAACCAAGGACGTCATGAGGGAGGTTATTTTTTGCTTGTTTTTGTAATTTTGATTTGCCTATAACTTTTAAAATAAAGCGAATTTCAAGAAAATAAAAGTTACTCTAAGTTACTACGTTCAGTGCGCTCAGGTTTGGTGCAAATTAAAAATTAGTAAAAAAGTGCTTGCAGGGCCCCTTTAATAATGCTTTCACATTAAAAAGCAACTGTAAAAAGAAAAAGGGAGGATGGAAAACGCAAAGAGCACATGCGCCTAGAGAGGACAGGGAGTGCCCGTTGTTGGGACGGTAGCGTGCTCTCTTTCTCCGAACATCGCTGTCGCTGTGCGACTCCTTAGCCCCAAAATAAAATAAGAAAGAAAAGAAAAAGTCGAGTCTGGTGTGTTGACAACAACAGTTGAGCAATCACACTTTGAATGCCTTATCTTTGTTGGCCTTTTTCTTTCATAGTTTTTGCTTTGCCTGTTTTTTTAATTTTTTTTGCTGCCTGAATTTAGTGAGGTTTCTTTTTTGTTGCAAAACTTCATTCCATGTGAGCTTTTTTTATGCGGCTCACTTCTTTCGTTTTCAGAGACCCGCGGAAATTTCAACTGGAGTTAAAGTTAACATATTTTTGTATATCAAATTAGCGATATATTGAACTATTTTACGATCCCCTTCGAATTCGATATATCCAGGTTTGACTGTAAAGGTGGGGAAATTAAGAGATGTGGAGAAGATATTTTGCTTGAATTTTCTCTGGGCCGTCACCATTTCAAAAAGGTTCGCATACTGCACATGCAGTATGCGAAATCAACCATCTGCGTCTGTAATCGTTGCAGATCCCTTTCTTCTTTACATTGAGGATGGTTCTTAAAGTCTCCCAAAGAGATGGTTCTTGTTTATTTTGTTCATCACCTTTTGTTGTACATATTACTTGAAGGTGCTCTCACCAAGGTTTTGACTTTGTAGAAACTGCACCAGGTTCAAAGACAAAGCGCCGGCCTCGGGTCCCCGGGTTGCAGCTTTGCACTGGAATTTAGGGATGGTGAAGGAAAACTACTGAGTGATTCAAGGAGCGGCCAGGCTCTTTAAATTGACCACAAAATTTGGTTTCTTAACCTGTCTCGCTACGACTTTGTGCAGCGTTACCCACAGATGGTGCATTTTTTTTGTAAGATTTGCAAAGAGCGGGCTTACCCGAGGAAAAAGTAAAGAAAGAAAAAGGCTTAGCTCCTATGGAAATGCAGCAACACCACCGGTCTTCAAACAATACGGCACCGTTTCAACGGGAGACAAGAGATGGCGCAAGCAGTCGCGACGCCAACTGTCGCCAACGAACGAGCATACAGCGCCGAGAGCCGGCGTCTTTAGCAGACAAGCTTTTCAACTTAAAAGCAGCACGAGCTTTTTTGATATCAGTTGTCAATGCATTATTTTATTATCCTTACTAATAAACACATTGAATGGACACATAATCGATTAAAAAGATGGTTTGTCGAGTTATTTTGACTGTTTGTTTCGTGGTATGTTGTCTGCTTTGCAGTCCCTTGTTACCGCGCCAGTGTTTGTTTCTGTTTCTGTAGGGGGCACAGATGAGTACAATGTCTGCATTCGGCTGGAACTCTTGTTCCGACTGATTGAATGAGAGTTGTGGTGGAATGCTGATCGACATATTACTTGTGTCCAATAGGCAACCTGCAATGCTGTTTGGTTTGGCGCTGTGTAGCGACTGAAGCAAGAAACATTGGGCATGCCTGGAAGTGGCGGCTGCATTGTTCAAACGTGAGCTATCACTTTGGGTTGTCGCTTAGCGTGATGTCAAGCAAGAAATGCTGGGTACGCCTGGAGACCTATGTTGCGGTTTTTGGACTCTTACGGCGACTAGGGAGAAGGAAGCGACGTCAGCAACGCAAAAAACGCAGATTGGATGTTTTTTCTGCGGAAATTCGTCATCAGCGACTCTCACTAATCAGCATCCAGTTTGCATTTGCTGCGTTGTTGAGGTCACTTCCTTCTCCAAAGTCGCCATGGGAGTCCAAAACGTGCAACATAGGTCTCGTGGGTATGTAACATGCCAGTACGCCAGACACTACGGCTCCTGCGGGGCAATTGGAACAACAGTGAGGCAATTGACCACGTATCGCTGGAGTGCTCTTTTACTGCAAAGGAGGCTTTTAGCTGCATCATGCTCCAATATGTGTGTTGCACTTGCATATGTAGTGCATATCGAAGCCGTCAAAATGCAATGTAGGTTCTAGCATTCCCCCTTTGCCAGGTTACAACAAGACCGGGAGAAAAAATAGCCAGTCACGTTTTTGCTTGTCTCGAGGGTGTGGAAGAAATCGCCCACAACACAATGCAGCGAATCAATGGTGGTGCTTGTTACTTGGAAGGCAGTTGCGGAAGAGGAAAATTACGCGAGTACACATACGACTGCTTACGAGTAAAGCAAAAGCAATGTAATCCCGCGGGAGAAATGTTTTCGGGTAATGTTTCTACACATATTTAAGTTTAGGACGACTTCCTAGAGATCGACGCTAAGTACGGTGTCTAGGATGACCTATGGGATTACGTCAAGGACGACCTCTCGGACGACGTCGAGAATGACTCATGGAGGATGTCGTCGAGGACAACGTATATGAGGACGCCTAGAGGAGGACGTCAAGAACGACTTCTAAGACAGCCTCTAGGGCGATGCCTAGAGGAGGACGTTTAGGGAGGCTGTGGCGTAATTGCGTGGGCGGCCACATTTGCCTGCGGAAGCTGCCGTAGATGTAGACGCTGCTGCCGACGTCGCCTCGCAGTCCATCGCACAAAGCACACTTTGAGCACATACGAAGTCCGAAGCGCACCTTTTACACACGGCGCTCCGACGATGATATCATGCTGATGACGTATGATGATGCTTAATGGCATCATGCTGATGACATATGATGATGCTTGATGACATCACGCTGATGACGCTTGATGACATTTTTATGGCCATCTTTTGGTCACGACGACGATGGATGCCACTTGTTTTTCACGTATTGTGACATGCTGATGAATTACTTGAAAATTTTAACACCTTGCCTCTCACTAGGCTATACCACTATAAACTTGGACGGCAAGTTCACACAAAGGTAATAAATAGTTTTGATCAAACTCCTTTGATTGTAACGGAATATGACCTAAGGCAGGTTAGCAACCACGAACCAGAAACAATCAACTTTTAGCTGTTAAATGCTGTAGGCAACGACGTAACACTAGCCAATACGACTAAGGACAGCGTCATCCTTCAGCATATTTTAGAGTGGCGTGTGCAGCGCAATCGCATTTTTATGGCCATTTATTTCGAATGTTCCCAAGGCCTTCTGAAGGTTTTCTAAACTAACTTGGGGAAAAAAAGTATGGCAGCGGTGGGATTCGAACCCACGCCTCCGAAGAGACTGGTGCCTTAAACCAGCGCCTTAGACCGCTCGGCCACGCTACCCACATTGAAAGGTTAAAAGACGGTAAAATCCGTGCTCGAAATACTCAACTGCTCGCGTGCAAAGTTACAAACTTGTGTCGTTTTGAAGAGAGACGAGATTGATGTGGCCCTATGTCATATTGTGATAGAATGTCCACAAAAAAAATAGGTTACTCAAAAATAAAGTTCGGAGAGTAAATCGTTTGAAAATCTGAACCACGCAAGAAAATTCCACATAAAACGAAGTGTACTTGGCCAGGATACGCAATCTACCGCCCTTATCCCCCTAGTCTGGATGTCCATCAGTGGTCAGCTGGGTCAGCTGTGGCTTGGCTCTGGCCGGCTGTGGCGCTGTAGTCAGTCGTGCCAAATAGCCTCCCTAGTGCCAAAGTGCTGTTTTGGTTTCTCCGTCGACTGAGCTGAGGCATTAAAATTGCCTGCCTATAACATACAGAAATCATGGCCATATTGACCAGAACATTCTTCTATAAGCTAATTAAAGGAGGCGGTGGTAAGTACACCGATCGTCTTCCGTGAGTGAGTACATACGAAGAGAGAATGATGTGACTGCAACCTTTCATTTCAGCATCCCCGTCGCGACTAAAGTTCTTGCTTGTCCTTTCTTCGATATATGTCCTTATAAGGTTCCTCTTAACGTGGAATGGTAAGCACTTGGCCTATATATTGATTACATTGGACATTGACGTCTTATTTTGAGTTTTTGCGAACTTATCTGACAAATCTTTCAGGGTATCCGAAGGCTGCTGGAGAAAATGGACTGCCCGCCTCCAACTCGACAGGCAAGTATTGCGGATTCTTCAATCGTATTTTTATAACTTGGGTGCGCTTTCACCTTACTCGTGTACGAGCTGGTGGTGGTGGATGTTCCAGGCGCCAATCGGACGCCTTTCGTTTGCAGACGGCCGCCTTAGGTAGGGATTTCAAGAGTGGTAACTTGGACGAGTTGGTGATGCGTTACCGACAAAAGGCAGCGCGAAAATTGACGAAGGACAGGTAAAAGAAGTAGACATGACAAGCGCTTGTCGTATATGGATATGGAGGCCTAACCCTTTGTAATGGGCGATCACAGCTTCAACAAAACTGAATCAAACCAAGAAAACACACACACTCAAAAAACAAAAAAAAAACCTAAGTTTGATTGCCATTGTTTCCCACCCTCTTCACAGTGTTCCCCGACCAGTCCTCCAATCTTTTCTTTGTGATCTCAACCACATTGAGAACACCGGCATCTTCCCCCTGGCCGCACTGGCCACCATGGTCTCGACCTCCCACTTCATTGACGCACGTCGTCAGCGTCGTCTGCTCCTGCCCTGTCGATGGTGTCGGTCCCAACCTCTTCAGCCCCAGTGCAGCCGCATAGTCCGGATCTGGTGGCATTGGCGGCCTCGGCTCTCGGCACTTCATTATGACATGTTCGGCTGTCTCCTCCTGCTGGCCGCATAGCTGGCACGTGCCGTCCATCCTTGGTGCGTGCTTGGACCTCAGGTGGCGTGTCCTCAACACTCCACTTCGTGCCTCGCACTGCAGCCCACTGCCCCTCAAGTTGTCAACGAATTCCTCGCTCACAATGTTCTTCTTCTCCGCACCGTAGACGGCGAGGGACGGCCGAGCGCCGACCGCGGCGACCCATCTGGTCGTTTCTGTCTCCTTCACGCGTTCTCGGACCCGTTTCGCCGTCCCTGTCGACCTTGTACAGCAGCACCCGTGGCACGTCATATCACTCCGTGAGCTTGTTGATGCTTCGAAGGTGGATGTACTTGAACACCTGGCGAGCCCATCTTTGTTCCGGCAAAGTGCATAGACGCCGCTCGAAAATCAATTTGCTGCTGACCTCACGGTATTCAAAGCAGGATCAGCCCATGTCACTGTGGACTTACTCACTGGTGGTGTTTCCGTCTGTTCCCAGCGCCCGGTGACCCACCTCTCGCAGCCTCACTTGCAGATTTTCTCGTGTACATACCGACAGGCACAGCATGGCATTGGCAAAGGTCAGGCCTGGCACCGCCACCATTTATTTTCCAGAGTGCCCGCACCGTCTCGTACCGGCTGAAACTCCACTTTCCCCTGCATCCCAGGTAGCCCTTGCGTTTGTTCACCGTGGTCCGCAGCTCGGCTCCATGCTGTTCGAGGTACTTTTTTCCCGACTGCAGCGTCACTCCCAGCTACTTATATTCGGTTTTCCACCTTCCACTCAATCTCTTGGCCCTGAATGTTCAATCTCTGCGACAGCCGCGTAGGGGCATCCTCTGTGCCCTGGGTGTTCCTTTGCTCCACCCCTGCCCCAAAGACTCCAGACTTGCTGGGGTTGAACGTTAGCCCCAGGGTGGTTCCCTCTTCTCCACAGGTGTCCAGCAATTTCTGAAGCTCCTCCAAGGACTTCGTCATAAGCACCACGTCATCCGCATAGATCAAGGTAGGGACTCTCTGATCTACTTCCCTCCCCTCTTCACCATAGCACATCTTGAAATTTAAGTGACTGTCCTCCAGTGCTCTCTCCAGTCTTGCAATATACAACATGAACAGAAGTGGTGGAAGCGAGCACCCCTGTCTCAGTCCCCTTGTGGCCTTTATGGGCTCGGTGAATTCCACCCACCACTGAATCACAACGCTGTTGTCTCTGTATATCTCTCGGAGTAGGTCCCTCCATTCCACAGGCATTCCCAACTCCTCCAAAACCGTCCATAGCAGTGAATGGTTCACAGAGTTGTACGCCTTGGAAATGTCCAAGAAGCCGAGGTATAGGGGCCTCTGCTTATAATTGATAATCTCCATGGCTTGTGTGATGACAAAAAAGTTGTCCTCCAGTCTCCTTCCCTTGAGGAATTTATTTCGGAGTTCCCCCAGTATTCCCTCGTGCTCAGCCCAGCTCTGTATGCATTCCTTCAGTACATGCATGAAAATTCGGTAGAGCAGCGAGGTCACTGTTATCGGACGGTGGTTTTTCAGGATGAGCTTGTCTCCTTTCCCCTTGTACAGCATTCTGACCCGGGATCTCCTCCAGTCCTCTGGTATGTCGCCCGTTTTCATCACACAAGAGAGCCCCTATTGGAGCCGTTCCCTGGACTTTACTCCCATTTTCTTCAGAAGGCCTGCTGGAATATCATCTAGACCCGTTGCCATGTGGCCATCCATGCATTGCATGGCCCTGTTCAACTCGCCCTGGGATATAGCTCGGCGCTGTTGGATACCTCCCGTGCTGTCCCTCAGGGGGTCACTCTGTCTTACTGCATCTGGTTCTTCGAAGCTCTCCGCCATTGCTAGAGCAATGTGCCTGATACATTCTTGTCCAGTCAGGACTACTACGCTCGTGGCATCCCTTATTGTTGCCGGGTTTGGCTCTGCCCATCTCTCTTCACCTCTGACATGTTGCCAGAACTTTCCTGGGGCGTCTCTGCCACTGCACACTATAAGTCTACGACCTGTCCTTCAATTTTTTTTGCTGTCTTTCGTTAAAAATTTTATCTTGTTTTTTTGCAAGTTTTATTTTTTTATTTAGGTAAGTTAGTTATGCAAACTTTGTATACCCTTAAACAGCCCCTGAAAAGAAGAAAAAAAAGTGTTTTTTTTAACAATCTGATTGGGACAAGCAAATCAAAAAATTATTTTACGCGAAAAAAAAAAAAAAAAAAAATATTTAGTACAATATTGACGGCGTGAGACTTATTTCAAATTCTGCACGGAAAGTCTATGAGGTCATACACTCCTTCCACCCCAACAAGATGGTCATACGCTCTCCCCACTTCAACGTGAAGGCGAAGCCGATCCACCTCTCCTCCACGCGCCCGAAATGCCGAGAGAAGAAATAAGTGGAAAGGAGGTGAGTACCAACTAAATCTCGTTTCGCACCATCAATATCGCTCTAAAAAAAGTTCTTTTCGCACAAAATTAATTTCTCTATACGCGTGTCCCAACCAGACTGTTGAAAAAAACTTTTTTTTTAGGGACTCTTTAATGCACATTCTTCGGCCACCTCCATACAAAATCTTGGCTCAATACGTTCACAAACTGACTTATATAGTCCCTTCAAACAGCCATCTATCTTTTTGCTTCACGCTGTCTTTGCTCGTGCAAAAATATGTTGCCATTCTCTTTTTTCTTGTTATTGTTGGCGTTGCACCGTGAAATAATTAAGCAGGATCAGTCCGAAACAGTGTCATAACATTTTAATTTTTCCTTTCTTTCTTTTTTCATCAGGTTTAGCATACGATGACATTCACATTGGAGTTACGAGCCTGACCGGTTTTCTGAATGCTTTGAAGGTGGACACTGAGTATGAGTAAGCAAATTCATCTAAGACATCTTTCACAATTTAATTTGCCTAAATGCTCGCTGTAGAGCACACAACCTATCATAGAAAGTGATACAATGTATTTCCTTTTTTCTTACCAAACCATAAAGGTAATATAGACATTGACAGGAAGAAATAGAAAAGGCATTTTCCCTAGAAGTCTCAGTGTGGCAGTCAACATTTTGCTGAGAGGCAACTTCTTTAGGGGTGGACTTACCAATAGGCAGGGTAGAGAGCTGCTTAGAGTCGAGATCTGTTGGGTGTGGGGTGCATTTGTTTACCTCCCTGTGTTTTTGTTTCCCCCCACCCTCAACCAATGACGGCGAGCACTTTTCTGTCACATCATCGCGCATTCCCTGTGCGTTCTCTGTGTTGCCCTTTGATTGGCGTGCTCCTTTTTGCGTTCCAATCAGCCAAAGACGTACGTTGTAACAGTCGCTCGTCGTGTAGCAGGTATTCACTCAGCTTGAAGCGAGTCATCACAGGAAGGAAAATCACCTCCTGGCCGCCATTGCCATGGCCGAAGCTGAGATTCGCAGCAGGTGTTATGCAACTAGCTGCGCTGTCGTAGGTCCATACACAAGCAGATAACAAGTCTGGCTTGCCTAAATGCACATTTATTTCGTGCCGAACAACATATGTAGTCAATAAAAAGACAAAAAATATATTTTTTGATTTGCGTGTTGAGAGGCTTTGGTGAAGCCGCCGGTCGACCTCGGCGAACGGGAAGCAGTCGGTTAGATTCGATTTTCCCAAGCGACCAGCTTTTGATAGATGGCCGTGCATTATTCTTGTTGCTAGCCTTTTACGCCGATAACTCGCAAATTTGCTATCGAAGGAAGGGACGTCTAAATTTCGCAATATGTATGCATTCAAAATCGAGGCATACTTTAAAAAACCCAGTCGTAACATTCCGTCTTTTTTTTTTATCTCTTTACAGGGCGGCACACTCCTGAATTAGAAATTTATGGATGATTTAGTAAAAAACCGTGGTTAGAGCGGGGTTCGAGCCCCGCTCCCCCGTGTGACGCAATAGCGTGCGTTTCTATGCACGTCGCCACGCACGCGGCAGTATAACTATGTAGCCATTGCATGTGGTCGCTCGCATGCCCTTCCATGCGTCACAGCAAGTTGCATCCCCCCTCCCCCCTTAACTTGTGTCCATAATATTCCGGACTTCCATATTATATTTTAATGCTTGATATGGGGGGGGGGGGGGACTTCATGTATAGCAGCACAAACATCAACATAAACTAAAAATGGTATGGTTTGCCTTTTTTTTTTCTCTGGAGAAAAGCACGGTTATCTGTGAACGACATAAAGAAAGAGGGGGAAAAAAAATGAAAGCCGTTTACAACTCCCTGTAACACCGAATTAGAGCGCAGCTCTTGAGGAGGAGGAGGGGTACTGAGGGTCACGTGTTCTCGGGGTGGAGGGGTCACGTGACCTCGGGGGGGGGGGGGGGGGGGGGGTATTAATGTGACCTTGGGGGTCACGTGACCTCGGAGGGGGGTCACATGACCTGGGGGAGGCATCACGTGACCTGGGGAGGCGTCACATGACCCCCCCTCCTCGAGGTCACCGAAGGTACCCGAGGTCCTCCCGAAGGAACCCGAGGTCCTCTATAGGTCCTCCCGAAGGAACCCGAGGTCCTCCCGAAGGAACCCGATGTCTTCCCGAAGGAACCCGAGGTCCTCTGAGGTCCTCCCGAAGGAACCCGAGGTTCTTCCGAGGTCCTCCCGAAAGAACCCGAGGTCCTTCGGGAGGACCTCGGGTTCATTCGGGAAAATTTACCCATAATGCACCGCGCGGTTACGCCGACGGCAGCGGCGGCGCCGCTCAAGCCGGAAACGGGCGCCTAAGAGCTGCACTCTAAAACGATTGCTCCGCATGTATGCAATCAACACTTAACGCATGTTGTTTTGATTTTATAATCGCAAACGGGAACAGCTGTCGGTGCGAAGGGCTTGCAAATTATCACATTTGCTTTATGCATGAGGTAATCGGTCATTTTGATTTACTCTACATTTGAAATGTCATAGAGCTGCGTGCTCAGTTTTCCGACACTCTGTGCCAGTGCATCCTGGCTTTGCCGCTACAAAGGTTCTTGAGGGCATGCGTCTTTGAAGAAACGTCCTCACGCACGCTCACTTAGTCGAGCACATGGACGTTAGGGTTAGAATATGGACAGTGACAGTAACATTCTCATTGGGGTGGAAAGAGATGCCAGGTGTCTAAAATCCTCTCCCCGATTGCGGCTGGTGACTTCGATGGCAAGGCAGTGGCAACAACGACGACTCGTACATTCACAAAAACCTGCGAACAACACACAACCGACGCTGACGCTCCGAACATCTCCCATCAGAAACCCCCCCCCCCCCCCCCCCCCCCCTACCCTGACGGGGTCCAACTTACATACCGAAAGGGGACGCACGGATATACATTCCTCCTGTGGGGCGGGGCGACGGGGCCACACTTGACTTACGCTTCTCCACCAAAGATGGCTCTGTCCCCATTTGGCTGCCCCTTCTCCCCAAAGAAGCTTCTCGGTAACACCGAAGGGGAGAAAAAAATAAACAAACATTAAAAGAAAAGAAACACTAGAAGCTGTATTGTGAGAAAACCACATGATGCGCCGAGGACGGCAGGTAGAGATGCGCTTCCGCACGGTTCTGTACTCTCGCCAAGTGCATTGAAGCACACATCCTACGTTATTTACGGCGATGGCGGATAGCAGCCTAGCACTGAAGTGTGGCACCTTGTGAGTATTTCCTATTGTGGCATTGATACTTAACAATCTTGCCCATGCACAAAACGTGAAGAAGAAAGGAACTGGGCTTTTATGTCTTTGGGACTAACCGATGCGAGAAAATGCAGAGAAGGAATGAACAGGGCAACGCGGTCGAGCAGGACCGTTTTTGCATTTTAAAGCGCAGCCACGCACTTCTGTGTCGCCTGTTTCGATGAACACTAGCAACCACTGAAGCAAGGTGGCCTGTTTGTGTAGGCTCCAGTTTTGAAGCAATAAGTTCTTCTAAGGTGATCATAACTGTTGGGGGAGGAAAAAAAAAAAAAGGAAAAAGAAAGAATGCACTGTTAAGATGTTTGCTTGTGGAATTTTGTTACAAAGACTTTAGCCACATTTGTGTGTCCCATCAAAGTAGTAATAATTTTATTAAATTTTTAATGACAATGTCCAACAAAAGAAGAATGTTCGGTGGGGAACATAATACTTGAAATCCGAAAAAAAAGAAATTCGCTTTTTTTATTATTTATTTAGCTCTTACTGAAACAGACATACAGACAGTATGCAAACTTTCTGCTGCAAGCAGAGATCGGGCGAAGTGGAGTATCGACAACATAAATTGCGACTGGGTAGTGATGCACTTATTTTCACAAAACACAAACTCAAGGTTCCAGTTATAGAGGTGTCTGTACAGCAACTCTCATATCAGGTTCTTCTCAACAGGCCTCTTGGAAAGAAAACCTTGAAATGGGCAGAAAGGTCTGCACTCCTGGCTTGTTTGCGCAGAGAGTGAGGTGCATGAGTTTTGGTCCTTGTGGTTCTCAAATGAGCTATGGCTTTAAAGATTGCCGAAGTGCAGCTCTTAAACGAGTTTGCATCAGAAACGACTAGTGTCCAGAAGCTTGGAGAGAGAAGGCACAGTATGGAGTGTGTGGATACCATATTATTGTCCCAGCTTTGCGAAAAATTCGCCCACTTGAGCAATATTCTGTAAAAATATTCGAGTGCTGTTAAATTATGAATTTTCAGTAACCATGTATAAAATGACCATGCAAAATATTAGCCTAAATATACGCATAGAGGTTTAGAATTACCAGGGAAAAAGGGTCAGGTGAACGGGGCAGTGACACGTTTGAAGACTGCCTATGGCGGCAATATGCTAAATCCACCTGTGGTTATATATCCAGGGTGGTCTTTTTTAGGCTTTACAGATTTGTTTTAAAAGAAGACGTGAAAGGTACCCTAATTTGTTTTTGTACAGGTGAGTTAAACAGTCGGGGGGACATAATTTAGGGGGCTAATCGTCACGATAAGTCGGCTAAACTAATATATTTTAATTACCCTTTTAATTTGTGAGAATGAATGTGTGGTTCATGTTAGAAACTTGCTGAACGTCATTGAAAACCACTGAATCAGACAATTTTAGAAAGACTTGCAGCATGTCGGAAGCATGTGGAGCACTAAGGTTACTGTACTCAAAAAACAGCGCGGTTTTTTCGTCTCTTATCATCCAGATTTTCTCACCACCAGCATTGTGCCTGTTACTCGAGTGGAAACTTTCACTAAAGCGAATTTTAGCAAATTATTCGACTTACCGTGATGATAAGCTCTGTATCGTGTCTCCCTGGTCGTATAACTCACCTGCACAGGCCAGATTTGTGTGGCTTTCACGGCTTTTTTAACAGAAATATATAAAGCCTAGAAAAAAATGAAAGCCATTTACAACTCCCTGTAATGCCGAATTGGAGCGCAGCTCTTGAGGAGGAGGGTACTGAGGGGAACGGTACTGAGGGGTCACATGACCTGGGGGGGTCATGTGACCTTACGGTTACACCGACAGCGACGCCGTTCAAGCCGGAAACGGGCACCTAAGAGCTGCGCTCTAAAAACACTATATAAAATACATTCTAATTTTTTCCTGTCTCTCTGTAGCCATAATTGCAATGAATCTTGCTGACTTTTTGTTCTTCCTTCGTGAATAAAGGACAGTCCATATAGTTCCTGCAATCTCTGTTGGGGACCGTGTTCCCAACTGCGGCCTGCAAGACCCCTGCTCTGAAGACTCCTTTGCAGTGCACATTTTCACGGGCCAGGACCACCATGACCAGCCCAGACTTTGCGTCGACGGGAAATAGTTGGTTCTTCCTTCTACAAACTCGAATTTTATACCAGCACATCGAAGCTGTTAGAAATGGAGATGTGCTTGCAACAGCTAGGGATGCATGTGCTAAATTTGTACGAGTTTAGGGTACGGACTAACAACCACCATTACTTTGTTGATATCTGAAAGCATAATTTGACTCTAAAACCTATTTGTCTCGTGTGAACTCCACTAGTGCTTTTATGAAAGCTGCAGGTGCAGCCTCATTCTCTTCTATTATTGTGTAAATGTAGCTCATTGTCTTTTTGGTCTGTACTGAACTGAATGGTGTAAAAAAACCTGTATCTTTCATGACACTCAAAGGGTTGGTGACATTAATAGCGCACTGAAATGTAAATGTTACTTCACAGTTCCCAAGAAGTGTTAAATATGCTTCTGACAGAAGATTGGCTTTCTGCCCAGTTCACCAAAATTCTACATTTTTACAAAAGTGTTTCGAATTACCTTCACCGTTGTGAGTAGACTCATTGAAGCCTGTTATGCAATTAATCAGTGGCTGACTCACTGCCTTCATTTGAAGGCAGTCTCTTTAATGACGTAATACGAACACACTGTCTGCATTTTGAACATCAGCACTTTCTGTTTGTGGGGAAAAATATGTCTGTAGGACTTGCACTGCTGCATGCAGGGGCAGACTTACCAATAGGCATAGTAGGCAACTGTCTAGGGCGGCAGAATTTTGGGGGCTCTGAGTTTAGCTACTTTAGGAATTCTAACTCCAAATCTAGCTATGTTTAAAAATTTTAACTCCTAACTAAGCTACTTCCCTTTCCCCCCCCCTTTTCCTTTACACATAGACACACACACACAACCCCTGCTCCCTGTTGTCACTGACCATGGGAAGTGGGGGTTGATGGGTGTGGGAGCAGCACTGTGAAAGGCTGCCTAGGGCAGCAAAATGTAAAGTCTGCCTCTGTGGGGGGGGGGGCTGCATGTAACATATGTCCGGGGTACCTTTCAATATTATTTCAACTTTTAATTGAACATTGTCAGAATCTCATCTTGCAGCTGTGTCCCTGTTTTACTAGCCTTGGATACTAAAGGTTACGAGATCGTTAAGTGGATATTTAAACTGTTGCGCAGTATCTTGGGCACCAATCTGAACAATGGCGGCCGAGGCATCAACGTAGCAGTCATCGACAGCGTAACAAGATTCGTGCAGCGTGTCAGCCACTTCGACACCTACGAAGAAGGTGACTCCTGTCTGCATGGCTGCGCATGAGCAAAAATTGAGTCGACCTTCCCACTGGAATGTGCTATTGTAGCCACGGTACTGCCGCACTCCTGTTTGAAAGTACTTTGTCACTGAAGTGATTGCTACGCCATTTGTGCCAAACTGCGCTAAAGGGCTTTCCCTGCTGCATCCTGCTACATTTAGCCCAAATGCGAGGAACTTGCGACAACATTGCACCAAAACTTGATTTCACTCTATTAATACTGAAAATATAATGGCTCAGGCCATGCTACACATCCCTATCATTATGGTAGGCTCGTGCACATTTTCAGAACTTTCACTTTTAGCTGCAAATAACATACTACCCTATTTGATCTCTCTGTCATTGTCAAACGCTGATAGCACTCGGAATTTTCACAATATATCTTTTGCTCCTGGTCTGCCCTGGCGTGTAAGTTAGCTTTGTTGAGTGCGCTTCTCACTGTGCTCTTGTGTACTGCACTGAAGCGGCAACCGCAAACTAAGCATCGCAACTTGGCTTATCTGGCTTCGAAGTTAAAGCATTCCCTTAGATTAGGACGTTAGACACGCAGATGTTGGATATATTAAAAAAGGAACTTCGTGAGTGTAAATGTGACAACTCTTAGTTGCAGTAAAAATTTCTGAATTAAACTGCAGTTATTATTTATGATAGTCTGTGGTATTGTGTTGATACCTTTTTCAAATTAGGGATTTAGCGAGGGTACTTGTAAGAAAATTTCTATGAACTGCTCTATAGGTTTCTTTTTGTTTGATCTTCGTTTTTTTAGTTGTCACCTTTATATATGTTTCATCCGTTCAAGGCGCCAATAGAAGGAAGCTTGGGAATAACCTTAACGACTTTGGCTGGATTCTTTTAAACAGGCATACTGATTGTTCACATGGCAATCTCTGTTATTATGAGGTTCTACATACAAAATGTCATTAATTTTCATATATCAATGACAAAAGCTTTTTTTTTTTTAAATCTAAATTAAGAATATTTGTTTTATTACAACCTTTGGAACTTGAACGAAACATCACTTTGTGTGCTCAAGATTATTCTAACATTATTTTAGTGGAATATACCATTCGGTTTACATTTTGTTTAGTGGAATATACTATTCGGTTTACATTACATCAAAAGGACCATTCACACCAATCCATACTGTCCTTCATGATCAGCACCTTGTTGCCAGGCCTAGTGCTTCTGTGTGCAACCAAACAGCTAGTTCTGCATTTGAGAAAATCAAACCTGCTGTTTCACAGAAGTGTGAAGGCAAAACATGCACCTATTTTTAGTTGCATGGTCCTACACACGAATCTTAAGATATAATATTCGCAGTGGTATGAATAGAAATGAAGTGTGTGCTTGTGCTCCAAAATAAGTTTTTGCTGCACCATAATGGACTTTTGACTGCTCCATAAGGTGCTACAAAATGACTCAGTTCAATCGCATCATTGTATGTGCAAGTTATAGTTCTTATTAGAGCTCACTTCCTCTCGTTTTTCTTTTATGTGATTCAGATTCATCTCAGCTAGAAACGTTACTTCTAAATCTGAGGCAAGGGGACATCCTCATCTTGCTTACATTCGACGAGCCTACGCGAAAGTAAGTTTGTTTCAACTGAACGATAGAAAAAAAGCCAATGCGGTTTACATGTGTGTTTAATGTTACTCGACTTCTTCATGGCCAGACTTTCGCAGATAGCGAGGCTTTTGCTACATGAACTTGGAAGTGCGATGGCACAGAACCTTCATTACCGGTCTTCCTGGTACTTTATCACTCAGAAGGGAATCTCTGGCTTCTCCCCATATGAGGATGTAAGTACTTCCGCCTTGTTTTTGTCATCCTCTACTTTATGGCGACCTGGATGAGAATCTTACCAGTGCATAATCAGATGTCACTACTGCATGATGCACATTAAAGACCCCCCAGGCTAGCAGTGTGGCCATACTTAGGGTGCCTACATGTTTCCGCTGCGCTTTAGGGTGGCGCCAACTTCTTGTTACCCTTTCCCAGACCCTCTCCCACCGCCATTTTGACCCACTTCGTATTTGGCTAAACGTACACAACGTTGAGTTTTCGTAGTTTCGACACACCGGCAAAACTGTGAGGCCACTTCCGTTTCCGTTCATAAGAGGAGTCGGACAAGTCGGAGGCTCAGCGGGATGGCGGTCGTCGTGGCTGTCGCTCTCCTTATTCGGGTGTTTCATACTTTGAAGTTGCGAGCAGGAAGTATTGCTTTGCGTTTATCGAAACGTGAGTCCCCTCAACAAAATGGAACGCAACAGACCGGCATCGCACGCCGAAACCTCGCCGTCAGAACGAGAGCGGTGGGCGCTCCCTAGCCCTAACGAGGATTAACGGAGTTGCGCGAGCGCACGACTGGCGAGTGTGACAAAATGGTCGACGAACCAGCGGAGGCTGCCATGGTAACGAGGTAGGCAACACTGGTTTGTCGGCAACAGGTATCACAAACGTTGTCGCCACCCTAAACAGCGGAGCGGCGGAAACATGTAGGCACCCTAGCCATACTATGACAGACTGACCTCGCACAGTCTGAATATTCAGCATATTATTTGCTTTTTTTGCTCGACTTCCTGTACTTTATAAAAGCATTCGGTGGAAGTAGACGGTTGACTAGAGGTTCTGCTGTTTCAGTAAAAGTAACTGATGTTTCTGCTGTAGTATGCCAAAGCAGTGCAGTAAAGCGGTTATGCTGCCAAACATTCTGCCTTTTTTTTAGTTAGTAGCTTCAGTGTTGTGATTTGTTTCTGTTGTTACTGGCATAGTCATATAACTTTCTAAGCACTGGGTGTTTCCAGAACGGAACATTCTTGCAGATAAGCAGGATTTTGCTTGGACGTATAACCACGCAATACAGAGGCTGTGCCGAGATTGAAACCCGATCTGCCACCACCGTTCATTTATTTTTTTTCTTACGTGGCTTGTTAAAGGGCAACTCCGGTCCATACTTTCGATTTTGGGATTATGGCTGTTTTTAGTGCAGTTAGCGCCCCTGAATTGCAAGGTGGAATTTTTTTCTCGTTATTGTGCGTAGTTTTAAAGATATCGACGTCTCAAAGTTTTGTTTGGGGCGCGGCCGACAGAACCGAAACTAGCCGCTCGAGGTTCCGGCAACACTGGAAATCAGCTGCTATGTGAACGTGACGTCAAGGTCGTTCTCGTTCAACGAGTACGCAGTCCATGCGGCACCTACCTCTGTTGCGCTAGCCGTCTAAAGATAGAAGGTAAGCTGATTTTGTTTTAATTTTGTATACGTGGTAGTTATCGAGGATATGCAGCAAGAGTTAGTGCGTATACCCAAAAGCTAGCGACTGGAAAACCCGTCAACTCGTTCCGTGCCGTACACGGCGGCCGCCGCCGCGCGTGCGCTATGCCGTGCCGTATTCGTTGCTTGTATACACAAAAGCTAGCGACTGGAAAACAAGTGAACTCGTTCGGTGCCGTACTCGGCAGCTGTCGGCGTGCGTGCGGTCTCCCGCACTCGTCGCTAGGCCTAAATTGTCATCGGGGCTCCGTGGATGGAGCGGCGTTGCTCTACGCCGCGCTGCCAGTGACGTAAAGTACTGGGGGCCCTCTCGCTTTCGCGCTGCGGGTCAGACCCAGACACGAAGCTTTGAGGCTCTCCGGCGCGGGCCGCGACGCCCGAACAGACGTGTGCTAAGCTGTAGACGTCTGTTTTTTCGTTATTTTTTCCTCAGGTGCGAAAAAGCCGAATTTGTAAGCTGCGACACTAATTCATCACATAAGTTCGTCCAGGTAGTGAATCTTTGTACAAATAAAAAAAAACTTGCCGCACTAAAAAATAAAAAATAAAAGTTCTTTGGGCAGTCATTTTCTTCTCAAGGCTAGCAAAAGTTTTTGTAGGTGATAAAGGAAAACAGAGAACGTTAGCAAGGTGAGAACACTTTCTTTCCCTTCCGCATTCCGACCCCCACCCACAACAAGTTTTTTTTATTGGAATACATAGGATTTTAAGTTTTCCTTCGTAACTTTTAACTAAGGCAAGTGTTTTTCTTTTTTTTTTTTTTTTTTTTGCATTTTTAAATATTATATTTACCTCTAGCCTAACTCGGGTAAATCAGAGAGTTGTAACTTACAAATCCTAACTTTCGCGATTTCTTTAAAGTCCCTTGTGGTATTCACCAGCGCAATGTTAATTAATACTGCTGCGTATTGGGTTCGAACGATTGGGAGGCGAATGTTTATATCGCATGAGCTTCACGCGCCGGCTGTTCGCTAGTAGTCGTTAGGGACCTGAATACTACGCGCGAGATTGCGTAGTAAACAAGCAGTGACGCAAAGCAGAACATTGTTTTCCTTTTCATTACAAACTTCAGTGTTTGGAGCTAGTTAGTGGTTGTACTCTACATGCCCACCATTCCCCATTCAACAGACATTCAATGGAGCGTGAAGGCTCAATCTTCAACACTGCACTTGACAATGACTGTTTTATTTATTGATCAGGATACTTTTATCATGTTTACCTTTTCTGTACATGTACGATGGGCAAAGAGCGACGGCACGGCATCCTTTTTAAGCCTCGACCCCTTCGCTGACAAGCCACAAGCAACCAACACCTGTGGGTTTCGTTCGTAACTCTCCGGCGAAAAATGATCGGAGCAGAGCTTCGATCTGGGGGTCGGCGTCCAAGGCTTTCCAAAGTCCACTCGTCGAACAGCGTTCACCCACACCTTCTCCAATTTCCGATCCGTTGGAAACTTGTGAAAAAGCACCCCCGGGTTGCGCAGCGGGTTGTTTGAGCAGCCCACAGCGCTTTAAGTTGTACTCGGCATCTTTCGTGGAACAGCTGGGCAGTCTTGGGCGCACCGAGTTGCTCGCTAAAACGAGTCTAGGAGTCCTCACAAGCAAATAAACAAAAGGTTATACCAAGCTACACGGGCTACAGGTAAAAGCAACGGCTAAACACGCATTCACAAGCCGAAGTAGCGGTCGTAGCGGCACAAAGAAGTGCGTGCGACGGCTGCGCCGTGCGTCCGTCCGGAACGGAGGAAAAAAAGAGAACGATGTTGACATCACAGGCCCAATGTTGCTTTAGCAATCGGCAACCCGCTGGCCGCCCGCTAAGGAGCAGCGGCTCGCGGCGGGTCGTATTTTTATTATGGGTATTAGTTGAGAATGCGGCGTCCCACGGACGTGAAATTTTGGCTGGGGTCGTATTTTGTATCACTAAAGCGATACCAGTAATTTAATTCATTTTAAGTTTTGGCCGGAGTTGCCCTTTAAGCAAGAATTTGAAGTTACCTTAGACCCACACTAGTAAAGTTGGTTTAATTGTACTGTCCAATTTGTGTCCCAAAGCCCAAACCATGTTTTAATTTAAATATGCAGATGTTTGGCAGCGACCTAACTGATAGTATTTTCTCTTTGACACTAACCTACTTAAATAAAAATGCTGATGTCTTGAATGAGCTGTGTTGCACGCTGAAATGGCCTGATGTGGGAATATTAAAATGACCCAATATTGCCAGCAGTTTAATATTTTTCCTGTTTTGAACAGACAGGTTCAATTTGTGTTTCTAAAAATAATTATGATTGTTTCAACCTTTCTTTTTTTCTTTTCAGAAAAGCCTTTAGGTGATTTTTGTTTTCTGTTTGATTTGAGGTTTGTGGATTTCCTTGCGTTTTCAGCTAATTTGGTTTAGCACATTGTGTTGCCATTTTTACTTGCTTGTTTTTCTTTTTTTAGATGCTTTATCGATTTTTAGGAAAAGGAGAAATGTATTGTATTTAGCTATACATTTAGCATGTGTCATTAAAAAGCAAAGGATAATATAATGGGATTAAGGTTATGCAACTTTGTTCGTAAGTTAATTACACATGAAAAAGGAGTACTTTTAAAATGATTGTCTTCACAAACGGCAATATCTTGAATGCTTATCCAGCACTCAGTAATTCAGAGTGCATGGTTTCACTTGGGAAGGAACATTCTTGGAGCTCTTTTTGTTCAACTTGATTAACTTAACATTTTCTTGTTATCCAGAATATTTAGGTAGGATAATATGAAGGGCTAGTGCATTCGCTTAATTATCTTACTCCAAATAAATTTGTTTTGTGTTTTGATAAATCAATCAGTCTCTCTTCATATAAAAGTGTCAGTGTTTCTAAAATAAAGAATTTCTTCTTTGCACAGCTGCACTTTGTGGAAGCCAAAGGATGGGCTGTGCCACACGATATTCGAATGTGTGTCTCCTTCAAATGTAAGTGTGCTGGCCTTCAAGTTTGCCGCATTTCTTCCTTTTTTGTTTGTGTTCATCCATTGACATTTTTGCGTTTCAGTATCTGGAAGAACCATTCACCCTGACCCCAGGCCTCAGGAGAACCTGAAAAGGAGACAGTTTTGCATGAAGTACCAGCATTTTCCATCATTCTGTTCAGGTTTGTCTCTCTGTGCAGCATATGACACATGTTTGTATGCTTTGAAACTTCAGAAACATGTAGTTGGGATCAGCAAAGCCTGCATAGACTTTACTTTGCTAAGCCTTGACTTTTGCTGAAACAAAAGCTGCAAGTGTGAGCTTGTTCATTTGGCAGGCTCCTATATTGCATGAGTGGCAATGGTATACGTCCATACTCTCAACCTTTCCTTCAATAAGGGAGAACCGTAAATGATGCATAGCTGGCAACCTGAAGAAATTGCATAGATGTGTAAAAGTTTTGGATGCCGTGAAGACTAAACTCTCTCTTTATACCTGTCATAATGTAGCTCTGTCTAAACGACCGGTAATATTCTGGACCAAGTGATGTATGATTGAGGCTTGTGAGTCAGTATGCACTTCTGATGTCTGCAAGTTGTGGCAAGGTGTTTTAACTCTTGCAGTTCTTGGCCTTATATCGTTCATCATTGTGTATTGAGGTGATATCGAGCTGTATCAAATTCTCTAGCTCTCATAGCCATAGAGATTTGAAGATGGATTACTCTACCTAAGGTCATATAGTATCTGTAAAGAAACAAAGAAGCAGGTGGCAAAATCAATATAAAAGATGAGCCTTCGTATTCATGCTCTGCATTCCCGTTTTTTTGGTTGCAGGGGACATTATTGACAACCCTCTGGTGCCGAATCCCAGCATGAAATTCACAAACAGCAAAATCTTTACGACTCCTGTTATCGTCATGAGTGGTAAGTTGCCTGCTGCGTCCCTTAGGTTGCATGCGGAATTTTGCTAGAGGTACTGCTGTAAGCATTGGCCTGCTTGACCTAATTGTCGGTAGTATTTCGTGGTACAAAATATCTTTGGTTGTACATTCATGCCTCTACAGGTGAAGTCATACATCATTTGCCACTTACATTGGAAACCTTGATAATGCAGCCAGGAATAGACCCACGCCATGTTCTTGTAAGTTTGTTACTTTGACCTGGAGGCATATGATGAAAAACACAATTCACTGCTTCCTTTCGTTTTAATGAAACTTGCAGCTTCATATTTTATTTTTTACTTTATGAACAATGTGGCCTTGTTCCAGGTGTTCCATGTTCCCGAGCACCCCGAAGTAAGGGACCTCTGTGAGCTGTTTGGGTTTACAGCTGAACAATTGGACAACTCAAACCTTGCTAAATCCTGTGGTGAGGGACCTACCATATGCAGGCATTTTTGCTTTTGGCTATACTATGTACCGTATTTACTCGCAGAATGAGCGCACTTTTTTTTTTTTTCCAAAAAATCGATGCAAAGTTTGGGGGGGGGGGGGGGGGGGGGCGTTCATTACGCGAAGTAAAATTTTTGCGTCCGTATTTACTCGTATAATGAACGGCCCTTTTATCCTGAAAAATCGAAGTAACTTCTTATCTCTTTGCGCGCGGCGGCCGGCGCCCGACCCCGTAACCAAACTAAGCTGTGCGGAAAAAAAAACTCCTGTTTTCTTTTTCTCTTAGTTCCTTGGGTTTTTTTTTTCCGCTTTTCGCAAGTTGTTTTGTTTGCTTAGGCGCTGCTTAGGAGAGGGCTCTCCGCTTATCTTTCTTACCTCCTTGCACGCGACGCACGACCCCCCCCCCCCCCCCCCGTAACCAAACTGCGCTGTGCAAAAAACAAAGGAGAGAAAAAAGAAAAAGCAAGCTTCTCTTTGCTTTTTCTTAGTTCCGTGTTTGTTTGTTTTTTTGGGTTTTTTTTGTCGCCTTTCGCAAGCTGTTTGGTTCGCTTAGAGCGCTTTTCCTTCTTACCTCCTTGCGCGCGGCGGCGCGCGAACCCAAAGTCCAGACTGCGCTGAGAAAAAAATAAAAAAAAACTACTCCGTTTTTTTTTTATTATTGCTTCCGTTGGATCTTTGCGAATTTTTTTAACGCCTTTTGCAAGGCGTTTTGTTCGGCCACGCTGCCCATGCATTCGCGACCTCGCTGCACCAGGATAGAAAAGTGCGTTCATTTCGCGCGCGTGGGGGGAGGGGGTCAAAATTTTGACATCCGAGTGGGGGGTGCGTTTATTACGCGAGTGAAAAAAAAAAAAAAGTCGAAATTTTGAGAGCCGGCTTGGGGGTGCGTTCATTACGCGAGCACGTTCATTGTGCGAGTAAATACGGTAGTACTCAGGGATGGACAGTATTTCAAATATACAAGTATTTGAAATACGTATTTCAAATACTTTGTGTATTTTGCATTTGTATTTAATTACAAATTGGGTAAGGTATTTGACATGTGTACTTAAATACTAAAACATGGATATTTCAAATACAATTGTAATTAAATACAATTTTGTGGGCGAAAATGCATCCCTCAAATTTATTGTCACTATCCAGAGCAGGAAGAAAACTACGTTCTGCACCGAATGCAGTGTCTCTCAATCAAGTACAAGCGTTCAGTGACTTTGTGATTACGGTGCTAGTCCAGGGGAAGAATAGTGACGAAATCGACGTTCACAGGCAGGCTGGCTAAATAAGTGCCTGTGACAACTTGTGATGCTTTCCAGCCTGATTTCCCTCCATATTTTTGCCATGAACATTCTAAATGCGCGGGTCGTCCAAATTTTTGTAACTGGTGCGAGTTGCAACAATAAAAAATTCTCTAGCTAGTGCTGCGCGTCTTTGTCATCTCGGTTCTTTGTTGGTCTATACCAAAATGTAATCGACAAAAAAAGCTGCTTGAAGCTCTGTACTTTTTTCACCTATTACGTCCAAGCTGGTTACATTTTTTGTGATTATATTTCTATTACGTTGCTAGAGCCTCGCACACTAACTCCCGAGTGTGCAATGCAAAATTAAAATGAGATACCCCGAAACCCGTTGCAGGTGCCCTGAAGCGGCTGACGCAAATTTTGAGGAATGTATTTGGAAAAGTATTTGGAGGAGACCAAATACATTTGGTTGTATTTGTATCTTGTATTTAAATACTTTTTGGAAATGTAATTAGATTTGTAATTAAATACATTTTGACGAAGTATTTTGTGTTTGTATTTCGATACATATTTGCATGTATTTTGCCCATCCGTGGTAGTACTTCACAGTGTGCAAACTTAAGCTGGCTACTGCTGATTCCCTTTTGCATATGTTCAAACTAGCGTAAAATGTAATCATTCCTAATCATTTTATTGTGGAAACATATCTATTTTTTGTTAGAAAATGTGATAATTTGAACAATCCTGTTTGGATGCATAGGCCTTTTCACCCTCCGTCACATGGGCACCGCCATCTCGGAATCACATGACGCGGCCACCATTAGCTTGCCTCAACTCGTCGCTCCGCTCTCCCTTCCATGGCTTGGCGAGTGCGATTCGTAATTTTCGGCCCGTTTCACCGCGTTTTCTTACCTTACTCTGTAAAGTGTAATCAGATACTTATATTTACTACCTAAATGCATTACATCATTTTGTGCTCAACTTATACAGGTATTTTGTAGTGCATATCGACTATTTTCGCTGCCAGCATACCGAATATGCGTGAGGATGAAGCACAGGAATCATTGTTAGTTTTGAGGCACACTGAGCATGTACTCTAGGACAGCCCGAGGGTTCAAAGTCCTATCACTTGTGAAAACTCAGTCTTGCCTAGTAATAGCGGCAGAACATCCACAATAAAAGCCGTGCATATTAGTGATGGGGCATTAATGATCCTGGGAAACGTGACAAAAATAGTCAGCATAGAGAGAGTGTATGTGTTTCCTGATGGCATAGTCTTTTCTGTTCATAATAAATTGAAAACAATTGCTTTTGATTATATGGGAGAACTTGTGGAGAAGATAGGTAACGAATGTTTGACTGATGCTAAGAGTAACGGTATGTCAACATCAGGTGATTCATTTGTTTATATCACACCTACATGTGTTTGATGTTCTCAGTCATCATTGCGGTGTAAATATTCACTTAATTGGTTTATTTATGAATTTCAAGAAACTGTATGTACCATGTTAGGTGCCAATATCTGCCGTTTTTAAAGTGATTTAATTATTTTTTTTTATAAGGTGACCAGTTCAGTTTAAGTAATTTATTTTAACACAAAAGTTGGAACTTTTCACATAAGAAACTGTCACAGAGAGCTTGAGATTGTAAAATCAACTAGTGTGACGCAAAAAAAAAAAAAAGAAAACCCATCTAACATGAATATTACTTGAGTGCAGCGTTGTCAAGGGCAAATACAGGTCTCCTTTCAGTATCTGGTGACGCCAAAGTCTGCAAAACTTGCCTATTAAAAAAAAAAAAATTCCACATTTTTGTGAAGTGGCATTTGGGGCATTAGACATCAGCCAAACTTACCGATGTGACTTTTTTTACGACCTTTATTTATTTGGCAAAACGGAATAATTAATTTCGTGGACCTGGCACTTACGTCATATCTTGAATATGCAGTAAGCAAATGTCCATATAACAAATAGTTTATTCCCTAAGACCAGTATTGTGAAATGTTCAGAGCCCTTTAAAAGTGCTGATAATTCAAGAAATTTCATCTCGGCCTAGGTCGGACTGTTGATACATTTCTCGAGTACTTAGTTTCTTTAAAGAAAACAGGCCGAGACAATATCATCTCTTTTTATTGGTTATCTGCAAGATTTCTTTTTGTAAAGTTCACAAAACTTTCTGTCCACAAAAACCACACAATGAGTAGTAGACTTGCCGAGTTCATTCGTTCTCCACAATTCAGCACATTGTTAATCAGGATGTCGATCTGCTTCTTCACTAAGCATTCATGTATTAGACTCTTCATTAGTTCATTTTTCTGAAAACTAATGTCCTCGGATAGATGATAATCCTCCCCATGCACACTTTAGTTGTTTTACTGTTACAGGCGGCCTGAATTAACGATGAACGTAATCAGACGGCTCAAAAGTGTTCGCAAAAAATCCGCAATTTAGGCTTGAAATTACTTCGTGGTTCTCCAACTGACTCATTGCCATTGTTTCATTGCTTCTGTGCTACAA